AACACTGATATGGACGTTGTTAAATTGGCGCAACACTTCATTATCTAAAAGTATTTATAGTGACATTTGTAACATTAGAAAGGATACTTAGTAAGATTACGGAAGTGAAAGACCTAGAGTTGAGTTGATTATTTTGTTTGAAGACTATAATAAGTATAAGTCAAGTTTTTAGCAACAAATCTTTGCCAAAATCTAAGATTACTTGGAGCTTTAAATCCTCCGCCTTTGAATGTTCAATCCAAAACATTTCAGTTTTGCAAAGCGAGAAAAATTGTTTCTAAATGTATTTTTTTACTACTAACCTTTGAAAATGAAGCGGGGCTTCTTAAATATTCTAGTGGTATGATTAATGAAACCAAAAGTAAGAAACTGAAATAAAACTTTTTCCTTACAACAAAGATAAACGCAAATAGCTATTGTAAGAAAGACGTCAAAACTTAATAGGTGAAAAAAAGATTTTTAAACCAAAGAGAGAATAACGGATACCAAGTGTAAAGATTAAGTTCGATTTTCAAAGAGCAAAAAAAGCCACTTATCAACCTGAAAATCAATCGCTCTCCATCTTCCTCGTGAATTAATCGCACAAAGTAAACAATCACACGAAATAGATTTGCCCGCCTTGCATTAATTTGAAATGTAGCTATACTTTGAATATACTCAGCGTTATCACCGACACTGAAAAACCTTAAGCTACTAAGGACGCCCAAGGCAACAACATTAGTCGTGTCTAAACGGAGATTTTTGAGTAGAGGAATCTCTACTTATTTGATGAAAATTTTTATTAACAATATTTCAATTTCCAATTACCATATATTACCCATCTTTTACCTTAGGAACACCAGCAACACTTACCATCTTTCTGCATCGGAACATTTTTTTTAGCCGAAGATAACTGGCCCCGCCCGTGAAATAAACATTTAGAAAACTTTTCAAAACGTTTTTGTACACTAGTTAGGCATGTGTATTGGATTAAGTTCATACAAACATTTCGATTGTTATCCAAACGCTGAATAGGTATGAATGAAACCAGTAGAATATCAACAGTTAATATTCTCTTGATGAAACGAATTTGACTCAACAAGGCAGAAGTAACGATTTTAACGCGCAAAAGATTGTTTTCCTTAGGATATGAAAAGCATTTTAAAACATAAAGGGAATTTAATCAAAACGACGTTTTCAATACAGTAATGGTCTACATAAGAGCAGCTTTGATTATAAAGGCGTGAAAATATGTATTGTAAAATGAATGAGATATCACACATCAGTAAATTAACAATAATCAAATATTGTACTCACCACGACTCGAACTTTCAACCCTTTGTTGCTTTGTAAAGTGAAGCAGCCAAATTTGATATAAAAATTAGCAGTAATTGTCTATTTTTAAGGTGATAGACTTGTGGCGAGTCTCAGCCCACCCCTGAGGCACTGTGATAGAGGGCTCTCCCTTCTAACAACATGCTCTGAATATTGGGGGGAGGGGGGAAGGCGGGCAACTCGACTTTCAATTTTGTTGGGATGTGCGATGAACTTCTTGAAGCCTTCAGATTATTCACAGCGGTCTTACAACGCCTCCAAAAAGGGAGTTTACCATTAATACATCATCAACTCGTTTACGTAGACAACCACAAAGTTGCGTTCCATAGTGTTCTCTATACATTTCCTAAGGTGCGACAAGGAGAATTTCTCTAACAATCAAGAATTCCTTAAGTTGGTGATCATTTCCTTTATTCTCTACACCTTCATGTTTGATTCAAGGGTGAAATTGTAAGGAGAAATTAGATGGGGTGAAAGAGTCAAGATGTAAATAACATTGTGTACAGGGAAAAAATATGGATAGGACTTCTCTTTAGAGACCTCTTTTATTTGGTCACCTAGAGCTATGACCAAAAGTTCTATATGTCTTGAGAAAATTGTAATATATTTTCTCTAACTCTTTTACTACCAAGATTTAAGAAATAATTATCTGTACCATCCCCATATGTTGCTTATTATTCTAGTCCTGAGAACTTGATGTTAAATCAATGAATATCACCCTGTTGATATTTATCCTTCTCGTCGTTACATCCTGCTAGAAAATGTATTGATATCGTAAATGAAAATTTCTCTTCTTGGTCACTCCAGGGAGTCAATGGGTTGAAAAATCTTCCTAATACTCTCTCCCTGATAAAGGTAATGGACTCTAAGTTTTGGCCCAGAGAGCATATACATGTAAATTTGACCTCTTAACCGTGGATAGTGAGGTGATTAGGTGGTTATTTGCTCCATTCTGGACAACTCTCAATAAATTTATCTTTCTTCTTCATCTAATTTTTACATTTATTTCTATCATGTTATCAGGTTAAACTAGTTTTATTTATATTTGGTCTTAACCCTTCAATCCCTAACATCATCAGGCATATTCTCCATACTGTTTTCTAGACATTTCCTATGGTATTGACAGGGAGAATTTGTTTAACAATCAAGAGCTTCTTTAGTTGGTGATCATTTGCTTTATTCTCCTGGCCTTAATGAGTGATTTAGGGTTGATATTGTAAGGAGAAATTAGATGCTCGTCAGTCTTAGAGGTTAAAGGGTTAAGAGGAACAACAGAACATCCTGATAAGAATCCTGTGTAAAATGAACAGATACAAATAAGAATGAAGATCACTTTATTGTAATCCTGCTGAGTTCATTTGGTTTTCTAAAAAGTAGGCAAAAAATGGTTACTTGCCCTTCAGAAAAAATCACCTTCAATCTGTGAGCATGTAATGTCTGCTGAAACAATGATTGTTAATTTATTTCTCATCATTTATAGAGGGTCACAGAGCAAAGTTTATTGATACAAATGAGTTTAATAATTATTAAAATCTGATTGTAACGTAATGGTACTTTGTGGCTTTGGTAAGAGAATTAGTGATCTGAGAAGAAATAGAAATAGAGAAGAAGAAATATTGATGAAGAGTTTCTTCTCTGAAACATTTCAACCATCTGTGTCAAAATATTTCCCAATTCTATCACCCGTGAAAACAGAACGACTCGGCTACACACAAGCATGTTAGATTTGATCTTATACATGAGACGAATATTTCATTTCTTTCTCAATTGCACGCTTAAACTTGAAATTTAATCTTTCTCTCACTCTTTTCCACACACAGGGAGCTTTTGACGTAGATGATCCATGTAAGGAGAAAGACGCCGGCTTTTCACAAACAAACCGAGCACGTAACCATGCCTTCTGACCAATTCTTTGAAATTCCCAGTTTGTGGAACATCTCAGTTCGAAATCTAAAATGATGTTAAAATACTTATGGAGTCTCATTCTTGAGTTATTTTTTATAACAAAAAACTTAAAGTCTGTGTATAGGGTGGTATGTTACCTGCTTCGCTAAAGATCGCCACATTAGGATATGTACATTTATCTCTCACCAATCAGATCGCCGCATTGTGGTTTATTTTTTTTATCTCGGACCAATCATATCACAGCATTTGGATATCTTGTACCAATTACAGCGTTGGGGTATTGATTTCTTGCTAATGATTTCATGTAAGAAGAGGACCACGCACAAAGGAACGACATCGACCAAACATTTTGGGTTCATTTGGTAAGTGTAATGGTTTATGGCCTTCGCGAGAGCCTCGTCGATTTAGGTCGAGATTTATCGGGATAAGAAAGGTTAGTAGGTAATTTTTTGTACCATTTTTTGGGTATAAACGTGTTTTGTTTACTGCTCCTTTTCTGACGGAGGGTTAGCAGGAAGCGTAATCTCCTGCGCAACCTTTGTTTGGTCTCGTCGTTCTTCTCGCGCTACGTGCTCCCTCCTCAGTGGGGTAGGGAGGGTATTGTAAGACCACACCAAATAAGGGCTGCAAAGCAGACAACAGTGTGGCACCAATGCTAAGTAATTTTTGCTATGATGTATTCAGACAACAGAGACAATAGACCACAAAAGTATTTATCTTAGGGTAAAGAAATGCGACATTTTTGTTGTTTTAAAGGTTGATACTATTTTACTTTCACAAAAATGTTAAATAATTCGGCTACACTACTCTAACCTCAACCCACCCGTCCAAAAAATAACTTTTGCATGCATAGCATGCCTATGTTTGACATTTTTATACTGTTTGATGATCGCGTTCGCGTACTACGGGAGAATTGAAAACCAGATCATGGTTCTATAAATCAAGTATTAACTTTGAGTTCTGACGAAACCTTGTCAACACTCTTACATTTTTGAACATTAAGATAACTTTTCGCGTCCCAACTTATATTAGTTCCCTTTTGATATACGTAAAAGATCTAGCGGCTGAATTAAAGGTTTCGTTGTCGTTCGCTTTCGATTCAGCCATGTTTACAAAAGCATGCAAAAACGTACTTGACTTAAGAAAAAAGTGAAAATTATCTACGAAAAGTAATACTAGTGTTCATTTTAAAACAATGTACAGGAAGAAGAATCTTTTCTTCAGTCGTGACTTTGTTCTTTCTCTGCCTCGTTGTTGTCCTCCTTGTGTTCTTCATTCCTGAACGAAAAAACAAAAAACATTATACATTTATTATTCTTTTTAACTTTAAAGCATGCAGAACCGATTTCCTATAAAATAAATTACTTTCTTTCTCATTGTCATAGGCCATGATCTTCCAAACTTTCTAAATGTTTGATGCGAAAGTGACCTTTAAATTATCATTTAGTCGTTGTTTTTTTCTACAAAATAAAGTTAACTTTTTTAGTGTTAGCTTAAGATTCTCAGATTACCTTCATCGTCATAGTGTCTAGCATCGTATCGACCTTGAATAATTATTTCCGAATATCTTCCATACGAAAGAAACTCTAATTCCAGACCAATTTTAGAAAGCAATTCATCAAAATCTTTCGGCTCCGAGTACTAGATAAAATAATCTTTTTCTTGATATTTTATGGAAGAAAGACTTAGACAAAAAACGAACAAACAAAAAAAGTTGGTCAACTGAACATTTTTAGTGTACTAATCGGTTTATTATAGGTAATTGATTATTTTGGTCAGACCTACCCTTTTTTCATAAAATCAAATGTCACGTTATCCCCCATAAGCACAAACGGAGCCCATTGGGAAGGTTTGGGAAAGCCGTTGCTTCTCAACCATTGAACGGCCTGATGAAGAGATTCGCTGGCACTTTCTCCACGACTAAGGTGTTCATAGAAATGTTCCATGAGCATAGCCGTTGCTTCGTCTTCTATAGCCCACGATGCTACCAACACTGAACGTGCACCGGATGCTAAGAAAGCTCGAGCGATTCCAATAATTCCTTCCTTTTTTACCAATCCCCGCCCACTGTGACAACAGCTGAGTACAACCAGTTTGGCTCGCACTTGAACTCCTTGAATGTCGGACATTGTCAGGAAGTAGTCTTCTTCTTGGGGAATACCGTCAGTGGTAGATTGAGGGGAGAGAGCAATCTCTCCTCTTTCGGCATTTCCATGTGCAGCAAGATGTATCAGACTCACTGAAGGTATCGCTTGAAGTACTGCCTGCTTTGTCGCGCGACTTCCTGACAAAGGCTGAACGTCGAGCAGTCGACCAACCATCTCTGCTTCCTTATTTGCATGGAACAATGGTGTAATGTTGGTGACAACACCATTGTAATGCACTTTTCCAACCGTAGGATCACCCACAACCAGTGCGCCAGTTGGACTGTGATAGTCCGCGGGACATTCTTGGATGAGCCGCAGAGTCGTCAGAGAAGGGATGATGCGTATTCTGTACTTCTCCGATAAATACTTTCCGGCTGATTCATCACGCAAGGCAGCAAATGGGACTCGGTACAAGAATCGATCGGGCACAATGATGATTTCAGGCTCAGTAAGTAAATCTGCCACAGGCGCGACGATCCATTTGTAGCACAATTGATGAGTTCTTTCGGTATCTTTAGTTTCGTCACCTCGCAAATTTGCCCGGCTCTCTTCATGAAGAGATGTCGTCACGTTGTCATTCAAAGATCGATCTTCGCAGTTCGCTGCGGGTAAAACGCCAAAGCCGGCGGCGCTCTTTTTGAAAACTCCTTCCACATCGCAGACTTGCTCAGCAATAAGAATGTCTATTTCCACTTGATCTGTTGCTCGAAAGAAAATGTCTCCATTTCCTTTCAATACCCAGAGGAGAACTTTCCGCTCTGTATACGAAACATACAAAAAAACACAGTTACTTTCTCTTTTCACGATGTTTTCAATCCCAAACCATGATTGTGGATCAGCTGTGAAGTGGCTTTCGAGGGAGTACTTGTCTGCCATGAATCCTGCGAGGACTCTTGCTCGTCCCAGCTCCTCAGCATAGAGAGCATTTCGAAATTTTCCAGTACGACAAAGCAAGTTAGTGAGTAACTGGTAGGGAAAAGAACCCTGGTCCTCAAGCAAAGAAATTTCAAATTCACTGATTCCTTTCAGAAAACTTCTGATTTGTTCATATTTTCCGATACATTGAAGAAGACATTCGTTTGCCTCTACAAGCTCTGACTGTAATACCTTTAACTGTGTAATACTTAGAAGGCTATGAAACTCAGTCATTTTATCTCCAAGTTGGCTGCTTATGGAACAAGCTTTCTCTAAGTAATCCTCTGCCTTGCCACTTTCACCAAGCAACAGGTATATATTTCCAAGGCTTAGGTAAATTCCTGCGTCGAGCTTTCTATTGCCACATTCTCCGCTGATGATAAGCGCCTTCTCACAATATTCTTTTGCCTTCTGATGGTCATTCACAGAAGCAAAGACAGCTGCCAAAGATTTAGTAGCTTGGGCTTCTAGATTTCTGTTACCAATTGCTAAACTGACGCCGACTGCTTTGTCCAAATGTTCTTTAGCTTGCAGATTTTTTCCAAGCTCAAAATAAAGATCTCCAAGACTCGAGTATGACGAACCTTCTCCTATTCTGTCACCAATTTCTATCGCGATGGCAAGTGCTTTCTTGTGATATTCTTTGGCCTTCTGATATTCGCCGATGGATCGGAACACAGCTCCGAGGTTCCCGTTAATATTTCCTTCTCCTCGTTTGTCGCCAGTTTCTATCGCGATGGCAAGTGCTTTCTCGAGATATTCTTTAGCCTTCTGATATTCGCTAAGGGAATGAAACACAGCCCCGAAGCTCCCGTTCATTGTTCCTTCTCCTCGTCTGTCACCAATTTCTATCGCGATGGCAAGTGCTTCCTCGTAATATTCTTTAGCCTTCTGATATTCGCCACGGGAAGCAAACACAGCTCCGAGGTTCCCGTTTCTCGTTCCTTCTCCTCGTTTGTCGTCAATTTCTATCGCGATGGCAAGAGCTTTTTCGTGATATTCTATAGCCTTCTGATATTTGCCGAGGGAATGAAACACAACCCCGAGGTTCCCGTTGCTTGCTCCTTCTCCTTTTTTGTCGCCAATTTCTATCGCGATGGCAAGTGCTTTCTCGTGATATTCTTTAGCCTTCTGATATTCGCCGAGGGAATTAAACACAACCCCGAGGTTCCCGTTGCTTGCTCCTTCTCCTCGTTTGTGGCCAATTTCTATTGCGATGGTAAGTGCTTTCTCGTGATATTCTTTAGCCTTCTGATATTCGCCGAGGGAATGAAACATTACTCCGAGGTTCTCGTTGCTCTTTTCCTCTCCTCGTCTGTCTCTAATTTCTATCGCGATGGCAAGTGCTTTCTCGTGACATACTTTAGCCTTCTGATGTTCGCCGAGGGAATCAAACACAGCTCCAAGGTTCCCGTAGCTTGTTCCTTCTCCTTTTTTGTCGCCAATTTCTATCACGATGGCAAGTGCTTTCTCGTGATATTCTTTAGCTTTCTGATATTCGCTGAGGTAATCAAACACAACCCCGAGGTTCCCGTTGCTTGTTCCTTCTCCTCGTTTGTCGCCAATTTCTATCGCGATGGCAAGTGCTTTCTCGTGATATTCTTTAGCCTTCTGATGTTCGCCGAGGGAATTAAACACAGCTCCAAGGTTCCCATTGCTTATTCCTTCTCTTAGTTTGTCGCCAATTTCTATTGCGATGGCAAGTGCTTTCTCGTGATATTCTTTAGCCTTCTGACATTCGCTAAGGGAATGAAACACAGTTCCGAGGTTCCCGTTGATTATTCCTTCTCCTTGTTTGTCGCCAGTGTCTATCGCGATGGCAAGTGCTTTCTGGTGATATTCTTTAGCCTCCTGATATTCGCCAAGGGAATGAAACACAACTCCGAGGTTCCTATTAATTGTTCCTTCTCCTCGTCTGTCGCCAATTTCTGTTACGATGGCAAGTGCTTTCTCGTAATATTTTATAGCCTTCTGGTATTCGCCACGGGAATCAAACACAACTCCGAGGTTCCCGTTGCTTGTTCCTTCTCCTCGTCTGTCACCAATTTCTATCGCGATAGCAAGTGCTTTCTCGTGATATTCTATAGCCTTCTGATATTTGCCAAGGGAATAAAACACAGCTCCGAGATTTCCGCTACTTGTTGCTTCTCGTTGTCTGTCGCCAATTTCTATCGCGATGGTAAGTGCTTTCTCGTGATATTCTTTAGCCTTCTGGTATTCGCCACGGGAATCAAACACAACTCCGAGGTTCCCGTTGCTTGTTCCTTCTCCTCGTCTGTCACCAATTTCTATCGCGATAGCAAGTGCTTTCTCGTGATATTCTCTAGCCTTCTGATATTTGCCAAGGGAATAAAACACAGCTCCGAGATTTCCGCTACTTGTTGCTTCTCGTTGTCTGTCGCCAATTTCTATCGCGATGGTAAGTGCTTTCTCGTGATATTCTTTAGCCCTCTGATATTCGCCAAGGGAATGAAACACAGCTCCAAGGTTCCCGTATCTATTTCCTTCTCCTTTTCTGTCACCAATTTCTATCGCGATGGCGAGTGCTTTCTCGTGATATTCTCTAGCCTTCTGATATTTGCCAAGGGAATCAAACACAACTCCGAGGTTTCCGGTACTTTTTGCTTGTCGTTGTTTGTCGCCAATTTCTATCGCGACGGCGAGTGCTATCTGGTGGTATTTTTCTGCGTTCTGCATTTCACTTAGGAAATAACATACATCTCCAAGTCTTCCATGAGCCACAGCTTCTACTTCTCTGTGACCAATCGTTTTCCAGATGGTGAGAGCGCTTTCAAAAAGTTCCTTTGCCTCTACAAACCGGCTTTGTGCTTCATATTTGTCTCCCAGTCGTGTTGTTAGTATTCCAACGTTGAGGAGCGTTTCAAGAAGTTTGATAGTATATCTTTCTGCATTTGCGTAACCAGAGATGGCAGAGATGGCGTAGTAAGCATTGAATATTACATGGTAGACATCAAGCTGAATACCAGTGTCAAGGTTTTGAAGTAAAGTTGTACATTCATTACATAGCTCAGTCGCTTGTAGGCCACGATCAGTGTTGAGAAGAAATATGCAGACATCTAAACCTATCTGGACTGACTTTAGGATTTCTGCAGCGTTATTCATTACGGCTCTCTCCTGTTTCCTGTTTGTTGTCGTGGGAAAGAATCAACAAAAAAAGGAAACTTAGAAAAAGTAAAATTGATAAATCTTGAAGTACTTTTGCTGTTTTTAGGGAAGTTGTCGTTTGTTCCTTTTCATAAATGTCTGAGCGCAACATTCCTTCTCAATCTTTTATCCAAACTAATCCCAATTGCATCAGCTGGGTTGAATTCAAATAATTGTGTAGCAGATTTAGATATAGCTATCAAAAAAATCTCCCTAATAGAGCAGCGGTTAATTTACCAATTGTGTTACCATTGTTGTCTACAGCTTATTACATGCTACCCAATTAGTCATTTCTGAATCTGCTCGCAATTTACTGCTTGAAAATGACTTCCCTGGGGGTGTTACAATAAGCGGTAAATGTTGGCAAAAACATTTGACTTCAACTCAAAGCATGCATATTTAATTCCTGTATATTGAACAAACGGTAGGTAACATGTTGAACTGCTGTTGATCATACGACGATAGGACGGTTAGGATGATGTGATTTTAGCTGGCGCCTTCCACGCGTCGCGAGCATATCATGCGTGTGTTCCCCACATTTACGTCTCCGAAACTCGCTTAGCTGCCTTACAGTTGAAACAGCAGATAATTTTTTCTTTATAACACCTTTAGTTAAGGCAGTAAGTTTTGTCGCACCTTTTGCTTTATATAGTGGCATTTATGTTATTCGTACGTGTCACTTTTGGAGGAAATATTTTGACCTTTCTCGAAAAAAAATCATTCCTGTCATTTCAATCAGGAGATACGATGTAAGGGTATCCGCCGCTTTCGCCCCCTATCGAGTTCGCCCCTTCGGGTTCGCCCCTACCTTATACCGTGTTCGCCCCCACACTTTTCGAATTCGACCCCATCAAGTCGAGTTCGCCCCTTGATTGAGTGATATCCAGATGAGTTGATTCGTAAGTTGATGAGTAAATTATTCAGTCTTAATTTCATAAATAAAGCTAAACGGGTACAAGTCTAACAACTTAAGCAATGCTGTCGCGATGAAAGCGTGGTTTGCATCTTCTCAAGTCTGGTTGTTATGATCAACACATTTCGTGTTCGTTAGATAAACCGTGTGGTTCTCTTTATCACAAATTCAGTGTATACAGTCATTTCTGGTAACCCCAGATCCCACACAGAGTATTTAGTTGATTCCGTCAACCCAGTTCCCAAGCAGGTTCCACGCAATTGCCGAAATTCAAAATAATCGTCGCTATTAACTCGTATTTGCGTCAGCAGAGAACGTTTTGGTGAAGCCATTTATTTCGTTGATAAAAAATAACAGCCTCTCAGTTTCACCAGAGTATTCTGGTTTGCATCAAACAAATTATGACGGGTAAACCCTCGAGTGCAGTTGTTTGTTGCTTCAAAGTATCGTTTACGGTTAAATGGAAGAAAAATTGTCAAATAGGTCAACGGCAATTATACTCAAGGATTGTCGTTTGGAAAATAATAGAGTGCAGTAAATATCAGCTCATATTTGTGACCGCGGAGGAGGTTTTATCGAAGCCATTTCTTTCCTGACTGAAAAAAAAAATAACTGCCCATCGTTTTACTCATCGGCTCTACGTATGTTAGCTTTTTGTTGGAAGATAGTGCTTGCGGTTTTAATTTGACTTGTTTTGATTGGTTACTTGCTCCTTTCCGGGAATAAAGCGATGCGCAACCAATCAGAGGGTTTTTTACTTTTCAACAGCCTCTTCCCGCAAGTGTTTTCTCGCCCATCCTCTGCCCCCAACCCTTACCGTCCACTCTATTTTTAAATCAAACATGGCCGGTCGGATGAATGATCGCGAGCTTATAACGTTAGCTCGCACTTATAACGCCTACACTGCAGGCTAGGTTTTACTCTGCTCTGATTTTTATTGTTGTTTGATTCAGAATCCCAGCAAATGAAATCTACACGACGTAGATTCTGCTTTGTTGCGTTGCGGACAAATTTGAAGGACATAAAGCCAACGGAAAAAAAATTACATTCTACAACCAAACGAATTAAGAAACCATTCACCTGTGTCCAGATGAATAGATTTGTGTCGGTATTTCTAATTGTGTGTCCATAAAGATAAAGCCTGTTTGTCAGTTTTAGAAACTCGTTTTATTAATTCGAGATGTATGAAATTAAAACATATAAAATGTTGTCAGTGATTACTCGACAGTTATTTTCAAAAATGAAAAGATTTCAATGCAGCATAACATTGGAGCAAAGATTCTACCCAGTGTTTAAACTGCGCACCCGTTATCAAAACACTTTGCTTTTCACACGAAGGAAAATCTTTCCATTTCATTCGATTACGTTCGCGTTGCTTCAGTTATTCATGTACCAACTTTTTCAAATGTTTTGTTTGGTTTAATAATAATGTGAATTTAATTCATAGGAAATGAAACTAAGGAAGCAATGAAAATAAAGAAATTAAAAACAACAAAAAAAACGACAAAAGCTCACCTTTGAAAACAGAATATGCCTTCTTTTGTTAGATCCTGATTGTGTGAGTTATAGAAACAAAGAAAGAAAATGAAATAAGACTTTCCCAGTCAAACAAATGTAAATGCCAATAGCTGTTGTTAGAACGTTTTACTTACACGGTAGGTAATACGAAATCATCAAAAAAAAAAGAAAAAAACATCTAAGATGGAAGAAAAAGAGTTTCCAAGGTTTCCCTTAAGATTCATTACTTGACATACGGGATTCTCTTATTTTACATCACAGAAGTGATGAACATGTAGCTTCTCCTTACAATGTCAATATACCGTACAGCAATCAAGTGGTGAGAATGAACAGACCCATCATTTAGAGGGCGTTTTCTCTATCATTAGCAAGTTTCAATCCTTAACGTTTCAGTGCATAATATTCCTGAAATAAATATTTAGCCGCTTCCTTTGAAAACGAAAAGATTTGCGGATAGTAAGGAGACCTCATTTAAGAGAGCGATTTCATGTTTTCTTGCAAAGCAACAAAGAATGCAAAGCGCTAGTTTAAATGGAATATACAAATTATCGCTAAAAATAATCATCGTAAAAACAGAGAAGGATGAAATTTATATTACAGCTTAACCTTAAGACATCTCTATAAATGTTGGAGCTCACACATCATTGATAAGACTTTGGTGGTTTAAATCGCGCTTTGTCCGATTATTCAAAACCTTACAGAAGTGAGAGACATATTGCTTGTCTTTCCAATAGCAACATATTATTCAGTGAACTAGCGACGAGAAGACATATCAGCTAAGGGCGTTCTCTTAACACAACACCAAATTCTCCCTACAGAATAACAAGGTAATGTGAGGGAGCTAGAAGGAAGAATTGCTGAATTGCAGACCTTAAACACTCTCCAATCAAGTAAAAAAACTATTCGAATTTGGTAGGTCTTCACAAATATTATGACATTGTTTGGAATTATGAATTTCCTCAAATTTTAACCCGGAATATATATATATTTTTTTTAAGCGGGAAAAGAATGATTATCATTAAATTTAGGTTTTTAGCTGTTAACCTTCTTAAAAAATAAGCATGTTTTGTTCAGTCCTAATTGTTTGAGTTAAGAGACCGAAAGCCGCAAGAAACAAAGATAAATGCAAGCAGCTCGTGTGAGTACAGAGTGCTAAGTTCGATTAGTTGAAACATTCCCTTTTAAAGTCTGAGACAAGAGGTGAAATATAGCAGTTAATAATCTTTTGGTCAAAGATGTATCGGTACGACTTTCCGTTTCGCTCACAATGCTCATTGAAAAACATTGTGGCTCGTTCTTTTTACATCAGAATTTAATGTTCTTGAATTCGATTTCTGTTGCGCCTGATTTGAGGTGGCGAAGACACTAAAAAAAAAAGGTAAAAGGAATGCAAGCTAATTTCTTCTTTATTTTTGTTACTTACCCTTGAACAAGGAAGTGTGCCTTGTTTAGTATTCTGATCGTATGACTGAGGAAGACGAGAGTAAGAAACTCAAATTACGCTCAATCTGCAAAACAGAGATGAAGGTTAATAAACAGTGTGAAAAAACAAAAAAGTCATTTAGAAAACAGAACTAGATTCTATTAAATTTCCTCCATAATTTAAATTAAAAACACGGCATCTTTTTTCTTTTTGCATCAGAATTTCCTTTTCATACATCGTGTGGGTGCTTTTACTCTTTTAGTCTCAGACTCTGACAATACCAAATTGTTTCGCGGGCAACTTCTCCCTAAAGTGTCAATATATCATTTAGCCGACAGTTTTGGAGAATAAAGAAACTAATCACTGATATGGACGTTGTTGAATTGGCGCAACGCTTCATTATCTAAAAGTATTTATAGTGACATTTATAACATTTAGAATGGATACTTAGTAAGATCATGGAAGTTAAAGACCTAGAGTTGAGTTAATTTTTTTACTTTTGAAGACCACGATAAGTTTAAGTCAAGTTTTTAGCAACAAATCTTTGCCAAAATCTAAGATTATTTGGAGCTTTAAATCCTCTTCCGTTGAATGTTCAAACCCAAAACATTTCAGTTTTGTAAGCCGGGAAAAAATGTTTCTAAATTTATTTTTTTACTACTAACCTTTTGAAAAAGAAGCGTGACTTCCTTAATATTCTGGTGGTATGATTAATGAAACCAAAAGTAAGAAACTGAAATATAACGTTCCCTGCAAAACAAAGATAAATGCAAACAGCCACTGTAAGAAAGACGCCAAAACTTAATAGGTGAAAAAAAGATTTTTTAAACCAAAGAGAGAATAACGGATACCAGGTGTAAAGTTTAAGTTCGATTCTCAAAGAGCAAAAAAAGCCACTTATGAACCTGAAAATCAATCGCTCTCCATCTTCCTCGTGAATTAATCGCACAAAGTTTACTAATCACACGAAATAGATTTGCCCGCCTTGAATTAATTTGAAATGAAGCAATACTGTGAATATACTCTGCATTATCACCGACCCTGAAAAACCTTCAGCTATTTAGAGCGGCCAAGGCAACAACATTAGACGTGTCTAATGTGTAGAAGAATCTCTGCTTATTTGATGAAAATTTTTATTCAAAATATTTCAATTTCCAATTGCCATATTTTACCCATCTTTTACCTTGGGAACACCAACAACGGTTACCATCTTTATGCATCGGAACCTTTTTTTTCGCCGAAGATAACTGGCCCCGCTCGTGAAATAAACATTTAAAAAACTCTTCAAAACGTTTTTGTACACAAGTTAGGCATGTGTATTGGATTAATTTCGTACAAGCATTTCGATTGTTATCCAAACGCTGAATAGGTATAAATGAAACCAGTCGAATGTCAACAGTTAATATTCTCTTAATGAACCAGTTTGACTCAACACGGCAGAAATAACGATTTTAATGCGCAAAAGATTGTTTTCCTTAGGATATGAAAAGCATTTTAAAACATAAAGAGAATTTAATCAAAACGACGTTTTCAATATAGCAATGGTCTACGTAAGAACAGCTTTGATTATAAAGGCGTGAAAATATGTAATGTAAAATTGATGAGATATCACACTAACACATCAGCAAATTAACAATAATCAAATATTGTACTCACCACTACTCGAACTTTCAACCCTTTGTTGCTTTGTAAAGTGAAGCAGCCAAACTTTACATCAAAATTATCAGTAATTGTCTATTTTTAAGTTGATAGGCTTGTGGCGAGTCTCAGCCCACCCCTTAGGCGCTGTGATAGAGGGCTCTCCCTTCTAACAACATGGTCTGAATACTGGGGGGAGGGGGGGAGGGGGGCAACTCGACTTTCAATTTTGTTGGGATGTGCGATGAACTTCTTGAAGCCTTCAGATTATTTACAGCGGTCTTACAACACCTCCAAAAAGGGAGCCGGTTTACCACTGATACATCATCAACTCGTTTACGTAGACAGCCACAAAGTTGCGTTCCATAGTGTTCTCTATACATTTCCTAAGGTGCGACAAGGAGAATTTCTCTAACAATCAAGAATTCCTTAAGTTGGTGATCATTTCCTTTATTCTCGACACCTTCATGTTTGATTCAAGGGTGAAACTGTAAGGAGAAATTAGATACTAGTAACTCTTAGGGGTGAAAGAGTTAAGATGTAAATAACATTGTGTACAGGAAAAATATTATGGATAGGCTAACTTCTCTTTACAGACCTCTTTTATTTGGTCACCTAGAGCTATGACCAAAAGTTCTGTATGTCTTGAGAAATCTTTAATATATTTTCTCTAACTCTTTTACTACCAAGATTTAAGAAATAATTATCTGTACCATCCCCCATATGTTGCTTATGATTCTAGTCCTGAGAATTTGATGTTAAATCAATCAATATCACTCTGTTGATATTTTTCCTTCTTGTCGTTACATCCTGCTAGAAAATGTATGGACATCGTAAATTAAAATTTCTCTTCTTGGTCACTCCAGGGAGTCAATGGGTTGAAAAATCTTCGTAATACTCTCTCCCTGATAAAGGTAATGGACCCTAAGTTTTGGCCCAGAGAGCATATACATGTAAATTTGACCTCTTAACCATGGACAGTGAGGTGATTAGGCCGTTATTTGCTCCATTCTGGACAACTCTCAATAAATTTATCTTTCTTCTTCATCTAATTTTTATATTTATTTCTATCATGTTGTCAGGTTAAATTAGTTTTATTTATATTTGGTCTTAACCCTTCAATCCCTAACATCATCAGGCATATTCTCCATACTGTTTTCCAGACATTTCCTATGGAATTGACAGGGAGAATTTGTTTAACAATCAAGAGCTTCTTTAGTTGGTGATCATTTGCTTTATTCTCGTGGCCTTAATGACTGATTCAGAGGTGATATTGTAAGGAGAAATTAGATGCTCGTCACTCTTAGAGGTTACAGGGTTAAGAGGAACAACAGAACATCCTGATAAGAATCCTGTGTAAAATGAACAGATACAAATAAGAATGAAGATCAATTTAATGTAATCCTGCTGAGTTCATCTGGTTTACTAAAAAGTAGGGAAAAATGGTTACTTGGCCTTTGGGAAAAAAATCACCTTCAACCTGTGAGCATGTAATGTCTGCTGAAACAATGATTGTTAATTTATTTCTCATTATGTATAGAGGGTCACAGCGCAAAGTTTATTGATACAAATGAGTTTGATAATTTTTAAAATCTGATTGTAACGTAATAGTACTTTGTGGCTTTGGTAAGATAATTAGTGATCTGAGAAGTGACTTTTCAAATATGATGGAGGGTTTTTTGTCTGAAAAATTTCAACTCTCTGTCTCAAAGTATTTCCTAAGCCTCTCACCCATGAAAACAGAGAGACTCTGCTAAACACAAGTATGTTAGATTTTATCGTATGAAACGAATATTTCTCAATGGGACGCTTAAGCTTGAAATTCAACCGTTCTCAAACTCTTTTCTTCAGCTTTTGACATAGATGATACTTGCGAGAAGAAGGACGCTTTTCACAAAGAAACCGAGCACATAGCCATTCCTTCCGACCAGTTTGTGGAACATCTCAGTTCGAAATCTAAAATGATTTTAAAATAATTACGGAGTCTCATTTTTCAGTTATTTTTTATAAGAAAAAAACTCTTAAGTCAGTGTATCGAGTGGTATGTTGCCTGCTTCACTAAAGATCGCCACACTAGGATATGTACATGTATCTCTCACCAATCAGATTGCTGCATTAGGGTTTTTATCTCGGACCAATCATATCACAGCATTTGGATATCTTGTACCAATTACAGCGTTGGGGTATTGCTTTCTTGCACAAAGAATGACATCGACCAAACATTTTGGGTTCATTTGGTAAGTGTAATGGTTTATGGCCTTCGCGAGAGCCTCGTCGATTAAGGTCGAGATTTATCGGGATAAGAAAGGTTAGCAGGTAATTTTTTGTATCGTTTTTTGAGTTGAAACGTGTTTTGTTTACCGCTCCTTTTCTAACGGAGGAATGGCAGTAAGCGTAATCTCCTGCGCAACCTTTGTTTGATCTCGTCACGCTACGTGCTCTCTCCTCAGTGGGGTGGGGTAGGAAGGGCATTGTATGACCAGACCAAATAAGGGCTGCAAAGCAGACAACAGTAAGCGAGAATTGAAAACCAGATCACGGTTCTTTAAATCAAGGATTAACTTTGAGTTACGACGAAACCTTGTCAACACTCTTACATTTTTGAACATTAAGATAACTTTTCGTGTCCCAACTTATATTGGTTCCCTTTTGATATACGTAATAGATTTAGCGGCTGAATTAAAGGTTTCGTTGTCGTTCGCTTTCGATTCAGCCATGTTTACAAAGCATGCAAAAACGTACTTGACTTAAGAAAAAAGTGAAAATTGTCAACGAAAAGTAATACCAGTGTTCATTTTAAAACAATGTACAGGAAGAAGAATCTTTTCTTCAGTCGTGACTCTGTTCCTTCTCTGCCTCGTTGTTGTCCTCCTTGAGTTCTTCATTCCTGAAAAAAAAACCACAAAAAACATACATTTACTACTCTTTTTAACTTTAAAGCATGCAGAACTGATTTCCTATAGAATAAATTACTTTTTTCCTCATCGTCATAGGCCATGATTTTCCAATCTTTCTAAATGTTTGATGCGAAAGTAACCTTAAAATTATCATTTAGTCGTTATTGTTTTTTTTTACAAAATAAAGTTAACTTTTTTAGTGTTAGCTTAAGATTATCAGATTACCTTCATTGTCAAAGTGTCTAGCATCGTATCGGCCTTGAACAATTATTTCCAAATATCTTCCATACGAAAGAAACTCTAATTCCAGGCAAATTCTAGAAAGCAATTCATCAAATTCTTCCGGCTCCTAGCATTAGATAAAATAGTCTTCTTTTTCTTGATATTTTATGAATGAAAGACTAAGACAAAAACGAATAAACAAAAAAAGTTGGTCAACTGAACAATTTTAGTGTGCTAATCGGTTTATTATAGATAATTGCACATTACGCTCAGTCTTACCTTTTTTTCATAAAATCGAATGTCACGTTATCCCCCATAAGCACAAACGGAGCCCATTGGGAAGGTTTGGGATAGCCGTTGCTTCTCAACCATTGAACGGCCTGGTGAAGAGATTCGCTGGCACTTTCTCCACGAACAAGGTGTTCATAGAAATGTTCCATGAGCTTAGCCGTTGCTTCGTCTTCTATAGCCCACGATGCTACCAACACTGAACGTGCACCGGCTGCTAAGAAAGCTCGAGCGATTCCAATAATTCCTTCCTTTTTTACCAATCCCCGCCCACTGTGACAACAGCTGAGTACTACCAGTTTGGCTCGCACTTTAACTCCTTGAATGTCGGACATTGTCAGGAGGTAGTCTTCTTCTTGGGGAATACCGTCAGTGGTAGATTGAGGAGAGAGAGCAATCTCTCCTCTTTCAGCATTTCCATGTGCAGCAAGATGTATCAGACTCACTGAAGGTATCGCTTGAAGTACCGCCTGCTTTGTCGCGCGACTTCCTGACAAAGGCTGTACGCCGAGCAGTCGACCAACCATATCTGCTTCCTTATTTGCATGGAACAATGGTGTAATGTTAGTGACAACACCATTGTAATGCACTTTGCCAACCGCAGGATCACCCACAACCAGTGCGCCAGTTGGACTGTGATAGTCCGCGGGACATTCTTGGATGAGCCGCAGAGTCGTCAGGGAAGGGATGATGCGTATTCTGTACTTCTCCGATAAATACTTTTCGGCTGATTCATCACGCAAGGCAGCAAATGGGACTCGGTACAAGAATCGATCGGGCACAATGATGATTTCAGGCTCAGTAAGTAAATCTGCCACAGGTGCGAAGATCCACTTGTAGCACAATTGATGAGTTCTTTCAGTATCTTTAGTTTCGTCACCTCGCAAATTTGCCCGGCTCTTTTCATGAAGAGATGTCATCACGTTGTCATTCAATGATCGATCTTCGCAGTTTGCTGCGGGTAAAACGCCAAAGCCGGCGGCGCTCTTTTTGAAAACTCCTCCCACATCGCAGACTTGCTCAACAATAAGAGTGTTTATATCCACTTGATCTGTTGCTCGAAAGAAAATGTCTCCATTTCCTTTCAATACCCAGAGAAGAACTTGCCGCTCTCTATACGAAACGTATAAAAAAACACAGTTACTTTCCGTTTTCACGCTCTTTTCAATCCCAGACCATGATTGTGGATCAGTTGTGAAGTGGCTTTCCAGGGAGTACTTGTCTGCCATGAATCCTGCAAGGACTCTTGCTCGTCCCAGCTCCTCAGCATAAAGAGCATCCCGAAATTTTCCAGCACGGCAGAGCAAGTCAGTGAGTAACTGGTAGGGAAAAGTTCCGCATTCCTCTAACAGAGAAATTTCAAATTCACTGTTTTCTTTCAGAAAACTTCTGATTTGCTCATATTTTCCGATACATTGAAGAAGACATTCGTTTGCCTTTACAAGCTCTGACTGTGATACTTTTAACTGTGTAATACTTAGAAGACTTTGAAACTCAGTCATTTTATGTCCAAGTTGGCTGCTTATGGAACAAGCTTTCTCTAAGTAATCTTCAGCCTTGCCACTTTCACCAAGCAATCGGAATAGATTTCCAAGGCTTAGGTAAATTTTTGCTTCGTGCTCTCTAATGCCACATTCTCCACTGATGGTAAGCGCCTTCTCATAATGTTCTTTTGCCTTCTGATAGTCATTCACAGAAGCATAGACAGATGCCAAAGTTATACTAGCTTGGGTTTCTAGATCTCTGTCACCAATTGCTAAACTGACGCCGACTGCTTTGTCCAAATGTTCCTTAGCTTGCAGATTTTTTCCAAGCATAAAATAAACACATCCAAGACTCGAGTATGTCGAACCTTCTCCTTTTCTGTCACCAATTTCTATTGCGATGGCTAGTGCTTTCTTGTGATATTCTTTAGCCTTCTGATATTCGCCGAGGGATTGAAACACAGCTCCGAGGTTCCCGTAGCTTGTTCCTTCTCCTCGTTTGTCGCCAATTTCTATCGCGATGGCAAGTGCTTTCTCGTGATATTCTTTAGCCTTCTGATATTCGCTAAGGTAATGAAACGCAGCCCCGAGGTTCCCGTTCATTCTTCCTTCTCCTTGTCTGTCGCCAATTTCTATTGCGATGGCAAGTGCTTCCCCGTAATATTCTTCAGCCTTCTGATATTCGCCACGGGAAACAAACACAGCTCCGAGGTTCCCATATCCCGTTCCTTCTCCTCGTCTGTCGCCAACTTCTATCACGATGGCAAGTGCCTTTTCGTGATATTCTTTAGCCTTCTGATATTTGCTGAGGGAATGAAACACATCCCCGAGGTTCCCGTAAATTGTTCCTTCTCCTCGTCTGTCGCCAATTTCTATTGCGATGGCAAGTGCTTCCTCGTAATATTCTTTAGCCTTCTGATATTTGCCAAGGGAATGAAACACAGCTCCAAGGTTTCCGTAACTTGTTCCTTCTCCTCGTTTGTCGCCAATTTCTATCGCGATGGCAAGTGCTTCCTCGTAATATTCTTTAGCCTTCTGATATTCGCCAAAGGAATCAAACACAGCTCCGAGGTTCCCGTAGCTTGTTCCTTCTAGTCGTTTGTTGCCAATTTCTATCGCGATGGCAAGTGCTTTCTCGTGATATTCTTTAGCCTTCCGATATTCGCCGAGGGAATTAAACACAACCCCGAGGTTCCCGTTGCTTGTTCCTTCTCCTAGTTTGTGGCCAATTTCTATCGCGATGGCAAGTGCTTTTTCGTGATATTCTTTAGCCTTCTGATATTCGCCGAGGGAATTGAACACAATCCCGAGGTTTCCGTTGCTTGTTCCTTCTCCCCGTTTGTGGCCAATTTCTATTGCGATGGCAAGTGCTTTTTCTTGATATTCTTTAGCCTTCAGATGTTCGCTAAGGAAATGAAACACAGCCCCGAGGTTCCCGTTTATTGTTCCTTTTCCTCGTCTGTCGCCAATTTCTATTGCGATGGCAAGTGCTTCCTCGTAATATTCTTTAGCCTTTTGAAATTCGCCGAGGGAATGAAACACAGCTCCGAGGTTCCCGTAGCTTCTTCCTTCACCTCGTTTGTGGCCAATTTCTATCGCGATGGCAAGTGCTTTCTCGTGACATTCTGTAGCCATCTGATACTCGCCGAGGGAATCAAACACAACCCCGAGGTTCCCGTTCCTTGTTCCTTCTCCTCGTCTGTCGCCAATTTCTATTGCGATGGCAAGTGCTTTCTCGTAATATTCTTTAGCCTTTTGATATTCGCCGAGGGAATGAAACACAGCTCCAAGGTTCTCGTTGTTTGTTCCTTCTCCTGGTTTGTGGCCAATTTCTACAGCGATGGCAAGTGCTTTCTCGAGATATTCTTTAGCTTTCTTATATTCGCCACGGGAATGAAACATAACTCCGAGGCTCTCGTTGCTCGCTCTTTCTCCTTGTTTGTCGCCAATTTCTATCGCAATGGCAAGTGCTTTTTCGTGATATTCTTTAGCCTTCTGATATTCGCAAAGAGAATTAAAAATAGCTCCGAGGTTCATGTTAATTGTTTCTTCTTTTTGTCTGTTGCCAATTTCTATCACGATGGCAAGTGCTTTATCGTAATATTCTTTAGCCCTCTGATATTTGCCAAGGGAATGAAACACAGCCCCGAGGTTCTCGTATTTTGTTACTTCTCCTCGTCTGTCACCAATTTCTATTGCGATGGCAAGTGCTTTTTCGTGATATTCTTTAGCCTTCTGATATTTGTCAAGGGAATGAAACACAGCTCCAAGGTTCCCGTATCCCGTTCCTTCTCCCCGTTTGTCGCCAACTTCTATCTCGATGGCAAGTGCTTTTTCATGATATTCTTTAGCCTTCTGATATTCGCCACGGGAATGAAACATTACTCCGAGGTTCCCGTATCCCGTTCCTTCTCCCCGTTTGTCGCCAACTTCTATCGCGATGGCAAGTGCTTTCTCGTGATATTCTTTAGCCTTCTGATATTCGCCGAGGGAATCAAACACAACCCCGAGGTTCCCGTTCCTTGTTCCTTCTCCTCGTCTGTCGCCAATTTCTATTGCGATGGCAAGTGCCTTCTCGTAATATTCTTTAGCCTTTTGATATTCGCCGAGGGAATGAAACACAGCTCCAAGGTTCTCGTTGCTTGTTCCTTCTCCCAGTTTGTGGCCAATTTCTATCGCGATGGCAAGTGCTTTCTCGTGATATTCTTTAGCCTTCTGATATTCGCCGAGGGAATCAAACACAACCCCGAGGTTCCCGTTCAATGTTCCTTCTCCTCGTCTGTCGCCAATTTCTAGTGCGATGGCAAGTGCTTTCTCGTAATATTCTTTAGCCTTCTGATATTCGCCACAGGAATCAAACACAGCTCCGAGGTTCCCGTAGCTTCTTCCTTCACCTCGTTTGTGGCCAATTTCTATCGCGATGGCAAGTGCTTTCTCGTGATATTCTTTAGCCTTCTGATATTCGCCGAAGGAATGAAACACAGCTCCGAGGTTCTTGTTGCTTCTTCCTTCTCCTCGTTTGTGGCCAATTTCTATCGCGATGGCAAGTGCTTTCTCGTGATATTCTTTAGCCTTCTGATATTCGCCGAGGGAATCAAACACAACCCCGAGGTTCCCGTTCCTTGTTCCTTCTCCTCGTCTGTCGCCAATTTCTATTGCGATGGCAAGTGCTTTCTCGTAATATTCTTTAGCCTTTTGATATTCGCCGAGGGAATGAAACACAGCTCCAAGGTTCTCGTTGCTTGTTCCTTCTCCTAGTTTGTGGCCAATTTCTATAGCAATGGCAAGTGCTTTCTCGTGATATTCTTTAGCCTTCTGATATTCGCAAAGGGAATTAAAGATAGCTCCGAGGTTCATGTTAATTGTTTCTTCTTTTTGTCTGTTGCCAATTTCTATCACGATGGCAAGTGCTTTCTCGTAATATTCTTTAGCCCTCTGATATTTGCCAATGGAATGAAACACAGCCCCGAGGTTCTCGTATTCTGTTCCTTCTCCTCGTCTGTCACCAATTTCTATTGCGATGGCAAGTGCTTTTTTGTGATACTCTTTAGCCTTCTGATATTTGTCAAGGGAATGAAACACAGCTCCAAGGTTCCCGTATCCCGTTCCTTCTCCCCGTTTGTCGCCAATTTCTATTGCGATGGCAAGTGCATTTTCGTAATATTCTTTAGCCCTCTGATATTCGCCACGGGAATGAAACATTACTCCGAGGTTCCCGTATCCCGTTCCTTCTCCCCGTTTGTCGCCAACTTCTATCGCGATGGCAAGTGCTTTTTCGTGATATTCTTTAGCCTTCTGATATTTGCCAAGGGAATGAAACACAGCCCCGAGGTTCCCGTTTATTGTTTCTTCTCCTCGTCTGTCGCCAATTTCTATCGCGATGGCAAGTGCTTTCTCGTGATATTCTTTAGCCCTCTGATATTCGCCACGGGAATGAAACATTACTCCGAGGTTCCCGTATCCCGTTCCTTCTCCCCGTTTGTCGCCAACTTCTATCGCGATGGCAAGTGCTTTTTCGTGATATTCTTTAGCCTTCTGATATTTGTCAAGGGAATGAAACACAGCCCCGAGGTTCTCGTTCATTCTTCCTTCTCCTCGTCTGTCGCCAATTTCTATTGCGATGGCAAGTGCTTTCTCGTAATATTCTTCAGCCTTCTGATATTCGCCACGGGAATCAAACACAGCTCCGAGGTTCCTGTATCTTCCTCCTTCTCCTTCTCTGTCACCAATTTCTATCGCGATGGCAAGTGCTTTCTGGTGGTATTTTTCTGCGTTCTGCATTTCACTTAGGAGATAACATACATTTCCAAGTCTTCCATGAGCCGCAGCTTCTCCTTTTTTGTGACCAATCGTTTTCCAGATGGCGAGTGCGCTTTTAAAAAGTTCCTTTGCCTCTACAAACCGGCTTTGTGCTTTATATTTGTCTCCCAGTTGTGTTGTTAGTATTCCAACGTTGAGGAGCGTTTCAAGAAGTTTGCAGTTAGCAAAGATGGTGTAGTAAGTATGGAATATTACATCGGAGATATCAAGCTGAATACCAGTGTCAAGGTTTTGAAGTAGAGTTGTACATTCATTACATAGCTCAGTCGCTTGTAGGCCACGATCGGTGTTCAGAAGAAATATGCAGACATCTAAACCTATCTGGACTGACTTGAGGATTTCTGCAGCGTTATTCATTACGGCTCTTTCCTGTTTGTTGTCGTGGGAAAGAATCAACAAAAAAAGGAAACTTAGAAAAAGTGAAACTGATAAATCTTGAAGCACTTTTGTTGTTTTTAGGGAAGTTGCCGTTTGTTCCTTTTCATAAATGTCTGAGCGCAACATTCCTTTTCAATCTTTTATCCAAACCAATCCCAAGTGCATCAGCTGTGTTGAATTCAAACAATTGTGGAGCAGATTTAGATATAGCTATCAAAAAAGTCTCACCAATAGAGCAACGGTTAATTTACCAATTGTGTTACCATTGTTGTCTTCAGCTTATTACATGCTACCCAATTAGTCATTTCTGAATCTGCTCGCAATTTACTGCTTGAAAATAACTTTCCCTGGGGGTGTTACAATAAGCGGTAAATGTTGGCAAACATTTGACTTCAACTCAAAGCATGTATATCAAATTCCTGCATATTGAACAAACGATAGGTAACATTTTGAACTGCTATTGATCAGACGACGATAGGACGGTTAGGATGATATGATTTTAGCTGGCGCCTTCCACGCGTTGCGAGCATATCGCGCGTGTGTTCGTCACATTTACGCCTCCGAAACTCGCTTAGATTCCTTACAGTTGAAACAGCAGAGAATTTTTTTCATAACACCTTTAGTTAAGGCAGTAAGTTTTCTCGGACCTTTTGCTTTAAATAATGGCATTTATGTTATTCGTACGTTTCACTTTTGGAGGAAATATTTTGACCTTTCTCGAAAAAAAATTATTCCTGTCATTTCAATCAGGAGATGCGATGCAAGCACAAGTGGTCCCTTAATTTGTAAAGGAGGTTTTTCTTCTCTCCTCATCTTGTACACACGCCTGTCAATCATGCGCGCCCTTGTCACTCACTTCAGTTCAGTGAGCAGCTGAAATCCGAAAGTTCTTTTCGGATCTAAAGATTTTCAGTTTAACATTGAAGAATGTTTGAGTGAATACAGTGCATTTCAACCTTCAACAACTGAAAGATTAAAATAGATGAGATGTTTCCTCTTTTTTAGTATTCTTTCATCATTTCGTCCAAATGAAAATTATATCAAGATTAGAAAAAGTATATTCTCTTTTACCCACGTTCATGTTTGTTATCGCAGTTAGAAGGGTCGACTTGGAGCAAGTAGGTTTTCTTGTTTGAACTGTTTTGGTGATGAACTTTGAACTCTTGCAGTCACGCAGAACTTTTAATCATATTTAATATTTCTGTATTTGATTGCAGTATCGTACGAAAGCTGTCAAACTGACTTTGAAAAAGAGGGTGCTAAGGGGTTTACACTTGAAGCGTGATTAAGGCCAAAATAAGTATGTGAGGCGTGAAGTTTACAGAAAGGCGAACGCGATTCGTAAATCCATGATCCAGTGTAAGGCGTGACTGGCCTCCTGAAATATACGTGACCCGTGAATTTCATCTTTCATTTCGTGGAAACCTCAAGTTTTTCCAGAAACCTTGTACACAAGAAGGGAGATTTGAAGTTTTTCCTTTATATACGTGAAGCGTGAATCTTTCTAAAATTCGTGTATGAAACAGGATCAGGACCCCCTCTGTTTGATACCATCCAAGAACCAGACTCTTACTCAACCTGCAGAGCAGGCGTAATTTTGGCGCGCGAGTGCTCAGTATTTTTACTGGGATACCTGTGGTAGCCCAGTCATAAAATACCTTTGTTTTTTTTGTCTTTGTTTTTTCCTCCGCCACAAAATGGAAAAATTGCGCAATAGTACCCAATGGTCATTGGGCCCTCAACACCATGGCAACTAACTGTGATCCAATGAGGTTCACATGCTGATCACGCGTGTTATCTTGATGATGACTGACGTTGTCATGTACAGACAGGGCCGGGTCACATGATGAATCACGAGATTTTTGCTTATTCTTGGTTTTCACCCACGTGACTTTTGTCTTGACGACGGTTACTATCCGTCATGTCGGTGCCCAAACAAATAGTTACAAATGCACTTGTAGTAAGGTGTGAGTGAGAAAGTAGAAATGGTTCTTTTGTAGTTTTCAGCTGTGGCAGCAGAAGTGATCGGGACAAAGGGATTGGATTTTATCGAATACTATCAGTTATTAAAAATAAGTCTTCCTTCGAAGAAGAATTGACAACATAGAGAGGAGAAGAAAGTAGATACAAGTGATAAGTCGCAGCGACACGATGTGAGAATAAAGATAAAGATAGACCAGCAAGGACTTGCCATGTGGCTTTCGTGACTAAGTCGCATTACCGCCTTCAAATTGTATTTTTTGCTCTCACAAGCATGTCTTAAGGAGATTTTCCCCGCTTTTTATAAAAGATGATCGGAGGATTTGTAAAATTTGTTTCAGCAAGGGCTGATTGTGTATCAGACTCCACTGTTCCATCAATATTTGTTTTAAATTTTTAACTGCCGGGTGGTTCGTTGTGACGAAAGGCAATAAACGTTCGTGACCTTTCGGCTTTTGTGTATGTTTAAAGGCCGATTGTCAAGAGGCAAAGCTGACCCCTGACAGACACCTTTCTACGATGCTTTCTGGGTACCCTCTTGCTTCGAGGCTTTGTTTGAATTTCAAACGGCCCACTTCAAATGTTTTTTTCGAAGAGTTAGTTCTAGGCATTCTTATTGCTTGCCTTTAATGAACTATATTTTACGCCTGGTGGGTGGCACAAGGCGAAGTGTGTAATTTGCAAAGTCTCGGTCTGCCTCTAATGAGTTTTGATATCCCAGATGGGATTTTTTGCGAATCTTTCCCCGTTGAACACCGTGGTATCGAGAAAAGTGATTTGGTTAATTCTCTGATATTTCAGCTGTGAACTTGATAGTAGGGTGGAAATAGTTAGCCCGTTTATTGAACCGATTTACCTCTTTTCTGTCGCAATCCCATAGGGAGAAAACTTCATTAATGTAACGTTTCCATTATTTTGGTTTGGTTTCGCTTTAACTGTTGGATTAATTTCTTTTCAATTTCCGCCATGAAAATATTAGCAAATGGCACTGCTATTTTCATACCCAAAGCGGTTCTATGTTTTTGGAGGAAGCTCTCCTCAACGAATTAAAACGAATTTTCTTTAAGGATTGAGCCATGCATTTCCGTTTTATTAGTACGAGATATATGAAATTAAAGCTTACTCAACGGTTATTTTCAAAACTGAAAATATTTCAATGCAGCATAAAATTGGAGCAAAGATTCTACCCAGTGTTTGAACCGCGCACTCGTTATCAAAACGCTTTGTTTTTCAGTCAAAGGAAAATCTTTCCATTTCATTCAATTACATTCGCGTTACTTCAGTTATTCATGTACCAACTTTTCCAAATTTTTTTTTTGGTAAAATAATAATGTGCATTTAATTCACAGAAAATGAAACTAAGGAAGCAATGAAAATAAAGAAATTAAAAACAACAACAACAACAACAGCTCACCTTTGAAAACAGAATATGCCTTCTTTTGTTAGATCCTGATCGTGTGAGTTATGGAAACAAAAGAAAGAAAATGAAATAAGACTTTCCCAGTCAAACAAATGTAAATGCCAATAATTGATGTTAAAACGTTTTACTCACACAGTTGGTAATAAGAAATCATCGAAAAAAACATCTAAGATGGAAGAAAAAGAGTTTCTCAGGTTGTTCATAAGATTCATTACTTGACATACGGGATCCTCTTATTTTACATCATCACAGAAGTGATGAACATGTAGCTTCTCCTTACAATGTCAATATATTATACAGCAATCAAGTAATGAGAGTAAACAGGCTCATCATTTAGAGGGCGTTTTCTCTATCATTAGCAAGTTTCAATCCTGAACATTTTAGCGCATAATATTCCTGAAATAAATAATTAGCCGCTTCCTTTGAAAACGAAATGATCTCTGGATAGCAAGGAGACCAAATTTAAGAAAGCGATTTCATATTTTCTCTACAAAGCAACGAAGAATGCAAAGCGCTAGTTTAGATGGAATATAAAAATTATCGCTTAAAATAATCATCGCAAAAACAAAGAAGAATGGAATTTGAATTACAACTTGACCATAAGATATCTCAATAAATGTTGGAGCTTGCATGTCATTGATAAGAGTTTGTTGGTTTAAATTGCGCTTTGTCCAATTTTTCTAAACCTCGCAGAAGTAAGAAACATATTCCTTGCCTTTCCAATAATAACATATTCAGTGAACAAGCGGCGAGAAAACGTAAAAGCTTAGGGCGTTCTCTTAACACAGCACCAAACTCTCCGCCCTACAGACTAACAAGGTAATGTGAGGGAGCTAGAAGGAAGAATTGCTGAGTAAATAATAAATTGAAAGGGTTGAGGTGACGCAGACCTTAAACACTCTCCAATCAAGTCAAAAAAACTATTCGAATTTGGTAGGTCTTCACAATGAACTTGATTTCTGTTGGGCCTGATTTGAGGTGGCGAAGACACTAAAAGAGAAAAATGGGAAAAGGAAAGCAAGCTAATTTCTTGTTTATTTTTGTTACTTACCCTTGAACAAGGCAGTGTGCCTTGTTTATTCTGATCGTATGACTGAGGAAGACGAGAGTAAGAAACTGAAATTACGCTTCCCCTGCAAAACAGAGATGAAGGTTAATAAACAGTGTGAAAAAACAAACAGCTTAATCGGTAAAACAAAAAAATCGTTTAGAAACCAAAAACAGAACTAGATTCCTTTAAATTTTCCCATAATTTAAATTAAAAAACACTGCATCTTTTTTCTTTTTGCATCAGAATTTCCTTTTCCTGTATCGCGTGGGTACTTTTACTCTTTTAGTCTCAGACTTTAACAATACCAAATTGCTTCGCGGGCAACTTCTCCCTAAAGTGTCAATATATCATTCAGCCGACAGTTTTGGAGAATAAAGAAACTTATCACTGATATGGCAGTGTTCTCCTTTTCAGGTAGTAACCGGTAATATTTACCGCCTGTAGTACCTCTTATTACCGTTTAAAATTGCTTGGAATTCTTGAAATTCAACCTGGAAAAGGATCGCTCTACCGGTTTGAAAATTTATTTTACCTGTCATGCTTAAAATAGGGGAGAACGCTGATATGGACGTTGTTAAATTAGCGCAACACTTCATTATCTAAAAGTATTTATAGTGACATTTGTAACATTAGAATGGATACTTAGTAAGATTACGGAAGTGAAAGACCTAGAGTTGAGTTAACTATTTTATTTTGAAGACTATAATAAGTTTTAGTCAAGTTTTTAGCAACAAATTTTTGCCAAAATCTAAGGTTATTTGGAGTTTTAAATCCTCTGCCGTTGAATGTTCAATCCAAAACATTTCAGTTTTGTAAAGCGAGAAAAATCGTCTCTAAATGTATTTTTTTACTACTAACCTTTTGAAAATGAAGCGGGACTTCTTAAATATTCGAGTGGTATGATTAATGAAACCAAAAGTAAGAAACTGAAATAAAACTTTCTCTGCAAAACAAAGATAAATGCAAATAGCTATTGTAAGAAAGACGTCAAAACTTAATAGGTGAAAAAAAGATTTTTAAACCAAAGAGAGAATAACGGATACCAAGTGTAAAGATTAAGTTCGATTTTCAAAGAGCAAAAAAAGCCACTTATGAACCTGAAAATCAATCGCTCTCCATCTTCCTCGTGAATTAATTGCACAAAGCAAACAATCACACGAAATAGATTTGCCCGCCTTGAATTAATTTGAAATGTAGCTATACTTTGAATATACCCAGCGTTATCACCGACACTAAAAAACCTTAAGCTACTAAGGACGGCCAAGGCAACAACATTAGTCGTGTCTAAACGGAGATTTTTTGAGTAGAGGAATCTCTGCTTATTTGATGAAAATTTTTATTAACAATATTTCAATTTCCAATTACCATATATTACCCATCTTTTACCTTAGGAACACCAACAACACTTACCATCTTTCTGCATCAGAACATTTTTTTTTAGCCGAAGATAACTGGCCCCGCCCGTGAAATAAACATTTAAAAAACTTTTCAAAACGTTTTTGTACACTAGTTAGGCATGTGTATTGGATTAAGTTCAAACAAGCATTTCGATTGTTATCCAAACGCTGAATAGGTATAAATGAAACCAGTAGAATATCAACAGTTAATATTCTCTTTATGAAACCAATTTGACTCAACACGGCAGAAGTAACGATTTTAACGCGTAAAAGATTGTTTTCCTTAGGATATGAAAAGCATTTTAAAACATAAAGGGAATTTAATCAAAACGACGTTTTCAATACAGCAATGGTCTACGTAAGAGCAGCTTTGATTATAAAGGCGTGAAAATATGTATTGTAAAATGAATGAGATATCACACATCAGCAAATTAACAATAATCAAATATTGTACTCACCACGACTCGAACTTTCAACCCTTTGTTGCTTCGTAAAGTGAAGCAGCCAAATTTGATATAAAAATTAGCAGTAATTGTCTATTTTTAAGGTGATAGGCTTGTGGCGAGTCTCAGCCCACCCCTGAGGCGCTGTGTCTCCCTTCTAACAACATGCTCTGAATACTGGGGGGAGGGGGCAACTCGACTTTCAATTTTGTCAGGATGTGCGATGAACTTCTTGAAGCCTTCAGATTATTTACAGCGGTCTTACAACGCCTCCAAAGAGGGAGTTTACCACTGATACATCATCAACTCGTTTACGTAGACAGCCACAAAGTTGCGTTCCATAGTGTTCTCTATACATTTCCTAAGGTGCGACAAGGAGAATTTCTCTATCAATCAAGAATTCCTTAAGTTGGTGATCATTTCCTTTATTCTCGACACCCCCATGTTTGATTCAAGGGTGAAATTGTAAGGAGAAATTAGATGCTAATAACTCTTAGGGGTGAAAGAGTTAAGATGTAAATAACATTGTGTACAGGAAAAAAATATGGATAGGCTAACTTCTCTTTACAGACCTCTTTTATTTGGTCACCTACAGCTATGACCAAGAGTTCTGTATGTCTTGAGAAAATTGTAATATATTTTCCCTTATAACCCTTTTACACCAAGATTTAAGAAATAATTATCTGTACCATCCCCCATATGTTGCTTATGATTCTAGTCCTGAGAATTTGATGTTAAATCAATAAATATCACCCTGTTGATATTTTTCCTTCTGGTCGTTACATCCTGCTAGAAAATGTATGGATATCGTAAATAAAAATTCCTCTTCTTGGTCACTCCAGGGAGTCAATGGGTTGAAAAATCTTCCTAATACTCTCTCCCTGATAAAGGTAATGGACTCTAAGTTTTGGCCCAAAATACATATACATGTAAATTTGACCTCTTAACCATGGACAGTGAGGTGATTAGGTGGTTATTTGCTCCATTCTGGACAACTCTCAATAAATTTATCTTTCTTCTTCATTTAATTTTTATATTTATTTCCATCATGTTATCAGGTTAAATTAGTTTTATTTATATTTGGTCTTAACCCTTCAACCCCTAACATCACCAAGCATATTCTCCATACTGTTTTCTAGACATTTCCTATGGTATTGACAGGGAGAATTTGTTTAGCAATCAAGAGCTTCTTTAGTTGGTGATCATTTGCTTTATTCTCCTGGCCTTAATGAGTGATTCAATGGGGATATTGTAAGGAGAAATTAGATGCTCGTCACTCTTAGAGGTTAAAGGGTTAAGAGGAACAACAGAACATCCTGATAAGAATCCTGTGTAAAATGAACAGATACAAATAAGAATGAAGATCAATTTAATGTAATCACGCTGAGTTCATCTGGTTTACTAAAAAGTAGGGGGAAATGGTTACTTGCCCTTCAGAAAAAAAAATCACCTCCAATCTCTGAGCATGTAATGTCTGCTGAAACAATGATTGTTAATTTATTTCTCATCATGTATCAGAGGGTCTCCGAGCAAAGTTTATTGATACAAATGAGTTTGGTAATTATTAAAATCTCATTGTAACGTAATGGTACTTTGGGGCTTTGATAAGATAATTAGTGATCTGAGAAGTGACTTTTCAAATATTGATGGAGGTTTTATTGTCTGAAAAATTTCAACTCTCTGTGTCAAAATATTTCCTAACCCTCTCACCCATGAAAACAGAAAGACTCTGCTAAACACAAGTATGTTAGATTTGATCGCATGAAACGAATATTTCTCAATTGGACGCTTAAGCTTGAAATTTTACCTTTCTCAAACTCTTTTCTTCAGCTTTTGACATAGATGATACTTGTGAGGAGAAGGACGCTTTTCACAAAGAAACCGAGCACATAGCTATTCCTTCCGACCAGTTTGTGGAACATCTCAGTTCGAAATCTAAAATGATGTTAAAATACTTGCGGAGTCTCATTTTTCAGTTATTTTTTATAAGAAAAAACTCTTGAGTCAGTGTACAGAGTGGTATGTTGCCTGCATCACTTAAGATCGCTACATTAGGATATGTACATGTATCTCTCACCAATCAGATTGCTGCATTAGGGTTTTTTTATCTCGGACCAATCATATTGGATATGACCAAGCATTTGGATATCTTGTACCACTTACAGCGTTGGGGTATTGCTTTCTTGCCAATGATTTCATGTAAGAAGGGGGCCACGCACAAAGAATGACATCGCCCAAACAGTTTGGGCTCATTTGGTAAGTGTAATGGTTTATGGCCTTCGCGAGAGCCTCGTCGATTAAGGTCGAGATTTATCGGGATAAGAAAGGTTAGCAGGTAATTTTTTGTATCGTTTTTTGAGTTGAAACGTGTTTTGTTTACCGCTCCTTTTCTAACGGAGGAATGGCAGTAACCGTAATCTCCTGCGCAACCTTTGTTTGGTCTCGTCACGCTACGTGCTCTCTCCTCAGTGGGGTAGGAAGGGCATTGTATGACCAGACCAAATAAGGGCTGCAAAGCAGACAACAGTAAGCAAGAATTGAAAACCAGATCACGGTTCTATAAATCAAGGATTAACTTTGAGTTCTGACGAAACCTTGTCAACACTCTTAAATTTTTGAACATTAAGATAACTTTTCGTGTCCAACTTATATTAGTTCCCTTTTGATATACGTAATAGATCTAACGGCTGAATTAAAGGTTTCGTTGTCGTTCGCTTTCGATTCAGTCATGTTTACAAAGCATGCAAAAACGTATTTGACTTAAGAAAAAAGTGAAAATTGTCTACGAAAAGTAATACCAGTGTTCATTTTAAAACAATGTACAGGAAGAAGAATCTTTTCTTCAGTCGTGACTCTGTTCCTTCTCTGCCTCGTTGTTGTCCTCCTTGAGTTCTTCATTCCTGAAAAAAAACACAAAAAAACATACATTTACTACTCTTTTTAACTTTAAAGCATGCAGAACTGATTTCCTATAGAATAAATTACTTTCTTCCTCATCGTCATAGGCCATGATTTTCCAATCTTTCTAAATGTTTGATGCGAAAGTACCCTTAAAATTATCATTTAGTCGTTATTGTTTTTTTTTTTTACAAATAAAGTTAACTTTTTTAGTGTTAGCTTAAGATTCTCAGATTACCTTCATTGTCAAAGTGTCTAGCATCGTATCGGCCTTGAACAATTATTTCCAAAAATCTTCCATTCGAAAGAAACTCTAATTCCAGGCAAATTCTAGAAAGCAATTCATCAAATTCTTCCGGCTCCTAGCATTAGATAAAATAGTCTTCTTTTTCTTGATATTTTATGAATGAAGGACTAAGACAAAAACGAACAAACAAAAAAAGTTGGTCAACTGAACAATTTTAGTGTGCTAATCGGTTTATTATAGATAATTGCACATTACGCTCAGACTTACCTTTTTTTCATAAAATCGAATGTCACGTTATCCCCCATAAGCACAAACGGAGCCCATTGGGAAGATTTGGGAAAGCCGTTGCTTCTCAACCATTGAACGGCTTGGTGAAGAGATTCGCTGGCACTTTCTCCACCAACAAGGTGTTCATAGAAATGTTCCATGAGCTTAGCCGTTGCTTCGTCTTCTATAGCCCACGATGCTACCAACACTGAACGTGCACCGGCTGCTAAGAAAGCTCGAGCGATTCCAATAATTCCTTCCTTTTTTACCAATCCACGCCCACTGTGACAACAGCTGAGTACTACCAGTTTGGCTCGCACCTGAACTACCTGAATGTCGGACATTGTCAGGAGGTAGTCTTCCTCTTGGGGAATACCGTTAGTGGTAGATTGAGGAGAGAGAGCAATCTCTCCTCTTTCGGCATTTCCATGAGCAGCAAGATGTATCAGACTCACTGAAGGTATCGCTTGAAGTACCGCCTGCTTTGTCGCGCGACTTCCTGACAAAGGCTGAACGCCGAGCAGTCGACCAACCATCTCTGCTTCCTTATTTACATGAAACAATGGTGTAATGTCAGTAAGACGTCCATTGTAATGCACTTTGCCAACCGTAGGATCACCAACAACCAGTGCGCCAGTAAGACTGTGATAGTCCGAAGGACATTCTTGGATGAGCCGCAGAGTCGTTAGAGAAGGGACGATGCGTATTCTGTACTTCTCCGATAAATACTTTCCGACTGGTTCATCACACAAGGCAGCAAATGGGACTCGATACAAGAATCGATCGGGCACAATGATGATTTCAGGCTCAGTAAGTAAATCTGCCACAGGTGCGACGATCCATTTGTAGCACAATTGATGAGTTCTTTCGGTATCTTTAGTTTCGTCACCTCGCAAATTTGCCCGGCTCTCTTCATGAAGAGATGTCGTCACGTCGTCATTCAATGATCGATCTTCGCAGTTTGCGGCGGGTAAAACTCCAAAGCCGGCGGCGCTCTTTTTGAAAACTCCTTCCACGTCGCAAACTTTCTCAGCAATTAGGGTGTCAACTTCCGCTTCATCTGTTGCTCGGAAGAAAATGTCTCCATTTGCTTTCAATACCCAGAGAAGAACTTGCCGTTCTCTATATGAAAGGAACAAACAAACACAGTTTCTTTCTCTCTTCATGATGTTTTCAATCCCGAACCATGATTGTGGATCAGCTGTGAAGTGGCTTTCCAGAGAGTACTTATCTGCCATGAATTCAGCGAGGACTCTTGCTCGTACCAGCTCCTCAGCATAAAGAGCATCTCGAAATTTTCCAATACGGCATAGCAAGTTAGTGAGTAACTGGTAGGGAAAAGTACCATGTTCTTCTAACAGAGACATTTTAAATTCACTGTTTCCTTTCAGAAAAGTCCTGATTTGTTCATATTTGCCGATACATTGAAGAAGACATTGGTTTGCCTCCACAACCTCCGACTGTGATATCTTTAACTGTGTAATACCAAGAAGGCTTTGAAACTGAGTCATCTTATATCCAAACTGGCTGCTTATGGAACAAGCTTTCTCTAAGTAGTCTTCTGCCTTGCCACTTTCACCAAGCGAAAGGTATAGATTTCCAAGGTTTAGGTAAATTTCTGCTTCGAACTTTCTATTGCCACATTCTCTGCTGATGGTAAGCGCCTTCTCACAATGTTCTTTTGTCTTCTGATAGTCATTAACAGAAGCAAAGACAGCTGCCAAACCTGCAGTAGCGCAGGCTTCTAGTTTTCTGTCACCAATTGCTAAACTGACGTCAACTGCTTTGTCAAAATATTCTTTAGCTTGCCGATTTTTTCGAAGCTCAAAATACACACCTCCAAGTTTCGAGTATATCGAGCCTTCTCCTATTCTGTTACCAATTTCTATCGCGATGGCAAGTGCTTTCTTGTGATATTCTTTAGCCTTCTTATATTCACCGAGGGATTGATACACAGCTCCGAGGTTCCCGTTAATGTTTCCTTCTTCTCGTTTGTCCCCAATTTCTATCGAGATGGCAAGAGCTTTCTCAAGATATTCTTTAGCCTTCTGATATTCGTTAATGGAACCAAACACAGCTCCAAGGCTCCCGTTAACTGTTCCTTCTCCTCGTGTGTCGCCAATTTCTGTTGCGATGGCAAGTGCTTTCTCGTAATATTCTATAGCCTTCTGATATTCGCCCCGGGAATCAAACACAGCTCCGAGGTTCCCGTATCTTGTTCCTTCTCCTGGTTTGTCACCAATTTCTATCGCGATGGCAAGTGCTTTCTCGTGATATTCTTTAGCCAGATGATATTCGCTAAGGGAATCAAACACAGCTCCAAGGTTCCCGTGAATTGTTCCTTCGCCTTCTCTGTCGCCAATTTCTATCGCGATGGCAAGTGCTTTCTCGTAATATTCTTTAGCCTTCTGATAGTCGCCAAGGGAATAAAACACAGCTCCGAGATTCCCATTCCTTGTTCCTTCTCCTCGTTTGTCGCCAATTTCTATCGCGATGGTAAGTGCTTTCTCGTGATATTCTTTAGCCTTTAGATATTCGCCAAGAGATTGAAAAACAGTTCCAAGGTCCCCGTTGCTTCTTCCTTCACCTTGTCTGTCACCAATTTCTATCGCGATGGCAAGTGCCTTCTCGTGATATTCTTTAGCCTTCTGATATTCGCCAAGCCAATCAAACACAGCTCCGAGGCTCCCGTTACTACTTCCTTCTCCTCGTTTGTCGCCAACTTCTATAGCGATGGCAACTGCTTTCTCGTGATATTCTCTAGCCTTCTGATATTTGCCAAGGGAAATAAACACATTTCCGAGATGCAAGTTACTTGTTCCTTCTCCTCGTCTGTCGCCAATTTCTATTGCGATGGTAAGTGCTTTCTCGTAATTTTCTTTAGCCTTCTGATAGTCGCCAAGGGAATGAAACACACCTCCGAGATTCCCATTCCTTGTTCCTTCTCCTCGTTTGTCGCCAATTTCTATCGCGTTGGTAAGTGCTTTCTCGTGATATTCTTTAGCCTTTTGATATTCGCCAAGAGATTGAAAAACAGATCCAAGGTCCCCGTTGCTTCTTCCTTCACCTTGTCTGTCACCAATTTCTATCGCGATGGCAAGTGCCTTCTCGTGATATTCTTTAGCCTTCTGATATTCGCCAAGCCAATCAAACACAGCTCCGAGGCTCCCGTTACTACTTCCTTCTCCTCGTTTGTCGCCAACTTCTATAGCGATGGCAACTGCTATCTGGTAGTGTTTTTTTGCCTTCTGCATTTCACATAGGTAGTAACCTACATTTCCAAGTCTTTCATGAACCTCAGCTTCTCCCTTTTTTCTACCAGTCGTTTTCCAGATGGCGAGTGCGCTTTTAAAAAGTTGCTTTCCCTCTACAAACCGGTTTTGTGCTTCATATTTGTCTCCCAGTCGTGTTGTTAGTATTCCAACGTTGAGGAGCGTTTCAAGAAGTTTATTAGTGTATCTTTCTGCATTTGCGTAACCAGAGATGGCGAAGTAAGCATTGAATATTACATGGGAGATATCAAGCTGAATACCAGTGCCAAGGTTTTGAAGTAGAGTTGTACATTCATTACATAACTCAGTCGCTTGTAGGCCACGATCAGTGTTGAGAAGAAATATGCAGACATCTAAACCTATCTGGACTGACTTTAGGATTTCTGCTTCGTGATTCATCATGGCTTTCTCCTGTTTGTTGTCACGGGAAAGAATCAACAGAAATAGGAAACTTAGAAAAAGTAAAACTGATAAATCTTGAAGTACTTAAGCTGTTTCTAGGGAGGTTGTCGTTTGTTTCTTTAACAAATGTCTGAGCGCAACATTCCTTTTCAATCTTTTATCCAAACCAATCCAAATTGCATCAGCTGGGTTGAATTCAAATAGTCGTTCAGCAGGATTGAATATAGCTATCAAAAATGTCTCACCAATAGAGCAGCGCTTAATTTACCAATTTTGTTATCATTGTTGTCTTCAACTTATTGCATGCTACCCAATTAGTCATATTTGAATCTGCTCACAACTTATTGCTTGAAAATGACTTCCCCTGAGAGTGTTGCAATAAGCGGTAAACTAGGCAAACATTTGACTTCAACTCAAAGCATGTATATTTAAATCTTATTTATTGAATAAACGATAGGCAACATTTTGAATTTCTATTGATCATGCAATGATAGGATAGGATTGTTAGGATGAGACGATTAACGTTGGCGCCTTCCACGCGTCGCGAGCGTCTCGCGCGTGTGTTCGCCTCATTCACGCCTCTGCAACTCACTTAGCTGCCTCGCTGCTGAAACAGGAGAGAATTTTTTTTAATAACACCTTTAGTTAAGGCAGTAAGTTTTCTCGGACTTTTACTTAAAATAATGGCATCTATGTTATTCGTACGTTTCAATTTTGAAGAAATATTTTGACCTTTCTCGAAAAAAATTATTCCTATCATCTCAATCAGGAGATATGATGCAAGCACAAGCCGTCCGTCATTGCGAATAGCCAATGGCGGACCAATTTTAGTCTGTTTATAAAGCAGGTTTTTCTTCCCTACTCATCTTGTACACATGCCTGTCACTCATGCACCAGCTTGTCACTCACTTCAGCTCAGTGAGCAGCTGAAATCCCAAAGTTCTTTTCTAAATCAAATTTTCAGCCTGGCATTGATAGATTTTCAGTGAATACAGTGCATTTCAACCTTCAACAACTGAAATATTAAAGTAGATGTTTCCTTTCTTAGGTATTCTTTCATCATATTTGTCCAAATGAAAATCAGTATAAAGATTAGAAAAAAAGTAAGTATTATATAGTGGTTTTACCCACGTTTATGTTTGTTAACTTGGTCAACTTGGAGCAAGTAGGTTTTATTGTTTAAATTGTTTCGGTAATGAACTTTGAATTTAATATTTCTGTACTTCATCGCAGTATCGTGCGAAAGCTGTCAAACTGACTTTCAAAGGGAGGGTGCCAAAGGGTTTTACACATGAAGCGTGATTAAGGCCAAAATTAAGATATGAGGCGTGAATTTTACAGAAAGGCGAACGTGATTTGTGAATCTATGATCTAGTGTAAGGCGTGATTTGCCTCCTGAAATATAATTAACCCTGCTTTCTTCTTTCATTTCGTAAAAACCTCGATATTTCCCAGAAACCTTATACACAAGCAGAGAGATTTGAAGTTTTTCCTTTAAAAACGTTACGCGTGAATTTTTCTAAAATTCGTGCGTGAAACAGGATCAGGATCCCCTCTATTTGCTACCGTCCAAAAACCAGGGTCTTACTTAGCCTGCAAAGCAGGCTAATTTTGGGGAGTGAGGGTTCGGTATTTTCTTAACGAAAATTATGGCCGCCATCTTTGATTGTGATGGCAGCGGAAGGCTGAGGAAAGAAAGAAAGAATTTGTTCTAAGGGGGCGGTCGACGGTCGAAAATAAGGAGAGGGGTGGGGTGGGGAGTGAAGATTACGCCTGCGCCTGCCCAAAGTCATCGTTATGATAAAAGTAAGAGGGTGGCAAAGGGGCGGTTCCAATCACACATCACCCACATACTTTACAAGTATCGAACACAGTAAAAACAAATTAAACAATCAGGATATTTAACACAAGAGTTAAGCTAATTAAAGTTGCTTCGTTGAGTATCGTCTTCATCCAACGGCTTGTTTGCCTCACCTTCGAAGTTCTGTTCACGAAGATTTTTGATTTTTTTAATTCAACATCTGAGGTGTTCGTCTGGGCATCATAGTCATCATAGTATGTTGTTTAATAAGTTAGTAGTCGTAGTAATGACACTGTTTTCCTAGTTTGTACCTACATATGGCTCATAAGTTATCTCGCGTGAACTAGTATGAACTTTGCTAATTTGGCTATCTTTCAATTTTCAATTCAACTTTCAATTCCTACAGTCTTGCGTACGAATTGAGTAGACGTCTACGCCACCTTTACTATTCTTTGATACATGAGCAATATTTATGTCAAAGCTTTACCCAGTCCCCTTTGGTGCGGCACTATCTTTATGTCAGTAAAGGATGTAACGTGGCTTTTGAATTCGTTTAGGTCTTCATGACGACCTTGGAAAAATTTTGTGTACCACTAACTGGTACACAAAATTTTTCCTTGTGTACTTGCTCATTGCTTGCTTTACTATCTTCTCGGACGGCATAAAATGACACCAAAACTCTCACGAATTTTACCGTTTCAGCTATTTGGATCGTTTGGGTTGATATTCTTTCAGATCTTTCATTCGATGGATTCGGACACTTTCTGGTCTTTCTGGATACGAGCTGACGCACTACCACGACCAGGCGGTCGACAGAAATAACACTGAAGGTCATAGACCTTGCCACTCTCAAATAAGATGGTGCGGTCAAGCTCCGGCTGTCAATCACAAGCCAAAGGTGTCATTTGAGCGTCATTCTGACATTTTCCTCTTACGGGAGAAAGAGAATGATGGTGAACTCTAATTATGAAGTTATAGTTTCGATTTCGCTCTCGAGGAAGCACTTAAGAGGCGATCTCTGTAAGAGCGGTCCAAGGTATTTCGCATCGGAAAAAAGTTTTCCCTCAAACTTTGCCCAATAAACTATCTTTGGTAGCAAGTAAATAAAACCACATTAGTTTCTGGAAATACGTTGAAATAAAATTTTTAGAGCTCTCAAAAGTCAAAGCTGTTAAAGGCCCTTTTTTGACCTCTTGCGACATCGAAAATTTCAAAAGTTGAATAACCTGGTCCTCGTATCACACCGCATGCAGCAAAAAATCTTTTGTATTTTTAAACTGTGTGACATGTTAGGTGAAAAAAAAGTATTTCAATTTTGATATTTGTTTATTTAGGGTTCGTCATGATTTATTTAAAAACACTCGTTAGACAGCTTTCTGAAATTGGTCAAAAGTACTCTTTCCTTCTTGGTTGATATTGCTCAAGTCCAGACCAGACCATTAAAAACTCCGCTTGATTTCTTCTAATAAGATGTTTGGCTGCAGAAAAATATAAAAACATCTTGCACTTATTAATTTTGTTCGCCGCGGTGACTTCAAACTTTCAGTGATTTTGCTAGCGTGACAGCCGATTATGCAAATTAGTTCATTGAACAAACTCCGACCGTTTTATATAGGTAGCTCAATAAATCTTAGATTTTAACCACTTTAAGTTGAAAAGATAGTAGGACAGAGCTTTTAGACTACACCGATTGATACTCTAAACATTTCAAAAGGCCAGAATTTGACAAATTTTACCCTCTCGTGACGCAAGACGTCAACAACAATGCATCGAATATCATAATTTGATTAGCGCTCGCCTAACATTTTAATGGCAAACTATTTTTTAAAAATTTGGCTTCTGCTATTTCATGCATATTTGAGTTCTGACAGCTTACGCTATTCAAACCTGTACGAACATTTCAGAACCAAACAACAGGATTCTATTTAGCGTAACCGGCGATAACAGCACACACTGAAATACACCTTGACCAGTGACTCTGTCACGTAATTCCATCGCTTAATTGTCCTGAATACCTCTCAAGTCTAAGTAAAGCAGCGATTGCTTGAATTTCTAGCTGACAGGAACAAATGATATTTGGTCGTCACACCTGTCTGCATAGCAGTCGCTGTTCATAACTTTGGAGAGTTCTTGTGAAAAAGGATATCGCATTCGCTTAACGGGTGAACGTCATAATTAGACTGCATTACAACTCCACTCCGAAATCATTTCCTCCATTTTTGCAAGAAGTGTTGTCTTTGTATCTCGCATTTTGAATGCGAGCTCAAAATGTTTGCACACGTCTCTTAGTACCTTGACTTTTAGGCTGGGCAACCTTCACCCTCTTGCCAACGAGCACACATCATAGACATCAAACATGATTGGATGTTTCAGTCCTATCTCATCCATTACTGTGTTCCTGGCCTCTCTCAAACACGAGTACTGCCTGACGGTTTGCGAAAGCCGTACACTTGCACCTCTCGTATGAAGAGCTCATCCCATGGGAAGCTGTGAAGCACTTGTCAAGGGTTCTGTGGCCACTGCAACCAGTTCAGTCGAACCCTCTAATGACAATGACTGAAAGTGATGAACCCACTCCCTCTTCACTTTGCCATAAAGACTTTCAGTCATGCTCGCAGACACAGGACTTACATGATGAAATACCAAGTTCATATGGAGCTCTAGGTCGGATTCTGTGACGCAGGATTTTTTTCAACAGGCACCTCACTCTTCGCCTGTGCTCTTGCCTTCTTTATTTGTCTATCGGAGAGGTTTTCAAATGGCTGATGCATGCGTTTAAGCTCGTTGGCTGAAAATCTATCGGCATAAATACTCAGTATTTGAGTCCTAAGTGATTTTGTGGGAGCATTCTGATAGGCGACCGTAAGGGTTTGAAGGCCAACATCAATAGCTGTCTTGCACTTCTCTTCATGGTCTACGACCGCTTGGAATAACGCTTTTCCATTTCCTAGAGCAATGATATCGCACACCAGCTGGCACGCTTCCCCAGCGTTTTGAACAAACCCAGGTTTTTTGGGAAAGGAGCATTTTTCCCAACAATCTACTTGGGATTCCAAATGTGTAATCCTGGGCTTTTGTGCAACATCGGCGAGGCTATCAATATATGCATATAAGACTTGAATTGGATCTATGCTAAAGTTCTGAATAGAACTGTCTTAAAGACAGGTGTGCAGACAAACTTTCTCTTATTCCTGCCGACTAGAATTCTGATCCAAAAAATGATGTTATCGCTGCTTTATTTAGAAAGGAGAAGCAATTCAGGATAATTACACAATTGAATTACTAAAATATATATATTACTATAAATATTAAAGGTGTCTAAACGGAGATTTTTTTGAGGAGAAGAATCTCTGCTCATTTGATGAACCTTTTTTATAAAAAAAAATTCGATTTCGAACTGTCATATTTTACCCATCTTTTACCTTGGGTACACCAACATCGGTTACTATCTTTCTGAATCGGAACATTTTTTTTTGCCGAGGATAACTGGCCCTGCTTGTGCAATAAATATTTACAAAACTTTTCAAAACGTTTTTGTTCGCAACTTAGGCATGTCTATTTGATTAAGTTTATACAAGCATTTCGATTGTTATCCAAACGCTCATAGGTATGAATGAAACCAGGAGAATATCAACAGGTATAATATTCTCTTGATCAGAACGAATTTGACTAAACACGGCATAAATACCGATTTAATGCGCAAGAGGTTGTTTTCCTTAGGATATGAAAAGCATTTTTAAAACATAAAGGGAATTTAATTAGAACGACGTTTTCAATGTAGTACATGTACCAATGGTCTACGTAAGAGCAGCTCTGATTATAAAGGCGTGAAAATATGTATTGTAAAATTAATGACATATCACACTAAGACATCAGTAAATTAACAATCAATCAAATATTGTACTCACCACGACTCGAACTTTGAACCCTTTGTTGCTTTGTAAAGTGAAGCAGCCAAATGTTATGTCAAAACTGGCAGTAATTGTCTATTTTTAAGGTTATAGCCTTGTGGCGAGTCTCAGCCCACCCCTGAGGCGCTGAGATAGAGGGCTCCCCCTTCTAACCTGACATGGTCTGAATACTAGGGGGGGGGGGAGCTCGACCTTGAATTTAGTTGGGAGTTGGGATATGCGATGAACTTTAAAGCGGTCTTACAACACCTCCAAAAAGGGAATTCACCATTGATACATCATCACAAAGTTGTGTTACTTAGGCGAGTGTGTCACGCCAGTAGAGCGCTTTTTTTTTCGTTTTTTTTTTGTGTTTTGTTTGTTTTTTTTCTATGAGGAAGAGAATCTTTTGAAGAAGATGTTATTCGCTTTAGAATGCAGACAAACACTACGAGGTTAGAATAAACTAAACAGAAAAATTGATGGGCTTAACTTGGAGGGTTTCGGTTTGCATTCCGCAATTCATTTACGTGAAATGATATCCTAGAGCAACTACGTGTAAAGGAACATTTTTTATTTTCTCTCAGACAGAGAAACAGGAGTAAGCAAAGTCCCCTAGCAGCAAATTTTGGTCTCGTCGCGCAACATGCTCTCTCTCTCTCTCTCCAAGGGGCTATCTTGCTTGACAAGATCAGACAATACGCGTGGCACCAATGCAGGCAACATTAGACAACAGAGGAGATAGACACAATAGAACACAAAATACCTGTGAGTGAATTTATTTCAGACAAATTATACGGTTTTTTCTCTCTCTCTTAGGCTAAAATATTGCGATTTTTCGTTCCTTTAAAAGTTAATGCTCTTCAGAGTTTAACACATATGAAAACATCATTTACGCAGTGTCCCACTTCAACCCTCTCAGTCGAAAATATAACTCTTACATGCTTAGCATGCCTATAATTTTTACAATGTCGGAAACTCATGGTAGACGTCTTCCAACAACTCTCTTTCTGAAATGCGCCATAACTTAGCAACGTGATCATGTGACTTGCATCATAGCAAGAATTTGTAAAGCTCGTAGTTTCAGAGAGAAAATCGGTTTCCAAGTGACAACACTTTCAGATAGATCATATTGTTAAGTTTTTTTGTTTGTTTTGTTTTTGTTATTGTTATTTCGATTTCTAGTTTAGAATGAAAGAAGAAGGAATGCTCAATTAATAGGCCCTAAAAAAGCAAAAAAGCATAAGGATTTATTACAAAGACTTAGGTTCGAGTTACTCGATACGTTGAAAACAGTGTTTAATTAAAAAAACAAATAAGGCGCCGAAGGAGGAAACAATTCAATTTTGAATTGTGTTTTAGAATTCACATTTGGTTGAGATCATGAAATTAAAAACGGGACATTCGAACTTTTGTTTGTACTTGAAAGAAAAGTGGAGAACATTTGTGTAGAAACGAGAGACGAAAATTATGCAAGGAGAATATAGAAGCGATCCATAAGCTAAACGCAAGTAGTTTATTTGCTTACTTCCCTCGAAACTAATCTGGGATTAATTTAGGAATCCGACAACTGTTTACATTTCTTACTGAAGACGTCCGATTTCTTGACTTTGGGAAAAATATCTAAAAGAAAAACTTCACAACTGGTTATGTGGTAAGCAAACAGAAACAAAGTTTTACTCTTCGACTGATCTGCTTCTCCATATGGCACCAGTTCTCAAAAATTAAAGAGTTCGTGCCGACGCGGAAATAGGGTAAGATGTTTAATACTTAAAACCAACATTGATTTGCGATCCCTATCGAAAAAATCTGAGTCACTCAAAAAGAAAATTTTTCTCGGTCAAAGCAGACTACCTATGGAATACATAACATCTTCATTGCTTTTTTTAATATATATATATTGTGGCAACTCAGGTAATATTACACTACTTACAATGTTACTAACAGTACTAACCGGCACCAGTTATCTTGATTAAAATTACAAACTGGCTTATAACCGCTCATTGTTTCGACAAATTATTGAGCCATTGTAGCAAATGGCTTTAAAATTTGCGTTTGAGAATTTTAATTTGAAAAGACTTAGGTGAATACAATTAAAAGTAACAAGAAGGAAAATAAGAGTGGAGTTAGGCAACACATAGGCCGGCTCCGTAATGCACTTCTCAAAAATCTTCAGAAATCAACTGGGAACTAAGCGAGAGCCCAGTTATCAGTTTACCTCTTGGTTGGGATTGTTTTGAGATGAGCAACGTTGAGCATCATAGTCCGGGTCTGTTATCCAACCGCAGTTGATAAAAGAAGGGTGCGGTAGCCTGCCCCATTTACACTAGCAAAATATGTTTGGTTAAACCAGGTTTAAATGAGAAAAATCAATCATAGAAAACTAAAATACTAGATTTTCCATAGGGCTCAAGTAATCACGAACTTTTACTGATTTTAGTTGTGCTAAATTTGAAGTCAACAAAGATCAATTAAAACCTCACAGAAGAAAACCATTTCAAACCGTGTTTTACAAAACAGCTTAAATTAAAACTTGTTTTAGCTTGGGTGTTAGTAAATGATTTACGGGTTTTCGGGTAGATCTTTCTCTCGCCAAGAGTTCTTTTAATAGCCAAGTTTTGTTTTAATTTGTTATTAAGTACAGATAATAAGGATGACACTCAGAGGTATCTTAATGCTTGGCGTTCTTTGCCGACTTACAAATGTTGCCGCAGGTAAGTGAAGCTTAATGTTAAACGTATTAATCAGTTCTAAAAAAAGGTTCCACAATGATACGTATAGAAACCCGGTGTGGCATCATGCACAGTTCAATTTAGTTTTATCAACTGAGTTGATAATGTGAATTTGCCACCCGCGTAAAATGATTCTAAAGCTGATGTTTCGAACGTTATTAGTCACTTGCTCTAAAGAAGGCTGATAACGCTCGTAACATCAGTTTTCAACATCTTAACGACGGTCAATTTACATTATCAACTCAGTTGGTAAAAACGAAATTATATTGTATTACAGCCAACGACGCTGCATTACAGTTTCTTTAGAACCGAACTTACTCACTTTGTTCATTATGCACAGTGTCTGATTGGCTCCGTCCAGAAGAGGGCAAGTTAGTCTTATTAACTGAGTTCAGTTGATGACATTAATTGGCCACGGTAAAGAGTTTAAAAACCGACGGTTTGAGCGTTAGCCCCTCGTCAGAGCAATTAGTCTAAAAGTCTCGAAGAAACGAATAAAAGAGATCCTCGCACCTATAAACACTACTGAACTAGTAGTTGAAATAAGACCTGAAAAAATTTCAGGCCCGTACGGGATTTGAACCCACGACCTCTGCGATATCGGTGCATGGTCATGGTTCAAATCCCGTACGGGCCTGAATTTTTTTCAGGTCTTATTCCAACTACTAGTTCATTAGTGTTTATAGCTGCAATGATCTTTTATATTCGTTTCTTCACCGCAGTACACATATACGATTTTCATATATCTACAATCATTAAGTCTCGAAGACTTGCACTGCCCTCTCAACCAATGAGAAGTAAACTAAAAAACTGCGAAACTAAACCTCGTCGTACTCAGTCACTCGCTGTTTCCTGCGCTTCAGGTACTTTTCTAGTTTATCAAGACTGGGTCCTTGTGAAATTGACCTTTGTCAAGTTTGTCCTGACTAACTAACACCGTTCTTTGTTAGATTGTGTTGCACATTTATCATTGTCAAATCACTGTTCATGTAATTTTGTAACGTCAGTCTTGCTTGTTCTTCACCAAGGTGCTGCATCGCCTCACGTCAGTTGCAACCGGACGTACAAGAAGCTTGGCTGCTTTAAAGCAAACTCCAAACCATTAGACACCCTATTGATAACTGACCGAGGCAAAGTGGATTGGGAAAACTGGGAAGCTTACGTTCACAGGTAAAATGATTACATGTCACGCCTTCGACTTATAGTTCACACTCATTTGCTCTAAGGTTGGGTGTAAATTTTGCGAAATCTCTGTCTTGTAGAGGAATGTTTTCCTAGAACTAAGTACGTCGATTGAAATTGTGGGTTTTGAATTCATGCATTTGGTTGCATACGAAAATGCTATGCAGTGACTTGTCTTAGAGGTAGTAAAAATAGAAAGGGAGGTGGGTGGGTCAACAGATATTTTTCGCTTCAACTCGTCCCCAAAAGTGTAGCAGCTATTAATCTTCGTTTTCTTTAATGCACTGTAGCCTGGCCTGCCGTTGTACCGAGGCAACACGAAAGAGAGGCTTTACACACTTTGGGCTGCAGAACTTTGGAGAATGTTGGAGTGGATCTGATGCAGATAAACGGTACAAGCGTGATGGCGAATCAGACCAATGTGTAATGATTTTTCAACAACCGTTTTCACTGTGTGATAACCTGGACGACCCTAGGGAGTGTGCGGGATACCCGAATGTAAACTATGTCTATCGAATTGGTGAGTAAGATTCTCTTTGCTTTTCTTCTATATGGAACCTTCACGCTGACGGGAACTCCCAGGGATTGAGTGCCCCTAGGAAAACCAATCACACTACGAATCTCACTAAGGATATTAAAAAAAAAAAAAAATGGCTCCGCGACCTAAACAACTGAAGTTTGAGTTCCAGAAAAGAAGTATTCCTTTGATAAAGGTCTCTCGCAAGTGAGTGACATTTGTCTTTCAGTAAATACATAAACTGACTTTCATTAGGTTTTCGAGCAGTTTCAAGTTTAGTATTGAAAATGATTCGGAATCGAATTAATTTTGCTTTACTCTGTTTTTGTGGCAGTAATTGGTCAAAAAAAGCTCGTGCCACTCTCTCAACCAATCAGATGCAAAACTAAAACTAATCGCAACTTGGTCACCCGCGTTTCCCGTACTTTAGGCAGTTTGCTTGGTTTGACTTTGACTTCTCATTGGCTCTTAAGGGTATTTTCCTTTCTTCTGATTGGTTGTGGTGATAACTTTGGCTTTGGTTTTACGAGACTCAATCGAAAAACGCTTTGTGCTCAGTTCTTCGATCAATACATGTTCCACATTCTTGCAAGCCTTGTACAAGCCAAACACTGTTTCCCCTCACAATATTTTCTTAAAATTTCAAAACGGAATTACTTGTCTAATACCCCGTTCACACCAGCAAAACATGTTTTGTTAAACTGGTTTTCATTGAATGAAAATTATAAACAGAGAACTGAAAAACTTGATTTTCCATTGGATTCAAGTACTTGCTAACTTGCATTTCCAATGTGCTACATTCAGTTTAAGCTTTGGTGTGAATGGGGCATAAGTTGTAAAATTGCTGACGTATTTTAAGGAAAAAATGGTCTCTTTCTTTACATTTGACTCTTTATCAAATTTACTTTCTTTATTTTGTATGTGTACACTCAGAAAACGACGATGAATGTTCGAAGAGTCCGTGCAAAAACGGTGCAACTTGTGTCAACACACCGAAAGGTTTCGACTGTAAATGCCCGCAAGGATTTAAGGGGGCTCTGTGCGATGAAGGTAGCAATAATCTGACAGTTATTAATCCTTGAAAATTCCGTGAAAATATATCTGTTTGGGCAAAGTAGATTCTATTTTATCAATTTTTATCAGATATTCATGTTATTTATAATTAGTTAGACCATATTTCTGTAAGATTATATTGGTCAATATATATATTTCTCTTCCTTACCGTTCCAGATAAAACATGTTGTTTGGTTTTGTAATCTGGTCGTTCGGGTGAGAGTAGTAATGCAAAATGTTTGTGCCAAATTTTGTGATATTTAAATAAAACTTTGACCTGAAAAATTTAAGGGGAACACCCGAAAAAGTACAAAAAATGCACATCTTCAGAAAATGCAATTTAAAATATTTGATATCATGAAAATGTCTTCAAACCAGTTTTTCACACCGAAGTCACTATTTTGACAAAGTATGCAGAAATGCATGTTTAAAATCTTCTTTTGCTCTTCTTCCGCCTTTTTTATTTCCCACGGGTACACTTTTCCCACGGGTACACTGAAAGGTTCCATTCTTAAAAATCGTCAACTTCCTATGTGGCAAGTGACTTTCTTGGTCAGTATTTTCCAGATTTTCAGAATGGTGGCAAGTGTCACAGACATCCTTGATGCCTTCAACTCTAACATTTGTTTGGTCTTTTCAGTCTCTATTATCGCTCAAGGGAGCTCAATACTAAAAAAATGCTCTCAATTCCGAGAGTACTCTTGAATTCTCTATTTCCAGCTTGAAATGAAGAAATGCACACTCCAAACATGGCTCACTAACTCTGTTTGACTTTATCGGTGTAGATATAGATGAGTGTTCAAACAGCCCGTGTAAAAACCAAGGCACGTGCGTGAACACGATTGGTGGATTCCGTTGTACGTGTCCACAAGGATTCAAAGGCGATCTCTGTGATGAAGGTACCTGATAGATACTACGTGTATAAGACAAATGACTCGGATGTAAGGGTGCAACGGTGTTGGATTGAACAACCGATGCTCGAAAGTTAAAGGGCTCGTAAGTAAAATCTACGAAAGTTTCTTTCGGCTATGGTTTAATTTGATATATCGTGATCACGATTATCAGTAATTTATTTCTGGGACCACATGTTTACTTCAAATTTGTTCGGGACCCTCTTATTTTACTCTTCCCCAGTCCCTTACGAGGGAGGTGCACCTCAGGGGGCTTTACATGTAACTGTGCTCAAAGATTCGAAGGGAAACTATGCGAACGAGGTATCCTTTATCTTCTTTTAACTGTTTTTTTTTTAACTCTCCTAAATTTGGACGATTATTGGCTTGTTGTGACGAAAGGTAATTAACAAACTGAGGTACGTTTTTGCACAGACGTTACACTCGTCTCGTACCAGACCTCGCACGCCCGAGAGTAGTTACCGCCATTCCGAACGTAGAGGCAGAGTCTACGGAGCAATGTAGTATGTCAAATGCTGCTGCTAATGGTGTTTCATGTCCTGTGTAGATGTGGATGAGTGTTTGAATAACCCGTGTAAAAACGAAGGGGCATGTGTCAATACGATTGGAGGATTCAGTTGTAAATGCCGACAAGGATATAAAGGGGCTCTCTGCGATGAAGGTACGTTTGTTGTTAAAACCGCACCTTGAACTTTTGTTGACAAAGACGTGATTAATGGCGTTGAAGATGGCCTGAAATTTCCTTGTTTTTGCTTTGCCTCGCGCTTAATCACCTGAGAAAAACCTTCTGTTAGATTTAACTCAACTTATTAAACTGAAAATAAAATAAATAAAATTGATCTGGCCCGACTCAATTTACCTTTCCTCCTCAGTGTCTTTCCGAAATTTCCAGAGGTTGTTCATGCAGAATGGGTTTCTAAGCCACCTGCGTCGCACATTTTCTTGACATCCGGTTTTTCTCAGCTGTTCTATGACTTCCGATTTTCCTTTTTCATTTCATATTCTATGAAGAGTTACTGTTTGTACCTAATTGAAGTAGAAACTGCTTGGCAATATATTAGTGATTTTTAGCGTCGTAGAGAACGACCCTTCATTAGAATAAACATTTACAATCGTTTAACAAGGACGGCAAACACCACAGAGATGTAAAAAAACATCAACAACAACAGACAAAAAGAACTAAGTTTGGAGTTAAAGATGAAGAGACTAGACGCCGACTGCAAATGGAAAACTTGAAAAAATTCGGGCTGTGTATCTTGAGTCGGACAATCCATACCTTAAATCCTTTGACAACTGAGCTTATCAAGTGGAATTGTTCTATATTTCTGCTTCTCTAATGAAACTTTTAGCGTTGATTGAAATTATCTTATTGAGCAATCATCTATGTTGTATAAGGTCTGATAAGCCCTCACGCTATGGGCCTCGTGTGGAATAATCTCGATACCAAATCTGTGCAAAACAGTTAGAAACACGTTTCTCCTTTTAGACATAGACGAATGTGCCAATTCTCCATGTAAAAATGGCGGAAGTTGTAAGAACAACCCCGGGAGCTTTACTTGTACATGTCAACGGGGATTTGAAGGCAAACTTTGTGATCAAGGTATGATTTCCTTTTTTCTTTATGATTTAAATTTATAAAAAAATACTTTTTCATTTTAAAAATTAAGGTATAGTAAGAGTATAGTGAGGTATAGTAAGAGAAAATCGGTGGAGCTTGTCATGACGGTGTGTACTTATTTCTACTGAGAATAATTCATTAATCTCATTGCATAATTGTTTCAGATGTGGACGAGTGCTCGAACAACCCGTGCAAGAACGGGGGGACTTGTATCAACTCGCTTGGAGGATTTAGCTGTAAATGTCAACAAGGATTTAAAGGGGCTCTGTGCGATGAAGGTATCAGATCAAAGTCAGTATTTCAGCAACTGCGCACTTACCCATCCTTTAACCCAACGACAGTCAACTGATAGCGAGGTAGGGTTAATGTTGGGTAAGGGGAGGGGTAGGTGCGCAGTTGTTCAGATCGTAGAATTGATCCAAGATATCCAATTAACCCTATATCCAATCCAATTATCAAGCAAAACATGTTTTCTCATCTCCTAGCTTCAGAACCTCCCTAACATACCCGCCCTCTTTGATTTTAATCAAAAGACTAATGAAGAATTAGCGTTTACCTAAATGTGCCAAACCACGTCGACCCAGAATAAATGAATGCTTTCTGTCGTATGATCTTTAACTCGCAGCTGTCCAAATTCGGTGCGCAAACCAGCCGCCATATTTGAACAGTTTATTCATTTCTAGTTTCGCAACTCGTACTATTGTTATTCAAAATTGCTCTTAGTCATAATCTTTTTTTTCATTCAGACGTAGACGAATAAGCTAGTTCTCTGGCGGAAAATGTACAGACACAACAGGGGGTTTTACGTGTTTTACAATTTATGCTATTACGGTTATAGGTTGATTTGTGATCTTACCCACCCTGTTTCAGATGTTTAGTTAATGAAACGAAGCGCGGTAGTAAACAGCGCGATTGTTTAGCAGCGGTGTAAAAGAAAAAAGGGGGCTTGAGTCGCACGCTAAATGCTGACCCAAGCCCCCCTCGGTTTCGCTCTGCTGCTTCTATCGCGCCGTTAACAACTTCGCTCCGTTTTGCCAATTGATCGCCTGGAACAGGCTACATCTTACCTTAAACTAACTTTTACGTTCTTTTCTATCACAGATATAAACGAGTGTGCGCTTAGTCAACCCTGTAAGAACGGAGGAACGTGCATAAATATCGTGGGTAGCTTTGAATGTAAATGCAAAAAGGGTTACACAGGGACAAATTGCGAGGAAGGTAATTTTAGCTTATGAATCACCACTTAATTTTGCACCTAACTTTTCAATGTATCCCACCGAAAAGTGCCAGAAAAATCGTTTGCTTAGTTCTAGATCCATGTCAGAGCAGCCCATGCCAACATGGAGGCAGCTGCGTAAGGAGAGGGCGTGGTTTTAAATGTAAATGTGTCGCAGGGTTCCTTGGTAAACTCTGTGAGAGAGGTAAGGACGTCTAAACAAGTTACTTATAATGATTATAAAAATGTTTGTCTTTAGCAAGCTGTAATTTCGTCATAAAATGCACACTTAGCATATTACTTAGGGGATTGGAGGAAATACAAATACAGCTGTCACTACCATGACAAAGCTTGCTAATATTAGACGGTGGTTTTAAACACTCCATTGGCGACTGTTCTATGTTTTTCCTGCAGATGAAGATGAATGTAGAAAGAGCCCTTGTCGTAAAGGTTCCACGTGCGTTAATAACATAGGGAGCTTTCAGTGCTTGTGTCCCCCCGGAATGCAAGGGAAACTGTGTGAACAAGGTAACCGTGGTAACCATGTTCTACATCCTAATTGTACCCAGTACAGTATTAATTCTGATCTCTTTTTTTTAATATGAGGTTGAACTGCAATTGCGACTATAGCCTGGCCCTCATTATTGGCGCTGTAGGACGTGGCGAGATTTGAGACGAGTCAGGGAGACTTTTGCCAGGGGTCTGGCAATAGTGCTAGACTCTTCACAGTACCCTCTCACCGGCTCGCGTAACTCATGACCTTACCTTATACTTTCCCGGGAGCAAAAGAAACACCCATGCCAAAGCGCTAATAATGATGGGCCTACTTGTAGGCTACTTCGATTAAAAACCTTAGGTCTCATTTCAAAGAAATATTACGTTTTTACAGACGTGAACGAGTGCCGGCAGCAGCTGTGTTTAAATGGAGCTACATGTGTTAATTCAATTGGTGGCTTTCACTGCAAATGTAAGAGTGGATTCAGCGGAAAGTTTTGTGAGAATGGTAGGTTAAACATATAAATATAGACTTTGCAACTTTAGACCATTTGAGTTGATTTTAAGGAATATTGCCTCTAGGAAATAAGACTTCGCTCCTTAATTTCTTGCGGACTGGTAAGATTTCGGGTATTTCCCCGTTCTCGATCGGTTGTATCTGCATTCATTGAGCGTGTGTTTAACTGTCACTTCACATAAAAATAAGGAGGTTTCTTTTTCCAACAGATGTGAACGAGTGCAAACTTGGCTTCGACCCCTGTAAAAATGGAGGGACCTGTGTCAACAAACACGATGGATTTCAGTGTCTGTGCCCACCTGGCATTACAGGAATGCTGTGTGATGTTGGTATGACAATCATTGTGTTTCTACCATGTACCTAAATTCGATCTCTAAGATCTTGCAAAGATTTTCCTTGATTTTTTTATGATATTGCGAAGATTTATGTTTTTGATTTTTTAAAATGAAGTATAACCACCAAGAAGCATCGTTGGTGAAGATACAGCTTGTCAGCAGGCCGTCATTATTAGTGCTAAACTCTAGGTAAACGTCTCCCCGACTCGTCTCAAATCTTCCCGCGGGCGGAGAAACGCGCGTCGTGCAGCACTAATAATGAGAGCTTGATGAATGAGGACTGTGCAAGTACCTTGTACTTCCGAGCCCACAAAAGAAACGTTTAGCTGTATTCGAGCCAAGAAAATTAGCTAAAGCAGTATCATTGGGAAAAACCTGCGTAACAAATACAGAATGATTGCAAGGCTGCCCCGAACGTTTCCTCTCCCACCAGCGCGCAGCTCTCCCAAAAAGATTCAAAAGCCTGGAAAAGTCAAAAATAGGATATTCAACTGGTCATATTAGAGATTTCCACCGAGAGGTAACCTACTATAGCGATTAAAATATCGAGCTCTTTTTTCTACTTAAACACAATTTTTCCTCACAGATGTAAACGAGTGCAAGCAACTTCTATGTAGAAACGGCGCTGCATGTAAGAACACGCTTGGGAGTTTCGAATGCAGATGTAAGAGTGGGTACAGTGGAAAGTTTTGCGAGAAAGGTTTGTTAATTTGAAATAGTTTGTTAACCTGATACGATCGAGTTTGATCGCGCGACAAGAGTGTCGCTGTGAAGCGGAAGCTAGTGAAACGCGAGAGACTTGGGTCGGATCGCGTTCCCAAGCATCTCTTGTTCTTTCCCTCTTCCGCAGTTTAATATCGCGCTCCGTTTTACTAACTAAACGCCTGAAACAGGCGAAGGCCATGTAGGTTATCGAGAAAATTTATATTACTTCACACTGTAATTGGTCTCAGCAAATCACATGCAAAATTTAAACCAATAGTTGGTCATCAGCGTTTTCTCGCGCTCGCTTTACTTTGAGTTCTCATTGGCTCTTAATGATGTGTTTTATCTTTCCTCTGATTGGCCGGTCTGAATTCTTAAGTATTAACCGAAAGACACTCAATGGCAATACTTGCTAAAAGCATATTGTATTCTTTTCTACTGACCAGGAACCTGCTCCAATCAGGGTCAGTATGACTTGGGTCTGATCATCGACGGCGGTAGAAGCGTTGGTAACTATGGTTTCGTTCAAACTAAGTGGTTTCTCCTACAACTAATTTCCCGGTTCTCTGTGAACTTACGCAAAACACACTTTGGAGTAATACTATACAATAACAAGCCCCGGTTAATTTGCGGATTTACAGATGCGACTTCTTACAACCCAGTCCTCCTCAAACTGAAGATCTTGGCTATGGAGTTCCCGAATGGAGATGTAAGAACTGACAAGGCACTGAAAATGGCGGGAGAAGAGTTGTTCAAAGCAGGAAAAGACAGACAAAACGTCCCTGATGTGCTACTCGTGATTGTCGAAGGGAAAACTGAACAAAACAGCGAGCCATATAAGGATGTTCTAATACCTCTTAAGGTTTGTGTAGTGTAAGAACAGACCAACCAAACAGCCGTAAGTCTTCCACATTTTTTCTTTCGATAGGCATTTTCATTTGCACGTTTATTAGTTTTGTTACACCACATTAGCACTTTCTGGGAATTTTCAACTGACTATTGATATTAATCCGGGACTGCGTCGTTTTCTCTCATTTCGCTTGTGATTGGTCCATTCAACTTACTCCACTCTCTCACCCAATCAAATGCGACGCAACCGCGATTTGGGCACTCCTGTTTTCCCGCGCTTTCAGAAGTTTTGTTGTTCTTATGAGGAGTCTCCACAAGCTATATTCACTGCCTCCCTGTGATGTTCCTTTGTTTTGATTGGTTGATGTAATTACATTGGTTTGACGCAACCCAATCGATATACGCTCTTGACTAACAGCTAAATGACCGTGTTCTTATGTCAGGATCGTGGTGTGAATATCATAGCTGTTGGAATTGGAGATCAAATTAGCGTGGATGAGTTGAAAGAGATCGCCTTGGGAAAAAGTGACAACGTCATACACGTTCAAACAATCGGTGACCTTAAAGCTCAGGAACTCAAGGAGAAGATCCTGAAGATATGTTAGACAGAATATATCGCTACAACGAAGACTGACAATATTTAAGAAACATTCTGTTTACAACGGGGAACATAACATCTTTCTATATGACGAGATTTAACTTGTTTGATCTATGTCTTCTTACGATAAACATAAACTACTTCTGTGATGGTTATAAACATAAAATCAATAAAACGAACGGGTGGTAGCTTTTTAGTTTGCGTCATCGAACTCATAAAGCCTTGTAAGAATAAACCAGAAAACGAAACATTCAAAGGGTCCACAGTCCATAGCTACATACATACTACATACAAAATTTCAAAGAAGGAAAAGATAAAAATGGTTTAATATCAAACCTTCCTCCACAGATAGCACTCAGTTCGTGAATTGAAAAAGGGTTTTAAAACAATCCTTACCAAATGAAGTGGGAAAACTTTGCTGAAGTGATAAGTGATTTAAAGTTCCAACTCTGAAGCATTTAAGGTTAAAAATTACTTCTTTCATTTGTCCATCCAAGAGGGATTTACTGAGATGTTGCTTAGTCTATCCAATATGTTCCACACGATTTCACAGCTGGTTCTCTTAAAAGTCATTTATTGAATCTCTAGAACTAAAACGCCCTTCTGACTGAATACATGCTTGTCACATTTGCACAAGGTCTCGTCAAGGGGATAGGTCGGTTGTGTCACGTGGCATATTATTGACTAATCATAAGTCAAGGACCACATACCATGGACAAGACATCAACCACAGAATTCTTACCCACTATATTACTTGCCCGCCGACGCAATTCAAAAGTCTCTATAGAGACTAATAATCTGGAACAAGACACGATGTTTTGCATCAGCAGAAAGAAAGCAGCACTCACATGGAAATAACTTAATCACGCTATTCAGATCAACCCGTACAATATTTAATTCCCCAACCAAAAAAAAAAAAAACCAGGGCACCGTAAAGCTGGGATGAGCATAGGATCGAGGCAGCTACTGACTCTGCTTGTGCGCATGTCACGTACATGTTATGTTTTACTTTAACCTTAAAGTAGACTCAATTTTCACAAAGTCAAATTTAGAAGTCGTAAAAATTGAAAACAAATGTATTTTTTGATTTTCAGGACGAACTTGTTACTCTATGGCCTAAAACCATTCTCTGCTAAACAAACATTTTCTTGTTACGAGGTAACACGACCAATCACACAATTTCACACGATTCCAAGCACGACATCAATGTAAAAAAAAATTTAAATTTCATCTGCAGGAAAGGATAACGCAAATTTTTTGTTAATCTTCCTATTTACAACAGTACCATTTTTACATAATAAATATCTTCTTGAAATATACAAATTTTTTAAAATCTCGCACTTCATTCAAACAGTATTCATGGTACAAAACGGTTAATATGTTGATTGACAACTGTCAATCAATCATCAATGGCGGCTGGACATTCGATGAACAGACATCTGTCTTGTGGGTGACGGTGGAACACGCGACGGAGGCGGCGGAGAGACTGGGGCAGGCAGGGCAAGGATTGTGTTGTCAAATGTTACCTAATATGGACAACGACACAATAAAGTTAAAGTGTATTACAAGCTGACGATTGCTTATACTGACAAGAAAGTAGTTGCTTAAAGGGAACCTTACAATTAGCAACAAACTTGCAAGATGTGAAGCAAGTATACTGCCTGGCTCACCGACAAGTTCATTGTAGCTAATTGGTCGAGCATCTGACTATGAAATCAGAAGGTCTGGGTGTAGACTTTTGCTCGTCCCCACATTCGTGACAAACATCGCTCTTTATTAGCAAAGTAATATTAAACGGTAGGAGAACATATCCAGGGGTGTAGAAAGGTGTAACAGTTATCACCATACATATCCAATAAATTTTACAGACAACAAGTGCCTCAGCAAGAGTAGTTTATGGATTATCTCACTCGCCCGCCAACGCTGCACAACATATTCTTTAACAACTAATAACCCCATTCATTTCTGAAGACTTACGCTGTTCCTTGTCACCGGTCCCTCGCCAGGTATCACCGTACCACCGGACTGTCTGTTCAAACGAGACCAGGTGGCTTTCAGTTCTTGACGATGCTGACGATCTGAGAAGATAGCAGAGCCAGGTAATTAAGCGGTTTTAAGACCAGTGAAAGAAAACTTCTGTTGGTAATGAAGGGATGAATTTAGTGGTAGGTTTGAAAACACTGTTACGACTGAAACACGCGAGTCTCACCTCTGGCGCGAAGAAATCCTTCACCACAGCTCACACAAACATACTGATCTCTTTCTATTTCGTCGAAATTCGTTATCTGAAATCATAGAAAAAATTTACCGGTAACCAGATGTGTTACAAAGCTAAGCTTCGTGGGAAGGGCCCAGTTGTCTTCACGAAACTTGCGGCAAGGATGCGCGAGAAAGAGATAGAGAGAGAAGAGAAGCCAGTATATGAAGGCGTAATTTTTTTAACTTCATGTGGTTAGGTGATATGAAGAGGATCATCTATTCCTCAGAGCAAGCAAGTAATCGCTTATGGTAGGTGTAAAAACAAAGAATACTCAAGAAAACCATCGCTGATTTTCTCACCTCGTCGCCATCCTGTGTAAAAATTCTTCTAGCAGCGCTACTCAAATTCAGGCGGGCGGTACTTGCATCTAACAACTGAGCAATTATCACAAATTATTGCAAGAGTTAAAAAAGGGATTAACACAATTGTGTTTTAATAAAGCTATACTAGAGCTCCTTCAACTCAAAGACTTAAAACTCTACCTACATTGTTTTAAACTTGTTTCGCCCTTATTTTGTTTCCGGCAGAATGTCTTTCTAATGGGGACACTGTCTATACCTCAAGTTTCTGCTTATCAACACTTTTTACTGGTGTTCCCAAAATTTCGCCAATCAAATCAAAGATAGCCTCACAGGTGGAGAAGTCATGGTAGTCACATGATAACATATAAACCTATCAAAATTAAGATTAAAGTGGATAAAGTCATAATGGTAGTGGGGCGGCATATCATTCGAGGTCGGTTCGTTGAATTCCTAAACAAGCATAAGAAAAGAGAAAAAGTCAAGTCTTTGCAGTAAAAATTTTAAAAGGAAAAAGACAAACCTCTTGCATGGTGGCCCCAAAAGCAACCACACTTCGTTGCTTTCCTTCACCATTTGGGAACACGTTAACTCTCACCTGCACAAAATAAAAATTCAAACATCGCATAAATTCAAAACTAAACTAAATTATATTTTGAAAACAAAAACGATATAGACAGAGAAAAAAGAAACAAAAACACAAATGATAAATTAGGAGAGAAAGTGTCTTATTCGGAAGAGTCAAAGAACAGAAAAACCTGCAGTTTCCGACATATAAAACGGACAATGCAAGAAATAAACGTAATTCAAACATTTCCGATGCAGGTTGAATGATTTAATCGCTTTTCGTTTCCTTCAAAGCGGCGCCTGACCAGACAAGCGATTAACAAGAATCCCTCAATTCCTAACGAAGAACACTAACTCGGGCACACAAATCAATATAAGTAGGTCAATCTCCCGTGACAGTATGTACAATACCGTTTTTGGTTTAGAGTAAAGCCTCCGTGTGGATTCTTTTGCACTTTTGCTCAACACAACTTCACTTTGACTTTGTCGCGATTTCACTCCGTGTAAATGATTCTTAGGATAAAAAAAATTGAAAATTGGTGATAGGACTGAGTGGAGTTCAATTCAGTCTGTAGTTTTACGTGTGATAAACAAAATCGGTCGACCGCGGAGCGGGAGTCCGATTTCTTATTACAAGTATTAATACAGGTAGAATTGGACGACACTAAGTCAATTAAGTAACCAATTAATCAAAACTATGACAAAATTTAAGAAACAAACTAGCCATCGCTTATACGTTTTCATACAAAAAAAAACCAACAGTTAACTCGGTGAAATGCACTACAACAGCCAGCGTACATGACGCGTACAGTCTAACTACACAAGCATAACGCACGCATTGCCCTGCAAGCACAACGAATGGAAATAGATTGGGATGCAACTCCAGGGTGTAACAAGATGGAAATGAAGGGATGAGTAGGCAGGCATCAAACCTTGAGTTCATTGATGGCCTCTTCCTTTTTTTCCTCGGCCCTGGTGGGTTCGTGCCATGCAACTGTCAGTCCATTTCCCCTAGGAGAGGATGGAGGACTCATTCCATTGATTCGTCGTCCTGACGACAACAAATAGACAGGAAAATCTCAATCGCCATGGCGCACAAGTATTTCGTATTCTAGTCAAAGTCAACCGCCAAATCTTTCAGGGACTTTAGTCTGTTAATCCGATTAACTGTTTAGAGACCCTTTGTTGATACAATCACAAGGACAAAATCTGCTGGACTTCTCAAACGTTGCAAAGAACCACAGCTTTGAAGGCATAGAAAAATAAACCATTGCGAGGGAAAAAGCTCTGAGTAATTCTGTAAGTAAACTTACTGCGGTGAGAAAATATGCCACAGAAACAGGACCACAAAACAACAAAAAAGGACCAAAAAAAACTATGATAAAGAACTCATTCAACAAAATCTGCGGAGTCAGGCGAAACGTAACGCCTTACGGTAGTTAAAGACAAAAAAAACACCTTTCTTAACCAATAGCAGTGTTCTATTTTGCAACATATGTGATCCACCATATTTTCAAACAGGCCATAACTTTCAGTCCACTTACCCTGCATATGTCGCAATACGTGTTTCTCCTGGTCAAGGTACGCTTGTACCCAGGTTCTCTCCTCTCTATGTTTCATCGAAAGTAGATACTGCTTATCAGCCTCTGACAGAAGTCAAAATAATTGAATTTACTCAAAGTGTGCACTGATTGGAACCTTTAGGGAGTACTACTGCCTAAAGGTTCCACGAGTTAGGCACGTTCGGACTCGAAAGATAAGTGACTCATCTTTCGAGTCCGAACGCGCCTGACTCGTTCCAAGCGAACAAACTATCTCAATAATAGTTTTAGTTACATTGGTGCAGCCCTCTGGATCAGTCTAACTTGTAACCGTAGAGAGACAGAATCGCCAAGTCAATTTAATCGCTTACTACATCTCAAATTTATAAATTAGACACACGGCGTTCATGAAAAACAAGCTTTTAGTTGGTGAATAGTTGGCTCACATATAAACTGTAGTAAGCAATTTGTAATTTTCAGCATAGATATAAATGCGTTCATTGTTTGTCGTAGCCTAATGAATTTTTTAGCGTGTATAAAGAAAAAGATAAAAATATTAACGCTTATCTCGGTCAGCAAAGACGGGCGAAATGGCGAGCGAACAACGCTTGGCGGTTGCGATGGGAAACAAGAGCGGTATGCGATACTTCTGCCATCCTCGCGCACGCGCTTTTATACTTGTGTCCATTGAGTGAGAACATGGCACAAACCTTCCAAAGGCATAAACGGTTCACCACAGGATACCCAGACATCAATAGGCCACCGAGCGTCCCATCTGGGAAAGTCTTGTTGATCTTTACCGTTTATGATCGGCACGGGACCAGTGCGGCCTTCACTGACTCGGAATGTCACATTCCCTGAGGACTGGTCATCTTCGTGTTCATCGTCCGAGATGTTCAACTTGTCAAAAGCTTCTGTCTCTAGCAGTTCTTTCTCTCTTTCTTCGGCAGCAGTTAATCTTGACCCCTTGGTTTTGGAAAATGGGCGGTTTTCTGCTTCCACAACGTCTACTGCATGACCATTATGAAGCAATCGTTCTTCAGGGATCTGCAAATTACAAACGACCATCAAAAAACAATAGATATCCTGCTAAAAATTCTTCAAGAATTGATTATTCATTTGACCCCTGAGAGTGAGTAGCATCTGATTTCTCCTCACAATGTAACCTCTAAATCGGATTTATGACCCGCGTGCTTCACACTTTGGCCCTAAATCCGAGCAGAGAAAACTCGGTCTGTAACTTACTGAACGGACCTCAAACCCGATTAGTAAGAGGTATTTAAGAGGGATAATATGTCGCCATTTCCATTCTTTAAAAGAAGATTGGAATTGATCTGTGAGAAACCCTTTACTGTATTTACCAGTTGTACAAACATAGATGACTTTGACTTACTACACTCTTACTTGACGATCCAATTTCTGTTTGCATATCGCATCAATTTTAGCTGTCCAGTATTTAGAGAACAGAACCAACCTTGTTAGCTTTGCTGTCGAAGCTGGCAATCTGTTGTTGTGTTTCTGTGTCGTTGTCCTGCTCATTCCTCATAGCATATGGTCTAATAAGCTGCTGTACATCAGTGATCAGCTCCCCACAACACGTGTACAGGCGGCGGGCAGCTGACGCCAATCCAAGTCTAACTGTGCACTGATCAAGTAGCTACATCAACAAAGACAGGAAAAATTAGGTTCGTGCTATTTCTAGAAAAAAAAGGGTTTTTTTTTCTCGCGCGGAAACCGGTAGACAGGTGGTCGAAAATAGCCCGCGCCGTGCTGTTGGTCGCGCTCGAAGATAAACACCTCACGCAGATAACAAACCTGGAACTGTGCGTTGAGGGAGGCAGTTGGGGAAAGGAGGAAATGTTCACTTCAAGAAGACTGCCATATGATTTCAGTAATTAGGGATGCACTCTTACTTGAAATGCAGAATTTAACTTGACTTCTTACACTTAACCCTTTCACTCTTAAGATCTTATTAGTAATTCTCCTTACTGTCTGCCGTAAAAATTCATATGATGTTAGCTTTGAGAATTTGGTATTAGATCAAGTAATAATCCCCTCATTTATATTCTTTGAATTCTCATCACTTGTCTGCTTGACATTGTATTGATATTGTAGGGAGAAATTCTGTCTTGACCAGCCATGGGAGTTAAGGGGTTGACCCGCAAATTTGTAGGTTGTGCATGTACAATATATTTCTCAAAATTAAAGAGAGAATTTGACTGAGAGAAGTAAAATATAAACACAAAGAAATGGAAAATACCAACTTGAGCTAAATCCCCTTGAGCAACGAGGGCAAAATGTTTTTGAGAAGGTAATTTAAGTGGTTGAAACGATGGCACCCTTAAAAACGTACCGCGTGAATACTGGAGCCAATAATAATCTCCCCATGCCCCCTGCTTCCTTCGCCGTTCTTGAAGGCCCTTATTCTGACAGCAGGGACACTCTGAGCCATGTGCAGCTCACGAGTAATGGTCCGCACACTGCCTTCATTTCTGAGTCTTCCAAGTTGATGCTCCCACAAGTCCAATGTGGCTTCTGCTTCAAGAGTTGATAGGTCAACCTGTTAACGACAAAAAACATAACGTAACGGAACGGAACATCGCTGAAGGCAAACACAAGGTGGGCCATATCTCGTTACAGAAACACGATCCTCTGGCGTGCAATAAAGTTGAAAAAGGTATAGGAAATATGACACACATTTGTTATCGCTCAATACAAAGAACCGATGTCCACTCAATTTTATTTAAAGCACAATGTTTTTCTGTTTTACCTTGCTGTTCAAGCACTTGAAAGAACTGCTCAGCCTCAACCCTTTCTCTTGTGCTGGAAGAAAGGAGAAAAATATTTTAAGAAAAATCCTTTACTTTTGGCTGGTAACCGAAAAGAGAAAAGGAAGCAGTAGAGAACAATAAGAACAGTTCTATCGCCACGTCGGTCGTTGATTGCAGTACCTGCGACTTCTGTAACAATGCCTGGTTTTCATATGTAGGGAAAATCCAAGACGGCTGGCAATTTCACTTTTTCCCAACAATGCCAGATTTTCCGTAAAATGAAAACTCGAAATCACAGATACCCGACTGTCCAGGATGGTCGGCGACAAATCGGAAAAATCGGGAACTTTTCTATTTTCCCGACGCGTCTCAGACTTCTGCTATGATCTGCGATCATTCATTGTCGAGGAGGTTGACGATAGTTCAGCCCGCTACCGTGTCCTTCAGATACTTAGTTCCAGTACCCCCGTGTCATAAATAAAATTCAATATCGGAAGAATCTGCGAGGACAGACGTCTTACGATCTCCAGATATAGTGGTAAAATCTGGGACGGTCGGAAAACAGTGAAATTGCTGATCGTCGAGGATTTTCTCCACATATGAAAATCAGGCTTAAATGACTTAAGAGAAATATGGTACTCAAGGAGAAACGAACGGAACAGAAACTGCTTGCGGCGGGTCCCCTGCGTTAACCACATCTTTCGCGATTCAAGGATAGGAAACATCATCAAAAACAATATATGTTGTTTTAAAACAAACCTGTTCCTAACGCACACGCAAAGCCTGTGTGATACTGATGAAGTCTCTGTAGCTTATGTCTCCCTCTCGACACCTTCCCGCAAGCTTCACACAGGTAAGTTTCCTTAGATGTACCAGACATGTACACATAGCCCTGGGACATAAATTATGGTTCAATAACATTGCAGAGTCTGAATTCATACACTTTAAAGGCAACCTGAAGATATTTTTGTGTACCTATATACCAGGAAATTCTTATGGGTCAGTGATAGTACTCTAGATGTTTTACTAAGCCTCCAACCGGAATTGCTGAGTAACGTTAAACGAATTTATGATTTAACAACGTTTTGAGTTTCCAAAACGATTGTGAGATTGAAGAGAGAGAGGAGAATCTTCTCCTTGGATGTACTTACTGGCTGAGGAACTTGTTGAGGTCCCAGCACAGCAAATGTACACACGTTAGCCTTGTTAGCAGCAGAAATTTCTGAAACATAACATGAATAAAAAAAATTACTTGTCTGCACCAACCGTTGTAGTGTTGTTGAATCAAACTTTAAACTAGGGCAGTAATCATTTAAATGTTCAAAGAGTCCAAAACTACCCCAGTTTGTCATATCATACTCCCTAACAACACAGCAGTAAGACAAGCGAAAGTTGTAGAGGCTGGCGTATTTTCACGCTGACAAACCAAGTTTCCACAGTACGTTGCAGTGTTTGGAAACCGTATCTTTTGGTAGGGCCCGAAATAAAATGGTAAATCAGCGTGAAATCCGCTTTGTGTACGAAAGTTTCGAGTTTTCCTTTCCTCTACTTTTTGTTTCCGTTGACAGATTTTGACATGAAAGTAACAATACTTTTTTCTCATATTTGGTATGAAAACTGTTATTTCTCATGTTATCCTTTACAATTTTGCACGGGAAATTGGCGCGCGGCCGACTAGGATTGATCCCGTTGCAAATAACGGCGCCAAAATCAAAACTATCAACGAGTTGGTATCATCCATCACGTTTCCTGCGCTACTAAAGCGTCGTGATACAATTGGCTTCATTGAGATACAGCTGTTGTCCATTTGATCAAATTAAATTAACTGTACCTCTGTTCGTAGTATCTGCAGAAAAAGCCTCTATAAATCCAGTTATAGGATCATATCTCCACAACTGACTGGCATTCCCATTGGCGCAGCCCTTACGATGTGCTACAATCACTGCTGCTCCTTCAAAACCTTGCTCTGGGGAGTATTCTAGGGTGAATGGATCGTTCGCCAGAGGAGGGGTGGTAACTGTTAACACAAGCTGCTGGTTGGAGCGCTGGTATATGGAACTGAAACAAACCACAAAAATGACTAAGCACATAATTTGATGTATCAAAAAAACAAAAAACAAAAAACAAAAAAAATTAATAAGGTACTTAAGCTTACCCATCTTCAGCAACAACCCATCTCTGAGTAAAATCCTCCAACTTCTTTTTACAAAGAACAACTTCAGATTTTCCCTTCAAGATAACAAAAGGTACACAAATAAATTACCTATTCAGAAACACTGCTAATGTATAGCTCTGCCTTTATCAGGCTGATATAGGAGAAATCATCGCTTCACAAGCCAAGCTACATGTATGTACTATATCGTACCGACATACAAGCGCTCTGTCACAAAAGCTGCAGCCTGATTGGATACCGCTGCTCGCTATATATTCTTAGCTAAACAGTGAGTACATTAAATAGCAGGTGGCGTGAGCTGTTTGAACACGAACCTGTTTAGTTAAGTTTTGACAGACTGGTAGATTTATACAAGAGCAGTTTTCAAAGAGTGTCGAAAAACCAAAACCAAAGTCATCCCAGCCACCAATCAGAACAAAGGTTTATATTCTCAGTAGCCAATAAGAAGTCAAAGTGAAAACAAGCAAACTGCTTGAAACGCGTCTGATTGGTTGAGAAAGTGGCGCGATTTTTCTGGACCAATCATAGAGCAAAGTTTAGTAAAACCGAAGCAATCCCGGATAGACACTTCAAATTTGCTCTGAAATGATTCGATCATCCGCTCTAAATTTCTACGCATGATGGTTGATAAGGGCTTGACCTTATGCGAATGATCTCATTGTGACTTAATAGTCTGTGGAAGCGATCTTTGCAGCCATAAACACAGCTTACGTAGTAGTGAAAATAGGCCTCATTTTCACTACTTCTGAAGAAGTGTTCATAACTGCGAGGATTGCTTCCATATTCGATTCTTAAACCGCAGTTCACATATGTGATTTTCATATATTTACAGTCATTTATTAATAGTCTACGTTGTGACAAGACATGTTTTAACCCTTGAACTCCTAGAAGTGATATACATGTAAATTCTCCCCATAATATCCATATCCAACAAAATGTGATAAGAATACTCAAAATCAGGTAAAAATGTAATCTTGATCTACCACCAAATTCTCGTAACTGATTTACAAGGAAACATATTACAGTCAGAGAGGAGAATTAGTAATCTGGTCTTGGGAGTTAAAGAGTTAATGAACTGAGTATGTAATATAAAGCACAATTTCCTGAATAGGTGTTCTAGATGAGTACCTGTCTTGGACATATTGTTCCTCTGTGGCGCATTAAAGAGAAGAAAGGATATTTTAACAACTTCCTCTGAAAGCTCTGAAAAGTACCTCATTAGAAGAATCTGTGAGTCCTAACACCAACGAGGTTCCCTTAAGGCTGATGAAGCCATCATTGTTTAAGGACCACCTCTGTCGCTGGCAGGGGTCTGCTGGCTTGGCATCGAGAGTCTTGAGAACCTGGCGTCTGAAATGTAAAAAGAAGATTGAGTGAAGGGGCTTGATCATGTCTATACCCGACAAATCTGTTTGAATGACTTACATGTAAACTGTAAATATAAAAAAGGTAGGGGAACATGCTAAACATGGACAACGTCAAGATTTATTAACCATCCTTCACAAATCGTGACACAATTTGAAATTTCTGTGCTGACCCTTGTCAAGCTCTTTCGAATGAAATTACGTGTTTTTGGTTCCACGACACATTTGTTAAAAGCATAGGCCAATCCCTTCACGATGCACTGGGTCTGTGCCAGAAAAGTCTGATTTGCGTGACTCTTTTGTTTTTCCACGCTTGTGATTCAGTTAATGTTACTATGTTCTTATTAAGTTTCGCGTGGTTACTCACATGCCTCGGTTAAAAGTTTTCAGACAAAAGAAAAAAAAGCCTAATTTAAATTTAACAGTCAGTCTAAATGAACAATTAAACATCAACAGTCAAAACCGAAAGAAAGATCAAAAACGTGTGACGAGAATGATTTTTTTTTCCTACTAAATTATAATTTTATTTAACAGATACGAAAATACTGAGGAGAATGATAGAATACCTAAATTTTCTTTGTAGTTGTCGATCAGAGAACATCACTTCATCGACGAAGTCGTCATCATCCTTATCATCAACTGATGGGTCGTCTTTTAGGGTCTTTTCATTTTCCCAAGACCACCGTAAGGAATTAAGGCGCTGCTCAGCTCTGATGTGAGACCTTTCGTGAGCATTTAAAGCATGGCTGTAAATATCCTCACGACTAGAGGAGAAATGGCAGTGAAACGCAAATGCATTAGATATATTAGACACCTTTTGCTTCAAGACCAAACCTTGAACCTAAGTTTTTTTCAGTCTAGAATACCTTTCCTCTTCCATGGGTAATTCTTCGTCATTTTTGCCAGAAGCCAGTTTTTCTCGTTCATCAGAGCTCAGGGCACATTTCACGACACACACACGAGAACCAGTGGTAACAGCTCCGTCAACTTGAAGGACCAAGTCTGTCAAAAGCCAACAATCAACAAATAACAGCAACATTTATATCAGATCTATTTATAGAGCTACTCGCATGCATTCTGTACTATAATTGCACCATTTTCGGCATAATATGTTGACAAAACAATGCAGTTGTTGTGATAACCACATTTATCTAATCAGGCTTACTTGATATTATCGAATAATACCTCTCTAACCCCAGACATTAACTCCTCAGGGTATGTGGGGTGGACATACACAAGCGAAAAGGGGGAGGGAAGGGTGGAGGCGGACGGCTGAAATTAGAAAAGATTTTCTCACCAAGCTACCAGAATGAGTGTCACCCACTTATTTTTTACTTAACACAACCAGTGATATTCTCTGTGCTTAAATGGATTAGAACTCTTAAAAGTACAACGACACTCCACTTTTAAAAATGTTAACAACGGATCAGACGTATTTTTGGCACCCGAATTTAACAATACGCCTGCGTTTCAGGCTGAGTAAGAAAAGCAAGTATACCTGAAGGTTCCCTTAAGGCACAGTACTGTCTAATGTGAGAGATATCAGCAGCTAGGTTTGCAAGCACTGCTCTCCTCTGTTGCTCAGAGTAAGACAGCTGTGGATCACTCCAGGGTTCACCACACGTGACGTACACAAGTTGATTTCTCTCCAGCTCTGATAAACGAGCAACTTCTTTGCCGTCTTCAGTGTAAAGTCTTCGAGCAGCAAACGGCAAACCAACTGCTTCAGTACATCTATCGAGAAACTGTTGAGTGGTTGTGGCTAAGAATTAGTATATGTGTTTTAGCTTGAGCGCAAAGTCCTTTATTGTTGTTTGTCATAAAATAACCAGCGTCTCAAAATGTAAGGGTTGTGAAGTGTGAAATAAAATTATTTGGTTAGCGTCACCCAAGAAATTGAAAACAATTTAAGGTGGCTTTGACCACCCACACGTCTTTTCCATCAACTTTGGAAAAAATTTATATTAGTATGGTCCGACTGGCCATACTAGCAAAACACAATTGTCACCAAGATCATGGGAAATCAAGAAAGACACTAAATGAAAATACACCACACTTTATCTTGTCTAAGATAAAAATCTTAGATCTTTATCCAGTGCTTGTATCAGCTTGTTTGGTCTGACGACTGGGTTTGAGATTTTCATCAAGACTGGAACAACATCGAAGTTCTTTCTGATTAAAGAAATCTATAAGACATACAAGATCCAGTTCAAGTTGCTTGTGATCACGTGGATGACAGGAACCAGCTGAGTCTTCACCAGCATGTTCATGTTTGCTCAAAGTCGCTCGCCTGAAACACAGACACACATAGTGAAGAGATTTCTTGAAATAGCAATAGCTGTTCAACCCTCTACACCCTAACGTATGCATATTCTCCAAACTGTTCCCTATACATTACTTAAGGTGCTGACATGGAGAATTTGTTCGACCATCAGGAGCTTCTTTAGCTGGTATTCATTCCTTCATTCTCCTGACCTTCGTGTGTGATTTGGGGGTGATAGCGTAAGAAAAAATTAGATGCTAGTCACTCTTATGGGTTCCAGGTTTAATTTGTTGCAAACTTTATAGGAGAGTTCAACAAGAGCAAAGTACAAATGAGGCATTTCTCTTTTTATATCCTACCGGGCAAAAACAACAAGTAACACATGGACATACTCTCAACATTTGTTATGACTCCAGGGTTATCAATTATATGTTACAGTTAAAGTTTCCTTTTAGTGTTGGGATTTTTAAACGGTATGTTCACTTACAAAGTTCATTCGTCTATATAAGCACTGGAAAGCTCCGTTGGGGGAGTGGTCGATTAATTTCATGATTATTATATTACTGTACTATTATTATTATTGGAGCAGTATTTAGCTTAAACAAATTCACCTTTTGTGTTTTTTCAAAGGACTTTTTGGACTTGTGTCATTGACATCATGAAGCATCTGAAAAAAAAAAGCCAACATGAAATAACCAACACTGGTACCACTATGACTGATATGGGGGGTCAGAGGCAACTGGTAGATCAAAAATTGGAGGAAAACAGTATTTCCAAGGTAACAGAATTAAGGAGCTAGGGGCCAGAGGCAACAGGTAGATCAAAAATTGGAGGAAAACAGTATTTCCAAGGTAACAGAATTAAGGAGCTAGGGGCCAGAGGCAACAGGTAGATCAAAAGTTGGAGGAAAACAGTATTTCCAAGGTAACAGAATTAAGGGGCTAGGGGCCAGAGGCAACAGGTAGATCAAAAATTGGAGGAAAACAGTATTTCAAAGGTAACAGAATTAAGGAGCTAGGGGCCAGAGGCAACAGGTAGATCAAAAATTGGAGGAAAACAGTATTTCAAAGGTAACAGAATTAAGGGGCTAGGGGCCAGAGGCAACAGGTAGATCAAAAATTGGAGGAAAACAGTATTTCAAAGGTAACAGAATTAAGGGGCTAGGGGCCAGAGGCAACAGGTAGATCAAAAATTGGAGGAAAACAGTATTTCAAAGGTAACAGAATTAAGGGGCTAGGGGCCAGAGGCAACAGGTAGATCAAAAATTGGAGGAAAACAGTATTTCAAAGGTAACAGAATTAAGGGGCTAGGGGCCAGAGGCAACAGGTAGATCAAAAATTGGAGGAAAACAGTATTTCAAGTCAGGTGTTGTAGCACTTTGCCTTCCTGTTTAAACCCTAAAATCAGTAGGCATATTCTCCATACTCCTCTCTATACATTTCCTAAGGTACTGAGAAGGAGAATTTGTTTAACAATCAAGAGCTTCTTTAGTTAGTCATCATTCCTTTATTCTCAGGACCTTTGTGTTTGATTCAGGGGTGATAATGTAAGGAGAAATTAGCTGCTGGTCACTCTTACAGGTTAACTATGAGTGATTAAGAAACTCACGTTTGTCAAGTCAGGACCGACAACTGTAACAGCTCTGCTGTGATCTGATTCCCCATTTTTCAACACTCGTAATCTGGCTGGGGTCCCTGAAATAATAATAATAATAATAATAATAATAATAATAATAATAATAATAATAATAATAACAACAAATTAAAGGATCAGCACAAAAGAAAATTAGAGGAATAGACTGAAACATAAAGAGAAGAGTCATCAAAATCAAACCCTGCAAAATAAATACCCTGTTAAGAACACTGCTAGTTAATGAGTAAAAGTCCAATACTACAAACTATAAAATCTATTTCCTGCAACACAATTTTATTAACATTTGACAATAACTTCTAACAGAAAATCTGTCAAGCATTTGTTATAAATATGGGATAAGTCCTGAAAATTAAAAAATTTTTAATGACTTGGTATTAAAGCAATTTATCAAAGACTTAGTTAAATACAAACATTTACATTGTATATCTCAACTGAGGCAGTTTTAAGTAATCTTCAAGACAGATACTGGAAAGAATTGTTAAGTACTTACGCATATCTGACAAGAATTTGCCTTATTTAACTGATGGAGCCAAACAATATACTGTTTTAAAACAACAGTTGGCAAAACATTCCCATAGGAACACCATAACGCATATTAAATCTTGTGTTTCTTTTTTTCTCATGTAGTAACCTCGGAAAACAATTTTTTTTAAAAAACTAACATTCAATTTAGTTAAGAAAATTTCTTAATTTCACTTTGACAGGCTTGTAACATACAGATCAACATATATGCAAAAATCACCAAGCGATTAATAATTTACATCAGGCTTTAAATGTCAATATGTCATCAAAGGCACCTGCTAAACAGATGCTTGCAAATTGACTGAACATAATATATTTGGCTCTGTTATTAATATCTGTGCAGGTTAGTAACTCATTCACTTTTATTTAGAGTAACACAAACATTAATTCTTCTACCAAATTCTAAGGACAAATTTTGGAAAAAAATTAGGAATAACTAAAGCTAAGGCAAAAATTCAAATTTTATTAAACCCTTTCCTGATCACAAGAAAATTAACACAAATTTGCTGAGGTTTGCTGGTAAATGAAGAAAATTGTATACAAATTTTTATCCAAGAGGGATTTTTAGAGTAAAATCAAAATTTGTTTCATCAATATAAATATACTAACAAGTTCTTAAATAAAATAAAAAAAAGGTAAAGAAGTTCAGGAGACTTTAAAATCCATATTTCGTTAAATTCATTTTTAAAACTTTAACTCCCAGAAATAATTGACATATAACTTTTCCCATAATATTCATACATTATCCAGCAAAAAGCTAACGAGAATACTCAGATTTATCAGGTAGACATTGTCATCTTGATTTAACACCAAATTCTTTTAACTAATCCACAAGTAAATGTGTAGCAGCTAGAGGGGAAAATTAAGAATCAGATCTTGGGGGTTTAAGGGTTTAATATAATTATACAAACAAACTGCAGAGAGAAGGAGATTTATTTCAAGATCCAAGTTACGCACATATATAAGCACTGATAATGAGTGATCATGTTAATTAATCGCAATACAAGTTTCCCTCAAGGACATTCTGTAACTATATGAATGACTTTTCATGGTTAACATGTTTGAAAAACATTAAGATGCTGATGTCTTACTGTACCTGCTGTAATGACTGTCTTTTGTGAGGCCTTTTTGACTGGTGGAGCAAAAGGTAACAGGAAACCTTCCATAGGCCAAGTGAAATCCTGTGGTAAAGCAACATTAACAAAAAGCAAATTAAGTCAAATTGTTGATCTCAAGTGAAACCTCTCTTTTATTTCCCATGAGTGACCAAGACAGAATTTCTCCTCACAATTTCAATACAACATCATGCAGACAAGTGGCGAGAATGAACAAAAATATCAATAAGGAAATTACTAGTTGATTCAATACCAAATTCTCTGAACTAGCATCACAAGAATTGTATGGCAGACAGTAAGGAGAATTACAAATGAGTTCTTGGGAGTGAAAGGGCTAAGACAAGAGACCCCAACTTTGATTTAAGTAAAGAAAATTATCCTATAAATGCAGTTTAACAGAGTTAACACCAAAGAGCATCAGCGTTCTTTAGTAGTCAGTGGTTTTTTGGCACATGCACATGCGTTGGAATTCCATGTGCTCTTCATTTGAGGCCATCTTGCATGTGCTGTGAGCATAAACTTGCACCATTGTGAGGAGTGGTCTTGGCAGTTTTCCCCACCCCTTCCCTCCCTCTTTCCAGTATTTATTCACTGTGATGGGCGCTGTTTCCCTTTCCTGTGAGGGAGCTCACGGCTGGGTTGCCAGGATTTGCCAGCCATGGGAGAAGTCTCCATCTAAGAGCTGGCTGTCAAAAGTGGAAGCTCCTGGATGTTTCAGGCACCCAACTTCCACTAAGAAAAGCAGTTTTTAACCTTTGTTTATGTTACTCTTTCTAAAGGGACACCTTAATTCAGAGAATCCTTTTCAAAGTCCCATGTTCCCTGAATGAAAGTACCATTGCATCATTCAAACAATAAATTTCTTTAAAAAAAAAACAATATCATGGTTCAATTACTAAACAGTGAAGGACTCTGTTATTGGCATTTTTTAATATGTATATCCTTTTTAACATACATGAGATGAAAGCCTGATCAATAGGGTGGTTGTATTGTGAAAATCTAACATGAAAACAAGGGGATAACATTATTGTTTACATACAGTGTTCCAGGTTCCATCCTCATTAACTGGCCAGGACAGTGCTCTCTTATTCCACTCAGGATTAGAAACAGTTGAATATTTCCACTGACCAATATTGGACAAATCTTCTTGTTTAATAGCCCATCTAAATCACAAGAAATGATAAAGAAAAAATAAAACAATAACTCAGCAATAAAAATACATCATTCAAAGTATTATGAATATCAGGCATTATTGATGCCCATGTGATTTGACTCCATCTTATTGTATAATTACAGTCCTTTTTCTTATCTTACCTTTGAGTACCATCGCCATGCTTTTTAGGCAAAAGCACAACTGAGTATTTCTGACCTAGAAACTCGTCTTTAAGTTGTCCAAGCCCTGCCTCAGTGTTCTCCTCGGTCCCATCAGATGGAGATGGACTGAGCTCCATGTTAGCACCCTCTGTGATGGAAATCTGCTCCCCAAATCTGGCTTCATCCATGAAATTTAAATTTCTTAAGCCAGACGATGATTCTTGCTCTATTAGGCTGGTATTTGAAGGCTTTTCATCTGAACTAATTTCTTTAACTTCATGATCTCCAATATACGTCAACACAAGACTTGGTTTTGAGAGAGAGTAGATCTGTCCTGAAGGGCTGAATCCCCACTGCTGACTAACATCACTGGGATTCCTGGCGTTTTTGTTTACAAAAAAGGAGTAAATTTGAAGACAAAGAAAAACTATAGGATAAGCTTACTTGGTAAAATAACAAATAAATCATAAAACTGAAACTTACTATAAACCCTTGTCAAAATTTTAAACGAAACAAATTTCAATTGACCTGCTGAAAAAAATCAAGTAAAGCTACAATCATTGCAGGTGTGCTGGAGTTTAACCAATTGCAGAAAATAAGCCAGAAATAAAATTAAGGCTTCTATAGGATTCAAACCTGTGCCTCCCAGAAACTAGTTGGGCAGTACTACCATTTTAGCTTTGAGCTATGCATTGTGAGTGAGACAAGTTTCAAGTAAAGCAATGAATAAATGTTTTCACTCATACTCACCTTTTTGAAACTACCACAGGATAACCTTCTACAACCTTATCTCCATATGTCACAGTGATGGCATGTTCTGACCTGGACAACACTAGCTGTGGCATGGCCTTACTGTGAATCAAACCACTCTGAAAAACAATTGTAGACCACAAGTGAAGATCTAAAAAACCAAGATATATCAAGCACATCACACAACAAGCAAAAACTAACCTTGATTCATCATAAAAATATAATAAAGAAAATCAAGAAAAAAAAGGGGATTTAGCAGTGGACACTCCATATATGAGGAGGCTCTTCTTGTCTACTGTTTCCAGAGAATGTTGGTTTTTGTGGAGGGAAGAAAACTGGAGGACTATACCCAGTGACCAGAGACAGGCCAGAAAAAGCTGTACAGCCCAATGAAACTAAAATTCAACAAGGAAGAAGACAATGAATGGGCAGTGGTCATGTGATAAACTGCACAGTGACTAACTCAAGATGGTCCTTGAGGGAAAATAGGGAGCCTTAGACAATCAGGATGGCAACACTGAGGAAGACATTGATAAAAAAAATGGACTGTTTTTTAGCTAGAATTTTGAAAATGGCTAGACCCATTTACCATCTCTCATGGTGCCACACCTCAACTTCAGCATAACATGTGGGCTGCATTGAGTTCCAAAAAAAACGAAAATTCTTTCAAGATCATGCAAATGTTGGTGATTTCACATTGTTGTTTTGGAGGGAATGACTAAGAGATGTACAAAGTTTTAGAACACACTTGCTGAGCTATTGTTCTGCCACATCCTCATTGGTTTGCTTATGGTCCCGAATATTTAGCACTTGGACATGATGTACTGACCAACGGCAACATTAATTAAGATCCTTTAAATCACCAGTTAACCCCATCTAACTCAGTCAATAGGTACATAGCATTAATAAATTATCTCAAGAGTGTGTTTCGAAAGAAAAGAATAAGACCTATTCTACACACATGATAAATACCACAGATACTTTTGATAAATATAGGACTATACCTGTGTTACAACCCATCCTTGTGGATCAAGAAGCCATGACCCTCTATCTCCTTTCTTCTTCTTTTCTGTCACAGAAAGTTCTGGATAAAGCACCAGGTTCTTGTTCTCTTTATACTGCAGGAAACAGCCATTCTCATCCACACGCATCATCTGATGTACAGTTATATATATAAAAAAATAAAGCATAAAAATCATTTTATAACTTAACAGCACAGTTTTATTACTGGATTGAGAATCCAAAACTAGAATCAAAATAAAGTTGTCCTGATTCTAATTTCCCCTTACACTATCAGCCTAAATCAAATGCAAAGGTCTTCACAATAAAGCAAATGATCACAAATTCAAGAAGCTCCTAATCGTGAAAGTGTTCCTTAAGACATGTGATTTACACCATTCAGGGGTATCTAAGAAGAACTATCCAATTAGGAAAGTTGGCAATTTACTTGTTTCAAAAAATTTGCTAAATACACAATAGCCTCTATTCAGCACAAAAATATGCATGGATATTTGTCAGCTGACATTATCAGTTCCGAGATGAAATCAGGAAAACTGTGAGCTTTGAGGATTTTCAGATATTCTCAAGTTTTTAGGTAGGCATATTCGGTCACATGATGCATTTAGACCAATAACACACAAGAAAAAATATTTGATGGATTATGATGACTGGTATTTTGCACCCACCTGCAGATTTTGAGCTTGTGAGAGTTCACTACCAGGATTAAGCAGATTGACAAGGTGACGTTTGCTGCCTGAAGGAAAACCATTCACTGCTCTCCACAGTGAAGCTTTTTCCTTGCCTTTGCCTTCATCATCAAAACTCTCTCTTTGAACCATCTCCTTCTCTCCCCACAGTGATAAGCATGTAGCTTTGTCTAAGCACAGTTGAAGAACAACGACTGCAAAACAATCATGAACATGCAAAGAAATTGTATATCAGATACAAAAAGCAATTCCTCATGTGAAACCCTTGGTTTATATAAGTTGGTAAGCTAGTTACAAGAAATTGTTAACCTTTTAACCCTTTTAGTGTCTGACTTCTAGTTTCCCCTTACACTATCACCCTAAATCAAATGTAAACCTCTTCAGAATAAAGCTAATGATCACAAATTCAAGAAGCTCCTAATTGTCAAACAAATTCTACTTTTCAGTACCATAAGAAATGTAAACAGAACAGTGTTGAGATATGAATGCTTAGTGGATGGAAAGGGTTAAAGAAAAATTATTTGGGGTGTTACACATGTTGATTGTTTAATTCAAATTAAGTCAACACATGCTACTGACTCTCCATCTTATATCAATAGCACTTTGCTCTGGTAATGGGCTATGGCTTGTAACATACTGTGGTTAATTAATCATCAAGAATGTGACACTGACAACAGTGTGAGTAATGTGAGTGTAGTCCTGAGTAGGACTGTTGTTGACGGTGGTGACTGATGTTTCAACAACCTGAGCGGAAGTCATCATCAGAGTTAAACCAGAGCCAGAGTCTCTTGACTCTGATGATGAGTTCCCCTCAGGTTTTCAAAACATCAGTCACCACCACCGACAACAGTCCTTCTCAGTAAGGACTACACTCACCTGAATGATCATACTACACTATCAGAGTTAGTATTCTACAACTCCAGTTGTTTTACTCGCAAGACATGAGTTTCTTTGAAAATGAATCTTTCTTAAAATATACCATGAGGTGGCTTAAAGTCTTCTCCATATGACAGCCATATCTGTTGATCATACACCAATTCATGCACATCAGTGATCTCCTCTCCTTCCCTAGTGTACACCCTTTTAGCAATCCTCCTGCCAGCTGGCCCACCACTGCTGTCTGACACCTTCTGACTGCTGGTACAAGTGTCAAGAAAGCGATGCATTAACTGTGCCTTATCTCCCTGGATTCCTTTCTCTGCCTCATGTAAATTGAAGTAAACTATCACTCCACCATCTGCAGAACCATTTTCATACACCTAATCATGAGAAAAAAAGAATCATCAACAAAAACCAAAAGATGAAATACAAATAGAATTATTTCTTTAAGTAAATAGAAAAATAACAAAAATCAGCATAGTTATGGTTTTAAGCCCAAGTGTTCAAAGGGCAGATAATGCTATCCAAAAGATAAATTATGTGTTAAACTAAATAAAAAGTACTGTAAAGTCCACCAAATTAATAAAAATCCAGTGGATAGCATTATCCACCCTTTGAACAAATTGGGCTTGTCAGCTATATTGTGCTACAAATGATGTTATGTGACTTCAATTGACAAAAGCAAGGGATTGCTAATGAACTAAATTACTTGGTATTAATTCTGATATCAACATCAAATGAAATAATTATGATAATGATTATGGAGATAAAAAAGATACTAAATTGGTAACAACAAAGGGTAATTATAATAACTAATAGTACATTTGTTATTAAATTTATCCAACCAGTAGTTTACCTTTAGTTTCAGACCCTGTTTTCCCAACAATCTGCTCTCAGGGGCAATTTGTGACAAGTGCTGATATCTGTAGTTTTCCAATCCTGCTGACACCTCTTCACGTGATGCTGCTTCCACCAAACCCAGATGAGATTGTAGTGTTGGTATCACACTTGACAAGTCTGTAATGTGCTGGTCAACCTTTAAGGGAGATATCATATAATGAGACTCAGCATGACTATTAATTAAAGATTAATTTCATAAGAAAACTCATATTGTGTACAAGCTTTGTATCATATAATACATGGGGGTTGTCAAGGCCTGACACTAACTGCATCAGAATTGTAGCCTTTAATGGTCTGGCCTCGTTAGACCAGGCCATTTTAAGGTGTTATTTTTTTATGTTATTTCTATGAGGTATGATCCTTTACTCTTACATTTCCTCTCTCAACCCAGGAGTATAAACTGCTTTCACCCAACTGTCAGGCCAGGGAAACCTGAAAGGATGCTGACAGAGTCAGTAATGGTCTGACATCCCACTCTGAGGTAATGGCAGTTTCTTACTGCTTCACGACTAGGAGACCAGGTTAAGTTCCAGCAATGTAGGCCTCTTATGTTAAGTGTTCACTCACCAAATAATGGTTGCCAAGGGTTTATACAAGACCCCAGGTTAAGGCAAAAATTGATATGTGACACACAAACTGAACAGAAAGGGGAGCATGATTCATGAATTTTTACACCAGCATGAAGCATAATTTGTCTCAGTCTATACTACCTATGAGTTTCTTCTATCATTTTGTGAAATGCCTCAAGTCTCCTCTTTAAATTCACTACATGTGAATGCTGTTTAATGTCCATAAGACACTTGAATTTTCCTGAAATTCATGCCTGAAACATGACGAGGACACCCCCCCCCCCCACCCCTGTGCTACATTCCTATATATTACAACCAACTTTTTAAAAGTTACCAAAACAGGGTCTCAACAGTCAGTCAAAAGTCATAACTTTCAAAATCAGTAAGCCTTACCTCTTTGATTTCATTTTCAATCTCTGCTTCACTCATGGCCATTATTTCTTTGGAGACAACTTCTTCATCCTTCAGACTTTTTTCAAGCTGTTGAAGCAATTCCACAATTAGATATTATTAAATAAAAAAAAAACCCAGAAAATAATGTGATCAATTACTGTTAGAATTTACCTTACTCTTGCAGTCTCCAATGGTAAACAAATACTATTGCTTAGTCACTGTATATAAACTAAATATTCATGGTTCACTAGTGTTAAATTGCTCTGTATATGCTTCATCAAAGTTACAGAAAAAAAGCTGCTAAGAAATATTGTCACTTAATACACAAAAAACTGTTTGGTTGTGAAAATATTTTTCTTACCTCAAGCTTGTAAGCTTTGCTTTGTTTTAATCTGTCCTTAGTACTCAGCAATAGCGTTGTGATAAAATGATAAGCTCCTTTGGGACTGAATCGCTCCCCTCCTCTGGTCACCCAAACTGGTCCTAAAATAACACTGACTGATGGCTGAAGAACTCTGTCCAGTACTGGTACTATGAAAAGGATGATAAGAAAGTTATTGGATCACATGTATCTCTAAAAACAATATGTACAAACTGATAATAACCCTACAAGTCCCAGTTTAATATCTCTTTAAAGCATAAAACCTGACCTTAATGGCACTTAGCCTCCAAACATAACAAGATGGCTCTGGGGTAAAATTTTAATCAGAATTGGGATTTCATCAGCTACAAACCTTCTGAGAAGCTCTTAATCTCCTTTCCCTGCCAGTCAAACAATAATCTAGCCCCAGACTCCAGGTTTAACTTCTTTGTACAGTCATCCAAGAACTGAGAATAAAAATATATGAAATGTTGTCTAACAAGGAGTACCAAGAGGATTCCAGTTCAGTCAGTTAGCATGGGTGATTAAGAGTGAACAACAAGCAGGACCCCAATTACTGATAATTGGTCATCAGTATGATCAATAAAAGTAATAGGACTGATCAGTGGAGTCCAATTTTTGATAAAATTGGAAAACACAAAGACTTGTTCCCAATAAATGAAAAACAGAACGTAAGTCTATTAGAAAAGAGCTACTTTGCAGTTAAATGTTTAAAAAAATAAAAACATAACAGTTGACTTTTTTCCATGAAAAAATACTCTCTATATTGATAGCATGCATCAATGACTTTGACCATCCAATGCACTGATACAATGGGTTAGCAGTGTTGTCACACTGTCTGATCACAAGCATGACATATTTTCAGTCCTGTTGGTGCTCAAACAAGGCTGCTCCTAATCAATTATGTTTGAGGCTTTTGTCAAAGATTTGATTAATCACCATATAACCTTCTGTCACCATGCAATGTAATATTTTACTAGTACCCAAATTTCGTACCTCATCAAATCTACCGGCAACTATTTCCACTCCTTCAGAGCTCTCGCCATTCCTGAACACCAATATTCTTCTCTTTTGACTTTCCACAAGTGATTGCATTCTCTTGGAGAGAGATGGCTTTGTGCGGCCTCTGGAGCGATCCTCTGGTAGAACTATTCCACTCAGTGTCCAAGAAGCAGACCTGCGTAGCTCTTCTCTGTCTATTGATAAAATGGAATGAAATGCACAGGAAAACATTTATGACTTAAGATTATAGGAATTGTACTGGTTATGTCTGTGAAACAGTAGTAACAGCATTTAATGGGATATTAAATCTTAACCAGCCATCTTAATAGCTTGTATGCATATTCATCTAGCTGGATTCTCACAAACCAACGGCCATTTCTGAATTATCCAAAGCCACTGTTTTAAAACAATGGAAAAAGCAAAGCCTAAGATAAAATGGTGAAAATAATTTTCTAGTTTGCTTGCAAACAAACTCATTTTCATTAGAATTTCTTTTCTTTTAGCCCAATGTTTGAGGTGTGGGTTCATGATACCCAAAAATTGGTCTAGTGTAAACTGTTTTTGCTCCTTTCAAGCTCTAGAAAAATTTTAAATTTCAAAGGAATGAAATGCTTATCACTACCTAATATAGAAGCATAAGGATCTCTGAAAGCCTCTCCACAGGAGACATAAACATCCACATCCCGTGAGAGCTGTCTGGGATGAGTAACAGGTGTGCCATCAGATAGAAAGAGCTTCCTTGCTGCAGACACAAGTCCCAATTTGTCTGTGCAGGCATCAAGGAGCTGTAAAGAGGAACATGTTTCCAAAAATTGAAAGTCTGATATGTCATCAATCAACAGAGATAAGTATTACTTAAAAAAATACTAAGTTAATAATACTAATACAAAATACTAAGCTAACCATCATACCTGAGCAAGATCTGGAACTGCAATTCTAGCGTAGTTATCCCTGTTTCCATTCTGAAATGCTCTGATGCAAATAAGTGGAGGTTTTTTCTTGTACAATGGTTTTGTCTTCTTGCCACTAGCTGAACTAGACACTAAGAGAAAGAGCAAAACAAAAAGAGAGATACTTTGGGAGGATTCTTGATATTAAAAATGCTTGCATATACCAACATGTTTTGCTAACCTGATGATCTTCTGGAAAATGATGAAGTTCCAGAGCTGACTGAGCTCGACCTAAGTACAAAAAGTGAAAAGGGAAAAAAGCATTTGGTATTAACACAGGTATGGTAGAGTTTCATTAAGCATTGATCATGTTCAAGAAATAAAGAAAACTTCAAGGATGTAATGATGAGAAAATTTTCCCAATCACAAAAGAAATTGAATTGTAATTTAACAAAGAAGGCCTGAAAAATTAAGAAATTCAACATGTTTCAATTTTCAGACAGATCTTGGTGACTTTACAAAGCTGTTGGTTCAATCAGCTAGTACATAGATCACTTAATTTGCATGCAAGTAATAATTATTTGATAAACTTTACTCCACTTGATGAACATTACTTAATTTTCACCTGGTTCTGGTAGCAGGAGCTGACACAGGGCGTGTACGCTGTTTTGGACGTCGCTCTGTCATCGTCCAATCAGTTTTGTCAGCCCAACCAATCACAGTTTGAGGAGTACTTTGGAAGGTTATGGGATCAGCACTTCCCCTTGATTTTCCCTTACCAGACAATATGGCTGACTTTGGTCTCTTTAACTGAGTACTGCTATGTGAGTGTGCTGATACTGCATATGGGGACAACTTTGCTTCCCTTGGAAATGAAATAAAAAAGATGTATCTAGCAATTATTCACTCAGCTTGAAGCAAGTATGATTATTAAGATGCTTTCATATTCTCTTGTAAATTTGTTTTGTTGTTGAAATCATTCTGTGCATAAAGAGAGTTGGGCATACTTTGTTACAATTGTTTTGATTAATTGTATTTAAATAGGCAGACAGTTTCCTTTAGGATTTTACAGGTTTATTTAATTTAATCAGCAAAAACTTCATATCTTACTTGTGAAAAGTGTCACACAAAAAACTTTTTGTGTTCTTTGGAATTGAATTTTCTCCTATAACATTTATCACTTATTTGGTAACATTGACAAAATGCAAGGCAGTCATTTGAAATTCAGCACCACTGCTATAATCACCTGAGCAATTATATCAAATCTAATTAGTTTCTGTAATTAAGATCAGGGAGAATGTGAAGTTGAATAATTCATCATTCATCACCAATTCATATCACCTTTAACCACTTTGTGTGGCCATAAACACAATTCAACTGTGAAGGTAACTAAACGCTATGAATTAGAGATTTTGGGATCCATTTACCTTCTATTAAATATTTTATTTACATAATCATCGATCTCTGAACTTACCTTTCTTTACGAACAGGGGGACTCTTTTGGATTTCGTCCATGTACTGAGCAAGCAGCACATCTTCATAGCTAATTTCGTCGCTCATTCCTCTTTGGAGATAAACAGAGGCTTTTCCCTTGCGAGCTCGTAAATGTGAGGACATTTTGATTCCAGTAAACTTTGATTCAAACAAACGCAAACTTTTAATACAGCACCAAGTAATTCATCAGCAATGCATTCACGACAACTGAAAAAATCTAACTCGCAAATAAAAGCTGGATAAATAATCAATTTCTCATTAAATCCTTGTCAGTCCCGCCGCAAAATCCGCCTCCATTTTTTCGGCACAGGTTACAAAGACATTTACAATTTTCCAAGATGGCGTCGCGTTGCTAAGAATGATGTCAGAGTGTATAAGAAGGCCGCTGGCCAGCATTCAGTATTATTTTGGCGGGAAAATCAGCAAGGATTTTCAAAGATGAGTTTAACAGGAGAGGTATTATTAGCATGGATGTTTAATTTATTTTGATGTTTAATATAATTCCTAAGCTTAGTTATACTTTATAATTATGTAAAGTATGTAGAAGTTTGTACAACAAATTTGTTATTATTTTTTTTGAGAGCCTTTCACTCCAAAGTGATTTTCATATATACACTGATTAGAGGCATCATCACTCTACAACAATCATGTGTGGTGGAATTGCAAACTCTGTAAAACTTTTGGATGCCTAGGAGATGTGAGAAAGTATATGGACTTAGGATGACTGGAATAAAAATTAGTGTGGAGAGAGGCATGTCTTGGTGCTTAATTGGGTGAGGATTTAGGGAACTGGGTAGCAGATGCCTCCAAAGATTTTCAAACTGTATTCCTCTTATTCTGGTTCTCAGTCTACCTTTTGTCATAAACCCTTTAACTCCCATCAGTGACTGGGACAGAATTTCTCCTTATGCTATCGATACAATATCAAGCAGGTAAGTGCTGGGAATAAAGAAAAATGTTGATTAGGGGATTATTTGTTCAGTAAATAGTTTGAACCCAGGGGTAACATGTAATAGTGTAGTTTGATCCTCCAGGTGAATGTAGTCCTAAGAAGGACTGTTGTCGGTAGTGGTGACTGACATTTCAACAACCTGAGCAGAAGTCATCTTCAGAGAAGGTGACTCTAAAGATGACTTCTGCTCAGGTTGTCAAAACGTTAGTCACCACTACCAACAACAGTCCTTCTCAGGACTTCACTAACCCAGACAATCAAACTACACTATAACAGGATTATTTGTTGATCCAATTCCAAATTCTCCAAACTAACATCATATGAATTGTATAGCAGACAATAAGGAGAATTACCAATGAGATCTTAGGAGTAAAGGGTTAAAGACTATACGATTATTTAACCTAGTTTTCCCATTACCAACTTAATGTCTTCACTTTGCCTAAATCACCATTTTCTTGAAACTTCTTAAACCGTTTTGCAGCAAATTGACAGAAATTCTGTTTAGCCATATCAGGGTGTTTAAAGAAAATGTAGTCAATGCCAGTAAGTATGCCAAACTCTTCACGACACGAAATAGCAGATTCACAGGATATTCCAAGATTGTCACAAACAGTCTGATACAATACAAGGCATGCCTCACAGCACTCAGTGAACACTTCCTTGACTGACAATGAAACTAGATTTTGGGTAAATACTCTTGTCAAAAAGGCAAATACATCACTCTTTAAGGTGGTCAGAATGTGTGTGTTCTGTAATAGATCCAACAAGTACTTGAATAGGAACATGACAGTTGTTTCTTCTTCTGCAGCACCCAACACAGGTGGAGATGGTACTTCCAAGGCACTTTTTGCAGTGCCATGACATGAACAATAAATCTCCAGCAGGTACCTATGGTCTTTTAGAGGCTGTGATTCATCTGAGGTTCCAACAGTTGCTGCTGATAGGGAATCAATAACAGAGTTCAATATACAGCATAGATAGAGCTTAGCTTCTGCTTTACCAGTCTTGCAAAAGATCTTCAATTGGCCCTCTAGAATTCTTAGGATTGGGCAAACCCTCCCATCATAGTCAAGCTGACTGCTATATGCTACAAGGAAAACATTATGCAGTGCTTTAGGAAGGTTATTCACAGCTGCAGTGATGCCATCAGCCACAGAAGTAAGATCAGTTTTCTTGATATGGTCGATCAAGTTGTTTTCTGGGATGAAGTATTGTGGAATGTTCCCCAACCTCAGATGATCAACTAGGGTTTTCAACAAATCAACCACTGATTCAAGAAGATGTCTCCACTTTTCCAAAGGCTTCTCTTCACATTTCCATAAGAAAATTGTCTTTAGATGATAAGATGATGGAGCTTTTTCCACAGTTGTTCCTGAAACACTGTCCTTCATTTCTTGAATGACCTGTTTCATAATTAACTTAGCCATGATATAGCTCTGTCGTTGTTCAGTTGCTAGTGAGTGTATAAGCTTCTTCTCAGCATTAGAAAACGAAAGTCTCCATTCAGTTTGGCTCAAATTGCTCTCTGTATTATCATGACAAAACACTGGAACAACATGACAGCCTTCGCTAATTATCTCCAAAATCAACTCTTTGCTGGGCCAATCAACAGCACGTGTTCTGTCGACTGCCCATCCACCTGCCAAGGTTGTCCATCTCTCACAGCGCAAACACGGAACATAGTCGTGAGGATAATTATTTCTGCTGCCAGGGCGATCCCGTCTATTCAGAGCTGGTCCACTGACAACGACCCCACCTGCAGGAAGCTGAGGACCGCTGACTAGAGAATAAAGTGCAGTGTTGTTAACAACCTCAGACCAAAACATTTTGAAGCTCTCTGTGGTCAAAAATGTTCTTTTTTCTTTCTCATCGACGGTACTCAGTTGAACGTAACCAGGGTGGTTACTTGGAACCAAGAGGGCATGTTTTTCTGTATGCCAAAATTTGTCATTTGAGGCCTCGTAAGCAACCTCTTCTCTCTCATCTTCTGCTATACAAGTATGAGAAGATTCTGGTTGAGCAGATTTACCGGTGTTTGTTTCAGTGTCCTCACCATCCATCTTAGGATCTTTTTCAACAACGACCATTGAGCAATCAATAAGCATGACATCGATATCATTATTTGCCTCCCTTTTCCCATCTTTGTAGACCCAGTGGATTGCAAATAAGTTCTCTGCAACACTACCAGACATCAGAAGTTGTACTCCTCGGCCGCTCTTGCTCTCCAATTCTTCCTCGAATGTCTTGTAACGTTTAAGAGAGTTGAGAAACAATCGGTGATTATGCTGAGTCTCTGTTGCATTCAGTATAATCTTCATAACTGCCTCCAAAGCACCATTTGTCCATACTGATTCCTGCTCTGCTTCTACGGTTCCTGACTTCGTTTCCTCCATGATTTGTGATCGAGAGACTACAATAAGAGCAAGATGGCCTTATTCCAAAATCAAGAAGCGAACCGAATGGACCGAATCGTCTCACTACCTTCTGCCTTGAATGTGATCGTGAATTTCACCCTCCAACGGCTGACTTATTTATCTCAACGATTAACTTCCGTATTTCGATTTAATTGCGACCAGCATAGTGGCACTGGCAACTAATCATTAATAAAGCTTGTTGATTGGCTTGAACTTACCACGCGACGGCTTACGCGTTGGTCACAAATGAAATGACTGCTTACCCATGTGATTAAGAAGAGTCGCAGAAATAATAGTATGCTAATCCAGCTGCTTTGTTGTTCTCTGCTTTTGTCTTGTCCCCATGTTCAACACCGAACACATTAAGCTTGTTGTCAAAAAACTGACTTACTAAGTGGATTCTTCTTAAGTGTGTCTAGAGTGGTTGAGAAGGGGTTGGGAAGGACACTGACATACCAGTGCCACAATTGAAAGCCCAAACTAGGGTGTGGGGGCTAGTTTTGGACTACCAGTACTCAAAAACTCAAAAGAGTTACTATGAAAACTCTGATTGGTTGAGAGCATTCAGTCAATACACAGTGGCATGTTAAGTAGACATGATAACCTAATATCTACAGCAGATGGTTGGTTATCATGTTAAGTTCAAAGTCTGCCTAGTCTTCAACCCCTTTGTCTGTGTAGTGTTCTAAAACTTTTGCAAACTCAGAGAGTAGTGTCTTCTTTTGCAGATTGTTTTAACGGTGTGTAATGAAACAATTATCTAAGTCAGTTTCAGGATAATATTAAGAATTATCTGAACCTCTTGTCTGTGTTATCTGCCTCAGCCTTCCACTTTCAAAGACAACTCAGACTTGAACATTGATAAATCCTGATATCATGCCCAACCTCATTCAATAATTGCTTATTGTGTGCCTCAGGCTAAGGTAGAAATGAAGTCAACGGGGTTGCTTGACTTTTTTCCTATTCATTTCAAGGGGACTTGTTGGAAAATAATGGTGGGAAGGTAACTAGATAATAATCTTTTTTTTCTACAAGTGTATCTAGGAAGACCTAGTAACCTTGTTCTGCTTTGTTTTGGTTGATGTGACCATTTCAGAAAAAACAGACCTTGCATACTACAAGCTTCTTAACTTTTTATTCCATGTGCTTAGAACATAAACTTATTCTAAAACAGTCTTGAAGTAGTTTGAGGTAGTATATCAGGAGCTCTTTGGTTTGTGTTGTTTTTGCCTCCATTTACTAACATGTTTTGTAATAACTTTCACGATAACTTCAGAATGTTGTAAAAGTGCTGATTGAATGTTTCCTGAAAGAGGAATCTTTTCACTTCCTGGATGTAAGACATTTGATATCTGATCCTGTGCTCTAGACCATACCTGACAAAAAAGTGGAAATAATGATATATCAGTGAAATGGATGAAAAAAAAAATCAAAACAAAACAAAGCATTCAAATAACACATTGAGGGAGTTAATTGCAAGATAAGTCTCAGAACTGCAACAATTGTAATGATAATTTCACACAGAGATCTTTTCTATGACAAATACCATGATACAAATTGAAGTTTTCATAAATTAATAAATGTTGAAGGAAAATAAAGAGCAGAACACCAACTAAAACAGTCAAAAATTCTCTGCTTGTATCTACAATTTAATCACAGCCATGAAATTTCAAAACTTTGACTTCTTGCACTCATGTTACAAATTTCCAAAAATAACTAACATTTTCTCTCAAGCATCTCAGCCATTTCTGAATCCTAAATCCCCAAAAGCTGATTGGCTAATTACGCACACTCCAGCAGTCCCAATTTTCCCATCCAGACTCCGCATATGGACCGCTCCCAAATGCGCAATTGGAACATTTCAATTGATTTACAAGAGAGCAAACAATCACCAACTAAAGAGGTTCTTGGTTGTTAAAGATATTCTCATTGTCAGTACCTTAGGAAATGTGTTGAGAACAGCATGGAGAAAATACATACTAGTGTTAGAGTGTAAAGGGTTAAGAGTGCTCTCTTGAAATGAGACCAAATTTTTGTCTAAAATACAAGAAAATGTATGGTTATGAGTAAGGGAGCATTACAGATTGGATCTTGGAAGTGACAAGTTTAAATGAGAATTCTTACCTTTTGTAAGTTCCCTTCCAATTTATCATCATACACAGCACTGCTGATGATAGACACATCCACTGACTGTGGAAATGGTTTAATTTTCCTCAACATTCTCATCTGAGCTAAGCTTTCATTTGCAAAGAAAAACTCATCAACTCCTGAACTTAGATGACCTGGTTTACATAAAAGATACTTTTGACGCATTGTAACATTTGCTGGCAATAGTTTATGTTGCAACGGAACCTTCATCAAACCAAGGATGAGAGCTAATCTTGTGATTCCCGTCGCTGCAGAAAACTGTAAAACTTGTTGAGACAACACATATTGTTCAAACCACAGCCTTGTCCAATCATCCCCAAACATTCCCTCCACTAGTGGATTTATCAGTATTAGGCTTGCAACATTGTTCTCAAACATCTGAGTATAAAATCTTGCATTTACTGCCCCCAACTCAGCTCCAACTAGTATAAAGGGTTTTGGCTGATCAGAACTCTCAGTGAAGAGTCGTTGAAAATTTTCCACCATTCTCTCACTTGTTGAAAGCTTGCCTCGTTTGGCCTGTTCTGGATCAGACCAATTCACCAAAGGTCTTTGACTAAAGCCAAGCCCTGCTCTGTCATAAAAACAAACTTTAGCCACCTTAGCGATTTGAGGAGCAACCAAAGCCCACACATCTGAAGATTTGCCTGTTGGTGCATCCAGAATAACTGTGGGTGGACCATGCCCTAAACAAGCCATAAACAATTTTTGTTTCCAGCCAATGTCGTACAATTCCCCTTGTGGTCTAAGTGCTACATCCTCGCGATAAAGTGCTGCATGATTGAGAAAACCAGGAACTAACAGCAGTAAGGAATACTTTAGCAAACCCCACCAGCTACCATTTGTCTCATTCTTAGATCCCTCTCTTTTAGTTGAAGGATTTGACTACAACAGAGAGAAAAAATCAATTATGACCAAATTAAGTCAGTGTTTATAGAGCAAAATATCCATTACAATAAGAACAAAAACAAAAAAAATGGTTGTTTGAGAGTACCGTAATTAAGAGGTACAAATTTTATTTTGATTCCATTGACTTCAACTCATATTCTAAAACCCCAAAAAGCCATCATATCTTCAACTTTTTCTAACTCTTATCAGAAATCATAGCTTTGTCTCATATTTCTAACCCAAAACTAAGACCAGAAACTGCTCAGAATCAATACAGATTTTCCAAGAAAGGGTAGAGATGACTTACTGGAACCACAAAGACAAAAGGTTCTTTCCAGATTTACCTCTGTATTATTCCCATGTCTTTTCTCAGATTTTCTTTGCCTCATTTCTTTTCCTAAAAGTAACATGAAAATTTATTGCAATTAATGTGCTCCAGTTTCTCAAAGACTTGAAAATTTATATAGTTGTACATTTATCAAAATAAATCAAAAGATTGATGTTAGCAGATATAAAATGAAAATTCGGCTTATAAGATAACAGTTGAGCAAGTCACTTGGTGAACTTTGAATAAAAAGTATGCATCAAAAATCCTCTAGACCACAGAAATGGAATCAATAAAGGGGTATGATTCACACTTTTCTCATGTTTTTAAACCTTTCATTCCTATAAACTACATATCAGTTCTCATCACTGTCTGCTGTACTTTTCTTATATTTTTAGTGGTAAGAATCAAAGAATCAGTTAAATTAAATGGTATCCCCTTGGTTGGTATTTTTTCTTCCTCCCATCACCTAATTGCTTGAAAATATAATATATATATTTAGCCAAGCCTAAAAGCAGAGCTTGCATTTTATTTTTCCCACAGATCTCAAGAGCACAAGTCGTACATCCAAATTTTTTTGGCTTGATAGGATACTACTATTCTGTATAATTATGGGGCTATGCTCTGCAAGCTCCACTATCAAGATTGTGAGGAGAATTTCCTTTTTGGTCACTTCACTTCATGGGATTTTCCCCTTCAACTGGTTCAATTCCTTCTCTAAGCTACCATAATTGAAATTGAGGACAATACAACATTAAGTTTGAGTATTCTCATTACATATTTGCTAGATGTTGTATGGATATTATGGAGAGAAGTTACTCATTAATCATTTCTGGGAGTTGATGACCAGGTTAACAATCATCAGCCTCTAGTAACATAACCAATGAAATCTTCCCTTTCATAAACTTCTTTTGAAAAAGGGCTCCCAGATGGGTGAACCATCCACTTGCAGTTTGCTTCAAGGGTTTTCCCTAAAAGCTATTGCAAGAAACTGTTTCCAAGATAAATTCTTGTAAGTGGCCTGGCAGACTCAATCACCTTTTGGGTTCATTTGCAATAGAAATGCAATACTTTGAAAAAAGCAGAAGATTTACTATTACTTGTGGAGACTACAATGGTAGCATCTCTATGTAAGGAATTTTAGGGGGTGCTGTGGTATCCAAGTTGAGAGAAATCTACCTCTGTTGCAAAGGAATTTAGCCACACACTGATGAACATTTTCACACAGTGCATTGCATAATAGCCAGAAAAAAAACACTTTTTATGTAAACTTACACTTACATGGTTAACAGGCAAAAATTGGCACAATCAGGTAAAAAATTTCATTATAGTAAATTGTTTCTTCATTCCAAATTTTGTTTCCATGAGATAAGTCTACTTAAAGATTTTGATGTAAATGTTTTTCTCAGATCTGAAATAATATTCACTATGAAATAGCTAGCAAATTCAGGTACCCTACTTAACTAGCATGAGCATGCTTCAAAATCCTGTTGTGAATGCTAATGAAATTAACAAACGGCCTGAGACCAAAAATTTTCCTTAGTGATTGACTGTGAACTTTGTGACCAGTTTGGCTGCCATTTTTGAGACAGACTCTTAGGAGCTCTAAATGAAAGGTATATCTATTGAAGGATACTCGATTTGGAAAGCGATGATCTTTCGAGACTTAAAAGAAACGGTGAGAATTTTGGACAATGCTTCAATTCCCAAACACTATCCAAATTATGGATGAAAAATGAAAACTGAATTTGATGACAAAAGTGGAGCTTCACCAATTTCAGACCATTCTTTAGCCAAGTAAATATTATTTTTAAATGTAGATATGCCTTGAAGTATTGTGCAACAGAAGATTTTGTTTTGAATCTGACGACTTTCAGAATTTTCAACATAATACTGGGCAATTTTCTGACCATGAAGTCAAGTAAACAACAATAGGCCATTTTACAGTTGTGTGCTTAGTTGCCAAGTCTCTGATTTGGGGTGAAGCTGACGGTGACCTTGTGTGGTTTTTTTCCTACAAATTTTGACTTCTGAGTAGAGGTTGACTAAAATTATCATTTGTTTAGTTTGGGAATAACATTTCAAACTTTTTAAATTTCATTGGAGCTTTTTGGGTCAAAAGACGATTTATTTTAGATTTAAAGCGCTGGCTTTCCCAAATATAATGTGATAAATCAAGTGTTCCAAACGTCATGGAGGTAAGATGTGTGAAGCACACGGAAAGTTTTGGGAGCTAGACTTGCCCTTGTCTGTGCTCAAAACTTCCCACGTGCTTCAAATCCTAAAGAACACTCACCGCAGCTGACATGTGAACTAATGTTTGATTTGCGTTTAAACATAACTCTTCGGACTGATCTTGATCTTTCCAGAAATATAACGATCGATTCATTTATAAATTACGTTTTAAAAAAATATAAAATTAAGGGTTAAATTCAAGTCTCTAAAGGAATCATAATCGAATGTATCTTGAGTTGTACTCATTCTTTACAGTATGCTTACCATGCGAACCAAATTAACATCTAAAGTCCACGATCATTCCTGGATGCAAGTTGTAGACCGGAAATAACTACCCGCGATCACTGTGCACTTATTTGCAAATTTAACGCAAAAGATATAAAAAGATCTTTGTTATGCGTACAACATACAGTCTCACCTGTGTATAGTATGATAACCGCTCTGTTTTCTGCCGGGTCCCAACCTCACGTGTATAGCTTCGTTACACCATATGAAAATTGGGCAATTGTCCAAACGCTGACCACCCGCTAAAAAAACTGGTTTCCATTCTTTCCACTGTTTAAGATCCACTGGATACTGGTTTGGATGGTAAGAATTATGCTACATTCTTTAAATGAAGAAAAACTTAACGCCAAATTTGATATGAACTAATGAGCCCGTTGAAGAAATTTTTATTTTGGCAACAATAAAGACTCCTGCCTGACAGCCCAAGAGGAGACCGAATCATGATTTCACAACCTCATGTCTCATATTTGCTTTGTTTGGAGTTGATAAATTTTACAAATATCATTCTCTTGCCTCTTTTAGCGTAGACTTCTATCAACAAAATAAAAATCTACAGTCAGGGAATTGTTTTTAAAAAGTTCGGAAATAACAGAACAATCTTCTTTGTATATCTCTATTGAAGCTATTATTGATTTTTCCTACAATCTTAGTTAAACCATCGCAGGCCGCTTTTCCTTCGACTATCTTTATCTGGAACGCAGATCAGATATTAAACTACTCGTAATATCGACGAGCATGTTATACTGGCCTCGTTCAAGACACTTCATCTTTGATCTTACTCTTCAAGGGTATAAAACCAAGATCTTTTTTATTACTCTTTTTATCAGGATTATGATAATCGTTCCTCAATTGTTGCGGCGGCTTCCTAAAAAAAACTAATCGACTCAACATCCTAATATTGAATTTATTGGCGGACTTAGATTCTAATATTCAATGGAGAGCTTTCTGCTTGTCAATACGAAATGTTTATTCCCACACATAAACGTGCGTCCCACATCAGTCCAAAGAGGTTGATCGACTCGCCGCTGAAGATCGCAAGAGGAACATAGTTCGGTGAGATTTTAAATGTAAAAACCTCAGTAAGAACTAAATGAGGCCACACTTCGTTCGGATGTAAGGTTCCCCTGAAGCTTATTGACAGCCCTCTTTTTCTTAAGTTAAACCTGGACATCAATCGTGCGAGGTTTGGAAGCGAGAAGAAGAGCGCTATCTTCGCATAAGCTATTGCGTTTGAGACATATGGAGTTTTAATTGTCATCAAGGGTTCAACTAATTTATGACACGTACATGGACTTTTCCTGAATCTTTTTATTTTGTTGCAGTAATTTCGATCCACCCCAACAGAATACTCGATAGTGAAATTATCTTTAAGTTTGTATAATTTTAAAAAAGTACACTCCTCTGGAACAAGCCTTGTCTATGCTTTCTAGAAAACGGAGAAGTTCTCTAATGCATCTGCTGGAAAAGATAATAAATTGCGCGCGTTTTGTTCTATTTCAGAGGACCAGTGATACCTACACGTATATCACTTAAGAGGTTACTACTGTAGTGAAATGGCTGCGTTGTATCCATATTGGGGTAAGTACCAGTACTTCGATGTAATATGACTCTTGTTTATAGCAACGGCTTACCAACTGAAAGAGAAGTATGCGGGCCGCATTTAGAATGTATTATTATGCAAACTAGTTCAGGAGAGGACGATTGTTTCGACGGAGAAGGAGTGATATTTTCAACTCTTGATAAATTTCGGTGTCTTGGAGAAGTTTGAGGTCTAGAGAGAGTCACAAGCCACAAAGTGAGTGGGTGCAAATTTTCTTTACCTTTCCGCAGCCAGCTAATCAAATCTCAAGCATTTCAGCAATCTTAGATGCTTTTGGTACAATATCAGACTATTGTATCAAACCGGCGCTAAGTATTTTCAATGACTCTGTGGTCGTAATTTGGCTTAGCTAGCTCTCTGTCGACAATCTGAAATATCACATACCCCTTTATAGGTGAGCATGCTAATCAATAACATTTATGAGTTATTTGTACTAATAATTCGTTATCTCCACGGATGTGGGTAATAATAAACGTCAAAGTTTTTCAAATCTTGGAAGTTAAGGCTCTTGGAACGTTCCTGTGGGTCACATGATATGTGACGTAATGGCGACATATAGTTCAATACTTCCCAATCGCTCTCGCTTTGAACATCAACGATTTCGTCGACAATAGCACCGTTTGAAACCTCCCGGATGTAGATTCGTTTAGGAAACTAAAAGATGAAAACAGAAACACGTCTTATTACTAGACAAGCTAGAGCTATTCACTGCTTATCATGACTAATTTTCCCACAAAATCAATTCAATTCATGCGCGAGAGCTTCATTATACTACTAATTTTATGCATTGCTATCTTATACCCCATTCACACCAGCAAAACATGTTTTGTTAAACTGGTTTTCATTGAATGAAAATTATAAACAGAGAACTGGAAAACTTGATTTTCCATTGGATTCAAGTACTTGCTAACTTGCATTTCCAATGTGCTACATTCAAGTCAAAAATATTCGGTTAAATAGTTTCTATGAAGAAAAAAAAAATTAAACTGTGTTTAACAAAACAACTTTTAAACATGTTTAAGCTTTGGTGTGAATGGGGCATTAGTTAACGCAATCTCACCCGCTTTGCTGTTATCACATATTTATTGTCGCTCCTGGAGCCAACATTGGTTGTCTTCCATGAGTCGTACACTGTTTTTGAGTCGCAAAACGAAATCCTGTTCATCCATTGTTTGTATTCTTTCTGATCTAGTTGCACTGTATCAGGCGTCAACCTGCTTGGTCGGCGTTGAGCTCTATCCTGGAATACCTTGCATTCATTTCTATCTTTCTTTACATCGTGGTCTTTTTCAAATCTAGATCTTTTGTGATCGAAAAAAAATGTCAAACAGTATTGTAATTCTAATATCACGTTATGACTACTGATTTGCGAGTTGCGAAACAGAGTTTTTTGACCCCTCTATTCTTCGAGTCGCACGGCAAATATCCCAGTCAAAGACAGTAGCATTCATCTTTATAATGGTATCTAATTTTTCATCAAGCTTAAGCTGAACAAAAAAGCGTTACGAAAACCAAAAGTGGGGCGTGAAAATTGCAATGCCCCAGGACGTAAACACTGAACAACTTTGAGATTTTTACAAGATAACTGTTTGTTCATTTTTAGCCCCGAACAGAAAGGTCAAAAAGCAAAAGTGCATTTTCCCTTTTGAAGTAATCCATAACTACATGGGTTTTCCTTAATTTGTTTTATGATTGACTCAAAACAATGAAGCATGATCATGCATGTAAACGATTAAGAAAATTGCAACATTTTCACGTGCGATCTCTCTGATCACGTTTTAGTTATCGTTTTATCTACTCTGGGTCCCATAATAGACTACGATGTCATTCACTTTGTTCTGATTGGTAGTTTTGATTGCCTCGTTCTATTACGACCCTTGACTTAAGCGCTCTCTTAGGTTCTGTAAAGCCACTTACTGACTTAACATTCCTCTAAGTAAAGCGTAACGCTTGACTGCGTCGGCTGGCTGAATGATAGGAGATGTGTGGACCGTTTCTGTTGACCGTTTCGTGAAGCTTGTTTTGGCATTCTCTGTGCTTGTTTGTTCAGGCTTTAAGGTTCTTATACCTCCCCCCACTTGATTCGTTCCTTTCTCTTCCGTGAATGATCGATAAACTTTCGCCTCAGGAGATTTACTTAATGTAGCCTGCTTAGAACTTAGAGCAGGTGAGATATCTGTCTTGACGAAGATAGAATTCCGTCTTTTATCTTCAGGTGTTGAAGAAGGTGACTCTCCAATGGTTTCCGTAGGGCGTGTAGAGTGCAAATACTTTAAGCGCAAGCTGCGTAGTGTTTTCATCCTTCCATCTGCTCTCGTGGCTGATTTCGGTAAAGAATTATTTTGGCGATTACCCCTCTCCTTATCTTTGTCGCCTGGTTTGGAAAACATACCCTTTCTTTATCTACCTCTCTTGTGGTTGATCACTGAGGTGCTTTTTCCCACTCTGTCTGTTACGCCTTCATTTGCCTAATTACGAGAGGAAGTTATGTCACTCTGGCAACATGTAATTGTCACGTCATGTGATTGTTCGGTCACTTTACCCACGGCGCATGTCATGTTAAGTTGCTAATGAAAAACTGCCACAAAAACAAAGCAGTCAGCCTATTTAATTGATTTATGGTACCTCAAAATTGTATTTTTCTTATTTACCACTCCGTAGCCGTTTGAGTCATTTATATCACAAAACGCCTCTTTTAGACTTTGAGACATGGTTCGGCAAGACAGTAAAGGCAATATTATTAATCAGAGATACCAAACATAGGAATACTAATTATTATCCAGTGTTGCCTTTTGGTTTTCAGAAATATAAACGAGATCCTAAAAGTCTTCAAAATCCGCCATCTTACCCTCATCCTTGTATTAAACTGCGGACACAGCGATCTATTTTCTGGGCCACTAAAAATGGCGAAATCAATTTACTTTTCCCTTTCAGCATCTACTTGAATCTTTTCCTAATTTTAAACTTAGTATGATTTTACCATCTTTTATTTTGTTAACATCATGTGTTGTTTCCGCTCTTATCTTTTCGACCAAAAGTCTCTATTGTCGGCGAATTTCGCCAAAACGCTCCGAAAAAATATTCAAGGAGAGAAGGAATAGACTAGATTTGATTGAATAAAACGCTGGCAAACCATTTGAACTTACTACTGACTTCACTTACGAGAAAAGTGCTATAATAATATCTTTGCGAAAATATAACTGAGTTTCACTGTTTCCGCTCATTTCGGGTCGCCTAAAATACTTGCCTGATTTAGAGCGAGCCAAGCCAGAATAAAATTGATTACAAAACATGAAGGTTCGCTGAATCATTTCACCTTGGCTATTCTTGCTGTATAAAGACCAACTTTTTTCCGACAAAGAAGTGTTCGTAGCTGCTCTAACAAAAGCAATATCATTGTTATAAGTGATAATTAATCAGTTTCATTGTTCGTCTTTGTTTGATTTCTTCTGGACAAACATGCTCTTCGTGTGTCCCATGTTCCCTGGTTACGGTCATGTAGAATTAGTCAAATTTAACTCTTTATTCTCCGTCACTGAAACAATATTATTACCTTAATATATTTTCCGAGGCCCTTACACAGTTAGGGGAGTTTTTTGCAAAACAAAGAAGGCAATATCTCTCAACATTCAGGAAGGTGGACAATTTTATTTTCCTGGTTCCATCGTCAACTCTCTTTGTTTTCGGTGAGTCGTATTATTCTGAAAAAGCGTCTTGTGATTCTTGAACTGGTTGAAGTCAGGCATTAAGTGTGACGTGCGTCGTGTGCTAACCTACATCGGAGAAAATAAATCCTCTATTATGGCAAAAAACAGCTGATAGATAGGGGAAAAAATTATGTTTTCTTCGTAGCGGCAATTTTGACATTCATGAGGCCACTAACAGATCGCAATAGGCGAGTCATATCTTTTTCACAATTCCTGTTCACTACTAAAAAGGAAAAGCATCACCATTCTCTTTCACGAAGTACGGACAGAATTATCTTACTAATGTTTGCTCTCACTCATTATTATTATTATCATTTTCTCTTTTTATTTTTCATAAAAATGAAATATATCGTTATTGATTATCTATCTTCCACGAGTTATTTGCATAAAAAAAAAAACCCCGTTCAGTGGATTCAGGAAATTTCAGTAGAAAATGAAAATGTTTGTTTTTGCCATGTTAGTGTTTTGGAAAAGCGGACAACAATTTTATGATCAGTGATCTAAACTTTCATCATTTTTGTTGGAACATAAGGGATTTCCACTTCTGGATGGGAAAAATTCGAGAGGTAAGCTTTATATTTCGCGCAGATGAGTGATCCCAGAGTTGAGTTGAACTCTTGCTTACCTCTGACAGGAACTCGCGTGGGCGGATGCATAATTACAAACAGTCAGCGGATTTATAAGCATGCGTAATGCGTTCATGTATTAATTTACCGCGATTGTTGTCGATTTACTTTGTACTCAATTTGTGACGGTTTTCGTCTGCGAAAAGTTGGGAAGAAGCATACTTGGTAGCATATTTTGTTTTAACTCGCACAAACTAAGGCAGAGAGATTGATTTCCCTGAAGAAATCTACATTTTAAGCTTTCAAACCGCTTTTTACCTTCAGGTAAGTCTCTCCTTTTCTAGGTTCGCGCTGGTCCTTGCATGAATTGAAGTCGTTGTGATAAGCTTTTATCACTCGTTGCTCTGAAGTGTCGTATTTGGGCGTTTTCTTTCGTGTTTCTGAAAACTTGGCGCATACTCGAAAGATTTGTACGTTTCCGTGCTAATTCAAGATAGAGAAAATGCTGTTTTAATTCCATTCGAGTCTTTTCGTCGGACGAGATTTGACTAACACGGTCTTCCCCTTCATGACGCAAGGCCTTTATAATTCGCCTCTGAACGCAAGAGTGGACAGGGAAAATAATCATTTCTTTTTCAAATCCCTTCAGCCAAAGGAGTCTTGATTGATCGTATATTTTCTACCTTTCTGGATTTGCTGAAATATCGTGTACCTTCTTTGAGAATTAACAATTTGCGCGGAGATATTTACGTGCTAGAACAACCGTTGTTTGAATTGAAGAGACACAAAGGTTTGACATGAAAAAAAAAGAATCGTCTATTCCTTTTGAGTTTAAAAAAATTTTTTGAATGTAAGAACTTGTATGGAAAAACTTCTCAACGTACATAGCGAACTCAAGATAGAAAACGGTTCCACAAGGAGGAACCACCGGCAGCAAATTCTTGAAGAGACGTAGTTACTGCTTAGCGATGTTGGGTAAGAATGTTTATTGTTCTCGGCTGTTTTAACTTCGATGGCTGTTAATGTTTATTATATTCAGCTGCATAGTGGTTCTCATGCGCGTGATTTTATGAACAGATTTGGCTACGGATGTTCTTCGTACCTCATTCGCTTTTCTTCCCCTTTACTGATGTATCACATCGGACTGTTCAGACGTGATTACGTTTTTCTCTAGCTTTAGGGGAAAAAATTTCGCTCAGCAGAGTCCAGTATACTCTGCATTTTCTTGATAACGTCTTTTCCTTTCAAATATATCAAATTTGTTAGGCTTGGAATATCGCAAACTCTATTTTAAGCACAAGTATACTTAAGACCAATCTCATTTGACCTTGAAATTCATTTGAAGTTCTAACTAAAATCATGCATACTTGTGTTTCCATCGCATTGTTGTTGTCTTTTCTCTGACTTTCACTCATTTATTTTTCGCTATGTTCAGTAGCTTTTTAGTAGGAATTAATTCAGCTGTAGGAGGTTTAGGAAACGATAGTATTTAGCTTATCATGATGGTTAACATTCACGAAGACAAAGTTGGTTAAAGCTAAAAGAGTCAAAGTGTACCCTAACACTGTTGTAGCTTTCTGTTAGATAATTATTTTGAAAACTTGAATGGCTTTCTGAAATAAAGGTATTTCATTTACATTATCAACTCAAAAAGAAAACACAGGAATTGTTTGTAAAAATGGACCAACAGGAGTTTCCAAACAATACTACTGTTATTTCTAGAGGCAATTTCTATTTTGTTCATTCAGGCATTTTTTGGTTGAAATTGTTTTTCAGTGAGATTTCAAAACAATTTGTACTCAGATATAGTGGCATATAGGATATAGGAGACTTAAAAAAAGTCATTGACAAGCTAGTGGAGAGTCCTTGGTTATAGGAAGTCAATAGATAACTAGCCGAGATAGGATGGTGACTGGGATAAATCACTGGCACTCCTTAAGTTAGGCAAATGCTTATTTTGCTCTGAGAGAGTTCACATGTAACATATTTACAAAATAGTTAAGTATTTCTAGACCACTAATTTCAGATTTTACTTTGCATTCCAGTAGGTTTAAGAATGGGTCAAAGTGACACAGAAAGCACATCATCTTCCATGAGAGGAAATCCTGGTTCTCCACGTGACATTTCTGTTCTTTTAGATGAACCTAGTGCAGAGATACCAAGCTTTCATCATCCAGGACATATTTCCCCATCAGTATCAACTTCATCTAGTGACACAAGTGAACTGGATAGTTCAGTAATTGTTATAAATCAGACACCTAAGCGTACGGAGATCCCTGTTATTGATCTTACGTCACCAGATGAAGGTGATGAGGGTTCAGCAAGAACACAGGGAAATGCAGCAGCTCCTCCTCCATGGTGAGAAATTGAGCTCAGTCCTTCACTGAATAATTCCCTTTGCCCTTAACCCTTATACTCCCAGAAGGGACCAAGACAGAATTTCTCCTTACAATATCAATGTAATATCAAACAGATAAGTGTCAAGATTAAAGGAAAATATCAAATAGGGGATTATAAGTTGATCCAACACCAAATTCTTTGAACGAACATTATCCAAATTGTATGGCAGATAGAAAGGAGAATTGCTGAGGAGGTCTTAGGAGTTGGAAGGGTCAAAACAATGCCTTAGTGTAGGTGTACTGTAATTGTAATTTCTTAATTATTAATCAAGATGAAATGTCTTCTAGATATTCTTAATATTCTCCATTTTGTCATGTTTCCAGTGAGGACTTCGCACAGTTTGCTTCTAATTTCCGTTGGCGTCTTCAAGGACGTGACTCCAGAGGGCAACGTTTTCCTCTCAATGAAAGTCGTTTACGTTCACGTCGGTTTCGAGGCAGGCATGTCCCTTACACAAATTTATTTGAGCGTGGTCCTTCAGCTGCAGGCAGGAATGAAGCACTATTAGCAGAATTTGCTGACTTTGCACCAAGGCCAGCTCCTTCTGGAGAAAATAATACACCTATTGTTATTGATGATGAGGTAATACTTGTTTCTCTTTATACCGAGTTAACCCATTTTTTAAATCACTTGTGAGCCACACTTAAATCCAAACCTTTGGCTTTTTCCATTGACTAGTTTTTTCAAGATAAAATTTATAATTGGTGAAGTAGGAGGGACCCATCAATTTGATAGTAGGCAAGATAAAAGGCTCACTTGAAGATAATGTTTTACTATCCACTTGAGGGAAGCCAGGTGCAAATTATTATGTATCCTGGTGTAGCTTCCTCTATCCTACCTTTCAGGAATTACAAGGCTCCTGCACCTTGAAGTGAAACAAACAGGCAATTCCTCATTTCTTTTTTGCAGTGAAACTTTCCCTGCTAATGAAATCGCTTCTCTTTTACCATGTTAAAAGAGTAAACTGTTCTATATAAGAAAGGATGTCAAAATTTCTCAGGAAGATAGGAGAATGAAATCACCCTTTGAAGTTTGAAGTATCTTCATGCATACACAAGGGTAAATTTGTAAATGTTTTGGTTAGAATAATACTGTTTATTTAGTTTGAATAATTCATTGAAAGCTTTGTTTCTATTTCTACAGAGATTACCTTTTGCTCAACACCAAGTTCCACCAAATGATGCACCAAGTTGGTTTCTGTCAGATAGACAACATCGCATGGAACGTTTCCGTCGCCGACTCAATGCCTCTCGGCAATCCACAAGGTGCTATCTTCAGTCAGATGAGGCTCTCGCTCACAGATTACAACAGGTAAATTTTTGGATATTGTAATTTAACTTTTAACTTTTTATCTAGGGTATACTTGAGAAAGATGAAGAGTCTTCCTGTTTCACTTTTTATGATCAAGACAACAAGATAAAGTTTAAAGACTGGATTTGCATAGAACATTATGTAAAGCTACAGTCATTGGCTAAAGTCTTGGGATGCTTAAATTTTTCCCTTCCTAGCTGTTGTGGTGTTTGCTTCACCCTTCTTACCCTTAATACAATGTCTGACATTGAAGCTTCAAGTGGTTGTGGATGGGTTGAAGGGGAAGGGACATTTCCTAGGTATAAAAGAACATCTTGCATTAAAGAATTTTGTTAAGGAAAACAATTCATATTATTTCAGGCTGAATATACACGCGACGTAGAAGAAAATGTCCATGATGCTGGGGATACAACCCAATCATCTGGAGCTAGGATTGGTGGCATACATGCAATACCTCCTACTGTGGTAAGAATGCCTTATTTAATAGCATCTTCTTCTTCTTCTTCTTCCTCCTCTGTTGTTTTTGGGTAATCGTTATAAATGTAGAAACTGTGATCAATATGGTATTCCACAAATACTTGCATGCATACACATTTGATGGTAAAACCCATGTGAAAACAAAATAACTTCTGTTGTTAGCAGTTTCTGATCGAATGAAATTCTAACCAATTTCAATAAGAAGAACAGAGTTTTTCCTGTTGAACACCAAATGGTTTCATGGAAAGCTTAAGGTGTTAAGAAGGGACAAAAGAATTATCAATATTTATTGCCTTGTTTGTGCAATCAAAACTGTGCTTGAAAGTACAAGATTTAGAAATAACAAATTGAAATCTGAAATTAGTTTTGCATTGTGTTATGTAAAAAAAAATGAATATTTAAAGCAATATTTCTACAGGCAGGTCCAATGTAAATTTAGCCGAGGCTGGTGTAAATGGAGGTCCGTGTAAATAAACTTACTACAAGGACAGAAAGGAGAACTAAACTGCAATAATGACAAGTTGATTGGTATACTCATTCATTGTTCCTTTCTGTAGCACCAGCCACCAGCACCCTCTCTACAGGTACGACGCAGACGTCCATTCCACACAACTTTTGCAAGTCAAGGCTTTCCAGAACTACTTCTTCCTTTTGTGTAAGTAAATTTGTTACCCTATGTTAAATGGGAGAAGTTTCAAACATGCTGTGTGTAGCACAAAATGAATTGTAGGCAAACAAGTTAAAGACCCCCTTAACATTTGCCAGATTTGAGATTTTCCCCTCAGTAATGTGGTGATAACTGAGGTAGATGAAATGGATATGTTTTTACTGGTAATTCATCATAGCTAGGCAATAAAATATGATTTTGGTTGAAATTGTAGGTCTGTTGTGTCATTTCCTCCCCCACCTCTTCATCATTATGGGGACTCTACCTCTGGGCATTCAACTGAGGGAGAGGACTATGAGGTGAGGAGAATAATTATTATGTTATACTGTTTTGAGGGTACGGTGATTTCACTTCTGTGCCCGTTTCACACTCACAAAAAAAATTCACACAACACACATTCTTTGAATAATATTTCACTTGTCAGGAACTTGAAAGGGAAACTTAGAACCTCACGTTACCTAGCCTTTCTGTAGGATTCATGCATCACTTATTAATTTTTACAAACCTTTTGCAACTGTCTGTTTTGTGTGTCTTTTCTCTTCTTCACTGTAAATAATGAAGTTTTATTTTAGGTCGTGGTTTAGTTTGCTCTTTAATACATCTGTACTAAAAAGCCCACCAGAAGAGTATGTTGCTTTCTTGTTATTACTGAATGACTTATTACTTATCCTATAACAGGCCTTGTGGAATCTCAGTGAGAGGATAGGATTAGCCAAGGCTCGAGGGCTTAGCAAAGAAGGTACTCTAAGTCAACATTTACCACAGCCCTTTGGCTCAGTGCCTTCTTTTTTTATTTTGGAAAAAAAACTGGGGCATGAGCTGATGTATTGTTACTTAAGAAGTTTTTTCACCATATATTTTTTTTCCATTCAGTTTTGATCCACTCAGTCTTGGACTGAGCACTTGTATCAGTATGGGGTTTTGTAGGCTGTCTGTGAAACATTCTTAATAACTCTAACAATTTTATAAGTTTAGAGAGAGAGATGCATTGTAATAACTGTTTCTGTATTCAAGCAAATCTTGTAAAGTCAAACTTTTGATTTTAGGTTAAGCACTTAAAATGCCCTTAACACCTTATTGTATTATTATTATTATTATTATTATTGCTGCCAGCAAACAAATTGGTGGCATAAGTCTCAGTTGTTTATTTTTTCCTTGTTTCAGTAATTGATAACATTCCAAGTTTCCGCTACAGTGCAAGTTCACGAGATTATTCCAATGGAAATTGTGTGGTGTGCATGAGCGATTATAGCAAGGGTGAAAAACTACGACGTCTACCTTGTAATCATGATTTCCATGCCAAATGTATTGATCGCTGGCTCAAGGTAACATGAGCACTTCATTCTGTTTCAATCATTTTATTATTTTAAGTATTAAATGACTAGTGGTGAAACTGTTCCATTGGGATTTTAGTGATTTAGGGTCAGGTGTAAGTTTGGTTTTCACTTCAACATAAGCACTAGTATGAGTGGTGATGAGGTGCTGGTGTGCATACATGTAAGCACCCCTAACATCTTGTTGAAAGTTCCCCTTACTGTTTGCTGTACATTTGTTTGTGCTTGTGTTGTGGGTGCTAACAGTAGAACCATCTTTGCATTTGCTTGTGATGGTGCATATGTGGTTGCAAAAACCAGGCCTTTGGTGTTAAGCATGATAGTGAGAGACTTGGGTCTAAGCTCATCACCTCCACTTAGGGGTATCAATCAAAACTAGCTAATGTTTTGGAATGAGATGGGGGGAGGGCTTCCGTCATGCATTGAACTATTGTAAATATAGGTACATGCACTTTAATTGGTCAAGGATTCCGTTACATCTTTCCATAATCACTGGGGACAAGATGATGACAACAGGAGCACTTATTAACTTTTTGGGTTTAACTGGCTGCAATTGGCTTCTTGTTAGACATTTTGACCTGTTTAATGCTTTCTTGCAAACAAAGGTTTTGGCTACCACTACTTTATATCTATGGGCTAGACTCCCTGTCTCAGCCCTTTGATGCAAGACATTTTGGAGGCAAAGAAATAGGGCAAATTTACATTTTTGCTCTATTAATCACCGTAGTAGTTGTAACAAAACAATTATTTGCTGAAGGAAAAGTGAATGGTATTTAACAATATTATATAATCGTCAAGACAAAGTTGGAGATTATAAAAAAAGTATTCTCTTTGCCTTCAGCAAATGATTGCAGGAAACAAATCAGGGATAAGAAGGGTCTAGCACAGGGTACTGAAATAACACTTGTACTGAAGTGTAAGCTGCAGCTGTTAATAGCTAGTTTACATGCTAATGGTAAATCAGAAACTATGGACGGAATTTTTTAATAATGTTGTGAATTTGATTTTCAGAATAATCGAACCTGTCCTGTGTGCAGAGAAGAAGTCATGGAATCTTGATCTTTGCCTAACTTTTAAACAAGCTCCAATTATTCCTTAAGATGATTATAGAAATTCTGCTGTTGAAATTGATATATATATATACATATATCTACATATAATGATTAATGCATTGTTGTTGTTCTACACTCCCGACATTTGTAATGTTTTGCAAACTCTTGTTCAGTCTGTTAGAAAGAGAGAGAGAAGATTCATTATATGCTTTAGAAACAACTCCAACTTATCAATAGTTTTTATATTGCATTGCTAAAATATCTTCAAAATTGTTGAAATAGTTGTAAGCTTCAAGGAATAATAGTAATTTTGTTCCCCCCACGAGTAACAGTTCCTTTAGTCATTTGTGTACTAAATATAGTTTTCTTGAGATCATCTTAAGTAAGAGGGTCGTTGTGGCATGTACAGATCAAGGTACTTTCTCACTGTACCTTCAGAGTTTCTTCTGTCAGTTTTGTTACACGTTGAACACAGCTTCAATCCATCTTGTGAAAGAACCATGTCAACAAATGTGTTGCAATATATTTCAAATCCAGCAAAAGTAATTTTACAATTGATTGTATTCATACTTTCAGGATGTTGTGGGAGTATTTTTGTTGGCACTGTCAGATGTACTAAGCATAAGTTTCAATGTTGCACCTTCAGCACTTTCCAGAATTATTTTTAAATCTAGGACCTTGTTTATTTTTCCATGCACTGCAATCCAGGACTTAAGGATGAGTTTATATGACTTGGCTAGGAAATATCTTTAAAATTATATTGTTATGAAATGAAAGATTCCTATATTCACATTTGTAAGCCTAGAAATAATTTCCTCTAACATTGGTTTGAACTCAGAGAAGTTGCCACAGCTCACTTGTATGATAGTTAATGAATTATGTGAAGACCCATAGTGAAATTTGTACATAATATTTAAAGAAGCTTGAGTATGTAGACCAATTGCTTTTATTATATATCAAGGCACTGCCATAGCATTAAACACATTTATACAGCTTTAATCTAAAGTCTGAAATATTTGATAGTTATCACCTTTAACCCTTGAATGCCAAAGAGTGACAAGCATCTAATTTCTAATAATAACATTCCTGAATCAGACACTAAGCTCATGGGAATGAAAGAAATGATCGCGAACTCAAGAGGTTCTTCATTTTTTGACAAATTCACGTTGTAAGTACCGTACAAAATGCATAGGAATAGAGATGGGTATAGAGAACATGCATACTGATGTCAGGCTGTTAAGTATTGAGTCAAAGACCTCGCTAAAATTTGTGTAGCTTTAAGAAAAAACTCACACTGGTGTTCAGCAGTTTATTAAATCCCTTTCGGTGGAAATACAATTTGTGCCGTGCCACCTTGAGCCACCTTGAGGATGAAGTTAGGCCATTTTTAGTTCATTCATGCTGAAAGTAACGATAAGGTATTGTGGTGAAGCAGATGTTGACGGAAGTTGTCGACCGTGGACGGAAGTTGTATTCCGTAGTTGGAAGTTGAATTGTGGACCGTGAACGGAAGTAGTCCCGCATGCTACCCCTCCCCTCTTAGTGTCTGTCAAAATAATTTAGACGAAGCTCAGAAACTCACGTGAAAAGAAATAAAATGTTTGCATGGTTTAATAAAAATAATAACCTCAAATCACATTTCCGAAACTTGAGTCGTGAAGCCGAAATGTTAACCCCTAGGGACCCGTAGCGGGTTCATTTTCAATACACGCTATGATCACACAGAAGAGCATCACAGGTAGCCATATTAGTGGTAAGCCGAGCATTTGCGTTCGTCTGCAGTTGGTATAAAGTAATCATTCAAGAAATAATTGACAGCTTTGCACGTGGTCCATACGTTTCATCTTTTTAACCGATATGTGTAATTTTGTTGACAAAAATGCGGACCGAGACCAAAACTGTCGCTTCGACTTGATATATTTTCAACGTCTAGGGATGTATACACACTGATTTTCACATATGTGCCTTATATTGTTACTGGTTTACATGAGGAGCCGGCGAATTCTTACAGGGAAAAGCGAAGCGTTGCTTTCGTGACTGGCCATTTGTTTACTTTTCTGGTGGTTTTATCTTTCATCTGCTTGGTGACTACGCATATATTAATATGTGAAAATCAGACCACATGAAGGCTTGAAATTCTATTAAGAACGATTGTGGCCGCTTTGTTAAAAACCAAATGCATTGGTCACTTTGTTAAAAACAAAAGATATCAAGAAACGGGAAAGGAATATTTCACAATAGTGCAAATGATCGTGAAAGATGAGGGTTCTTACAATTTTGCTGCCAGAGCAACATTTGATGCCTGATTATGCCCACCCAGCCCACCCTCCGCACCACAAACACACATACACCAACAAAAAGGACATTGTCTGCCTGATGACCTCTGCCCATCCCACCTCCAGCCTACACAATCTTCTTTCCAATTCCCATCATGACAAATGCACAAGTTTTCTTATCACACAACTGCCCAAAATTAAAAGAAAATTTATTCCATAAGTCTTGAAAGTTCAAATAGACTGGATTCAACTGTACCTATATTCAACATGTCCAAGAAATCAATAAAAACTTGAGCCATAACATGAATGAGCTGGCTCCAAGAGCCCTTTGATTGAGTTCAAGAAACCCCCAGTTTTTGAAATGAGACCTGTTGAGTGGACTATTGAAAAAGTATGGCTTTTACCAATATGATTAAAAACTTAACCAAATTGACTTGGTCAGTGGCATTTTTCTGTATTCCACTCTGTGGTTGCTCCAGGGAACCAGTGCTAGTTCTTGGCCAGTCAGATTAAAAATTTAATTCAACTGTGACTTAGTTAGTGGCATTTTCCCACAAATTAGGCTCTTGGTTTGCTTTTATTCAGTTTTCATTTGCTCTTTTGGGTTTTTTTTCCTGGATTTGATTGGCCATTGTGATTACTGCAGTTTGATTTTTTTGAAGTTTCATCAAGAAGCACCCTAACCAAATTATTTACTTAGGCAGTACTTGTGTGGGCATTGTAAGTGTACACCTGGCGCTTGTTTAGGTTTTCTCTCTAATTTTTTTTTTGTCTTGGTGGGAAGATAGAATCTCCAGTATGGTAACATACAGTTGCATTTTTCAAATCTTGATTTTGAACATGTGCTACTTCATTGATCACAGTAACTTTATTTCCAGGGCCTCACTTATTTTTATCCCCCTACCCCCCTGGATGGAGAACCTGTAATTGGCCGGGATGAGAAGGGAACCTGGGAATGAGGCTCCTGAGGTACAGCAATTCTTAAATTAGAAGGACCTGTGTTACTTGCTTTAAAAATGTAACTGAAACGCTTTCTTTGGATTGGTATACAGGACCTTTGGCTTGAAATTCAAGGAATTTTGGGTTATAATTACCAGGAGAATGATTCCCCTTTCATTTTAACCACAGCCATATAGCTTGGGGAAAAAAATGCATATTAAGCTTTTGCAAATTTGCGCTTAAAAATGATCCCTCCCCACGTGAGGTCACGAGTAAAAAGATCACTGTTGCTACAGTCACATTGATATAAAAATTGCGCCTTTCAATGCAGTGCCTTTGATTTCGTATTTAATTTGTGTAATAATAAACAGAATATCACATTTGAGTGTTGAAAAGATATTTCACTCGTTCTCTTCGCCCATTTCAACACTCGAAATTCGTATCTCCGTGCGGCCATATGACATCCTCTATATCTTTTTGTTAAAACAATTGCTAAGAACTCTGTGGAAAGTGTGCCTGTCTTTCAGTACAATGCAATGGCCATCATTTTACTGCTTACATCCCTGCAGTGACACCAGGTGGGAATTTTCTAACCGGAAGGAAGAAATGAATGTAATGTAAGTATTCTAAATTAGGATATGAATTCATTTAATACTTCACAAGTTATACTCTACCGGGGGATGGACTTTAAGTACACTAAGATCATTATATATTCAGTAGATAGTGAACTCAATGAACCATTTTTCTGTTAAAATATTTTGTTATTTACTTGTTCTGTGCGTGAAATCCTCCGTTCTTGCGGAAAAAATCGTTCTTTTTGTTTCGAATGACATAAACAAATAACCCTGCTATTTATAGGAAACAAACAGAAATATTAATCATCCAATTTATGTCTATAAATCTCATTTTCATTTCTAAAGGTCCTGAAATGTTTTTAAAAAAATCCCGATTTATCTCAAAAGTTCTTTTTCGAAATAATCTCATAATTTGCACAAAATGCGAGATTCCCGTGATGAATTTTCATGGAGCACCGGCCTCTAAACTGATTCAAAATAATCATTTATTTTCAAGACAAAGTGAGCGATACGTCAGTTTCGTCTCCTTACATATTTCCCTCTCCGAAAAAGACAGCATGACCGTTGGCAGAGTTTGACATTTCATGTGGCATAACCAAGGCCAAAACCATGACAATAACCTCTATTACAAAGGCATAAGGCGAAGTACCATTACCATTACCCGGAGCTCGAGACTAATTGTGCCATCGCTCGCCGAAATTACGTTTACTCGACAGCTTAGATTGGCTCCGTTTTTCGATTGTTCCGAGTCCGAGACTTCGGATGGTGAACGCAAGCTCATTTCGCGAACATTGGATGATTTTATGGTTAACACGGCTCAAAAGTGAACATTTGAGAAGAGACTGGGAAATAGTCAATGCACTCACGTTTCACCTGCACGTGAATCTAGCTAATGTTTACTCACGCGTTCGATACACGTGAAAACTTCCATCTGTATGCGACATCATAAGAATAACTTTCGCAGTACGATGAGTTGTTGGATTTAAAAGAACGACAAAGGCCATTTTAACGATCGAGATGCAATCCTTTAATTTATCCTAGTAAGTGTGATGTGTGATTGCGAAGTTTTAAACACCAGTGCACAAGATGGTACGTCGAAAACAAGCGAATGGCTCATGAGTAGTAACTTTTCAACAGACTGTGGCGATCGCCAACAGTCTTCTTCATCGGGAGAGTCTTCGCGAGCTGTGTCGCCGATCGAGGATTCTGAGCCAGTTAAACCAGAGGGTAGTGGAACAAAGCTACACAGTGATCATTACCATCGGAAACATCGTCACTCGAAATTTCACAAGAAAAAACATGTCAACAGCTCCGGCGTCGCGGTGGATCGATTTAAAAGAACTGCGACTGTGTTGCGCTGTTCTGGACTTCTTCAGATCACGAGAAGTATATCTCAACTTCTACATAACAATGAAATAATTCAAAGTGAGATCGACAAGCTTCAACATGAAACGAAGGAGCACAGCCAGCAGTTACAGAGACAATTGCAAAAGAAACTTGAAGTCGAAAGGGAGACCAGAGGTGCGTGCAGTCCAGAGGGTCAAAAGTTACTCACGAAACTCGCTCAATTTGAGTGGAATTGAACTATTATTGGAATTCGCGCATTAAGTAATTCTTATTCTTTAATCACTTTTTTTCAAGGTTGTTTATTTCATTTTTGTATGCGGAGAAAAAACATTGGTAAACAAGGAATGATAATATTAATCAATGTAACTGGTGTGCAGCGAATTAGAAAGTCAGGCGACCGGATTACGTAACCGTACTGCTTGTTATTCCTTTACTTGAATGATCTTTCATTTTGGACTCTTTCGATCGAATCTAAAATTAAACAAGCGAAGAGTTACTGTTATTATGGATGTGTGGATTTCATAGAGTTAAGATTCGCAGAAAGAATTAGCGCGCACAGTTCTTCCAATCTTTATTACTTGGGTTATTTTTACGCAGGTTGAAAATAATTTGCTCATCTGGAAAATTCTTTATTCAATAAAGAGTTGATGTACAATTTATTTGACTTTTTTTATTGTATACTATAGCAGAAGGGGCGAGAATTGTAAAGAGGAATATTTACAATCTAATTGAAAATCCGAGTGCTAAGAAAAGAACCGATCTTAAAGTAGACTCAGTAAGCAATGGTTAGTATCACTATGCTACTTCGATACAGTTTCACGTAATTGATTATCAACTTACTTTTAATTGTCATCCATTCGATTAAGATGATTTAACCAACATACCGGTAGAATTGCGCAGAATGATCGATTGTCAATGCGTTGCGAAGATCTCTTGGGTGTTGAAAACGGAGAAGGCGGGTCATGGGAGGGTTAACAACACAAAATTGGCTTAGACTGGACCACAGGTAGCCCAGGGTCGCTAAATGATACTCCGTGATTACTTTGCGTAATGGGCGATCCCTGATAGTAAATCTTTAGTATAGAGGGCAAAGCAGATGCAATATTACCGAGCTGAACAGTCCAAAACCAGCTTATTAAACCCACGATGCAAAGGAATAATCACTTAAGCGAGGTAAGTTCGTTTTTAATTTGAAACTAGCTGGAACTTCAACCGTACATTTCCATACAAATCCTAATAACGCGTCAATTTCAAATTTACAGAGGCTCGTCTTGTGAGCTTAGGCCTGCTGAGATAATAGCCCATGATCATTACTGTTTGTTTCTATACTTGTTGGGAATGGAACAACTTACTCAATAGTAGGGAAATAATTAAATTTTATTTATAGAGGGTGACTCATACTAACAATACAAGTTGATGAACTAACGGCCTTCTTTTGTGGAGGATCCGGTGAAAAGTTGATAATGGAAACACAAGCAATCTAAAAGCATACCTATAGCTCCGAAGTAATATGCAAAATATATACATATATTTTTTGATGACATGAACGAACGTTGCCCTTTGTTCGTACTGTATTTCTAAAGAAATTTCATTCGAGACTTTTACCGCACAATCGTTTTGAAAGCTTTGCCCTCAGTCTTCAAGTTGCCCTATCCTCAACGGCTGTAATTGTTTACCTCTAGGTTCTCAACCGGCTCCTCGCTTGCGTGACCGTCCTGATGTTTTCCTAAGCTAATGGTATGCACTCTTACGTAAGAGCGCATCTTGCTTCTTCTCGTCTATTTGAATGCGGTTGCCTAGGTTTCGCACCCGCCCAACCAAACAACATCGAAGGGACACCAGACTTGGAGATTTTGATCTTAGTCTTACTCGTGAATTGAATGTTCTTCCTGATGTTATCCAGCATCGCATATGCTGTCGCTTCCTTCTTCAATCTTTCCTTCGTGACTCTCTCGGTGCCACTTGAGGGTCACTTGACTTGCTGACCTTCACGCTCAGGCAGGCTAGCACCCAAAAGCCTTCTAGCCCTCCCAAGATAGATATCTAGTCACGAGAAACCATAAGCTAAGAACCAATTGAGAAAATTGTAGAAGACGCTTTGAAATCACAATAGGCCTTCTAAGGTTGAAAGTGGCCTGCAACAAGATGTTCCTCTCGCGCGCAGACGGCGAAGAAAATTTAACTGAGGAGTCGAATAACCAGCAAGTCTGAGGCATGTTTCTGTTGAAGTTTTTAAAATATTAAGGCCTGGAGAAGAGAATATAACCTTGGCCTGAAGCTTTTACTTCGAGTTCATTTCCACCCTCAGCGCGAGGGTGGGTTCACGATGGCCTTTGCGGTAGGATTCAGGTGCTTAATGAGCACTCTCAGCGATGCGCATGCTTTTTTAAAAATATGAATACTTTATAGCGCCTTCATTACCTACGTAGGAGCTGTACAGAGAAGAACTGTTTACGCAACTTCCGCGGGCTAAAAATTCACTAAAGGAGTTTTTAACCTGCGAAAGTTAAGCATACAGCCATGAGCCATAATATAGCATAGTAAAAACTCAAATTCTTCTGACTGACTGACTGACTAATTGCTTGAATCATTGTCTGATTTAATAACTGACTGACAGACGGACCGATTGATTGACTGACTGACTAACGGACTGACCAGTCTGACTGACTTATTGTTCGACTGACTGCCTGATTGACCAACTGACTGATAGACTGACATATTAATTGACTGTTTGACTGAGTGACTGACTGAAATACTGATTGGATGACTAACAGATTGATTGATTGACTGTATGACTGACTGATTAACTGTTTGACTGACTAGCAGATTGACTTACTGACTGGCAGACTGACTGACTGGCGGCCTGACTAACTAACAAGTAAACCGACTAACTAACTGACTTGCTGTCTAACAGACTGACTGACTAGTAGACTGACCGACTGATTGACTGACTGACTGACTGGCTAGCAGACTGACTGACTCGCTGGCAGATTGACCAACTTGCGACTGACTGACTGACTGGCAGACTGACTGACCGTGTAAGGCTGACTGACTGGTTGACTGACTGACTGGCAGACTGACTGACCGACTGACTGACTGACTGGTTGACTGACCGACTGAATGATTGACTTGCTGACCGACTGACTGGCAGACTGACTGACCGACTGACTGACTGACTGGTTGACTGACCGACTTACTGACTGACTGACTGACTGACTTGCTGACTGACGGACTGGTTGACCGACTGACTGGCAGACTGACTGACTGGTTGACTGACTGATTGTCTGATTGCCTGGTGTACTCACTGAATGACTAAGGATGAGTTAGAGAGATCGACCGACAAAACTGATAAGACAGTAGATTTAGCCTGTCTTGAGGAGTTTTGTGACTGACTAATCGACGACAAGCACAAACTTTTAAATAGTTTCAAATTTGTGAATTGAATTAAAAGGGATGATCTTGGCTTAGAGAAATAATTGCACAATAAAAGTCTTTAAAGCTAAAACTGAGTTTGTTTCGTAGGAGAAACGTTCGATTTGTCACTACAGGCGAATCCTTAAAGACGATCGAATCTTTAATGTGTACATGAAGCGTCGCGGAACGGTTTTTCATTATGTATGCCTCAAGCCTTAAGATTTTTCTCACAAAGGCCTTCAAAATTCTACGGAAACCAAAAACTTTTGCCCGCTTTCGCATCTCTCATTAAGATAACAAGTTATTCACGATTCCATGAAAAATAAATGAATAAGTTAATATTCCTCCTCCAATTACTAAGTCGTCGTGATCAAACAAAATATATTATTCGTTTGTGTTTATTTTACTAATAAAATCTACTAGTAAAACCGTTATGATGCACCATCAAAAAACAAGGCAAGATATCAAACATTCCATGAACGCACCTAGATATTTTGAATTCTAACAAGAAAAACAAGGTTAATACCTTGAATTATTTAAGCTAGTTTGAAAAAGGGCGTTGTCTATAAATAAAAATATCTTACATTTCTCGAAAAAATAAAAAATTATGTATACGGTAAAATGACTTGTTTTACCCAAAATAGTTGGTGTGTTCATACTAAGATTAATCTTCGATTTAAGCGAGACCAATACCTCACGTCCCGTCCTTGACAGCCAGTGTTTGTTCATCAGACCGATTTCCAGCACCGACCGCTTGAAATTTTATAACGATTCTCACAGGAATGCTTAAATCCAACACCACTGGAAAATTTAGGATTTTATCGATTTATAACATGATCCCAAATAAAAGCCGATTTTTCCATTCCCTCGTGCGAAGGTAAATGTCATATGCTTGTTGAATGAGCGGTCTCAATAACTAGTGATATAGTATAGCATGGCATATCATATTACATTTATCTTGACCCATAACAGGTGTTTTCACTTTTAATTTCCAATCTTGGTGTTTAGTTTTTTCGGAGACCATTAATCGACCCCTAGTGGCTATTTGCATAGCATATGTAGTTTGTTCACTCGAGACTCTTTTATTTCATTCTTGCTTTAATTAATCCGATAGCCAGTGGTTAGGGATAGAATTGCTTTAAGCGTGGAAAAGAAGGTGTGTTGATGACATTGCTTGTCGAACGATTATTGTGCAGTAATGGCTTCAAAGTGAAATTACACCGAGAAGTCATTACAGTTTCCCTTGCATAATAATCACAAATTAGAATGAGGCTTTATCATTTTCTCGCCTAATATGACTAGGCTTGTTGTTAGAGGTAGAAATTCGCACGAATTGATCAAAAAAATCTCTTTCACACAAAAAATTTGGATACGACTCGTTCATTAAAGAAACAGAATTATTTTGATGTAAATCGCGTGAAAGAAATTTCCCACAAAATGTTCCATAGATTCTGAAAGCACCATTCTCGAAAAATGTGAAAATCTAAAAGGAATATCACTGTTCAGTAAACAAATGATAAAATATTTTAGACCGCTATCATGTCCTGGTGTCGTAAAATCCGGCGTAAGGTGCATAAAAAGGTGTAAATTAATAACTTTAACGGGGAAAAAAAACAACAACACAACGGTTTTTAAAATTAAGTTTTTTTATAAGATCTTCAGCTCATTTCTAAGTGTAACCTGTAAGCGTGTCACAGCTCCTTAATCGTTACGTGACTTGAATGGGAAAATCATGCCCTAACAATGTTTTGACTAATATGACCGCTATTGATGCGCCAATAATTAAAAACGGTCGACCAGTACCTTATTCCTATTCTGAGAAGAGCGTACTTTATCAGAGCAATTTGGTGGGAAAAGAAACCCGCTAATTTTATGGACAGGGTAGTGTTTGCTGCAACGCTAACGGGGGTTTTGGTGTAAGATAATAATCATTTATATAAAGTGCTACACATTCAAAAAAAATCAAAGGAAAAAAAATTACCATTCGGTTTATAACTCGCTAACTAAAGAATTGAATAGAGGAACAAAGTACAAAGAGATGAAAAACTATCGTGTTTTCACCTTTTTTTTGAGAAGAGCAGCTGAAATTTTGGATAATTTCAGTTTTCCATGGATGTTTGGCCCTTTTGAAATGAATATCTTTTTTTTTTTTTTGTAAATTAAAAGCTTCGTTTACTGTTGTTAGACTTGAAGTTTGGTAAACCGAAACAGATGCAGTCAGTTACTTTGATGTGGTAAGATCACAAAGAAAGATCGAGTCTACAGAAGAAGATTTTTAAAATAGGAAATCTCTTAATCCAGATTAGTTAGACTTTAGAAACAAAACTCAAGCTTTTTAGCTTTGATATTTCTTTTCTCTATTTTGATGGAGCAGAATCATTGTCACTCATTCCGCAGTTGACTTAGTTATAGAAGAATTATGAAAGCAATGTGCGGGACCGATCTCCGGAATCATTGTAGTTTGGTCGATGCTGTCTTCTTTTCATAGACTTCGTTGGACACAAAAAAAAATGAATAGAGAGAAAGCAGAACGAAAGTGTATTTTATTCTCTACGCCAAAAACAAAGCGCGCAAATTAATCCTAAGCTCTGGCGGATATACTTTTTTTCTCCGTTTTATCAAATGAATATTGAGTCATCGAACGAGGGAAACCCATGGAAATGCTGAAACTAGAGAGACTGTGTACTTTTCAGCCCGGTTTAAACCTCTTATATTTAGTTTTTTTTTTGTAAACAAATGAAACGAGTTTGAGCTTTCATTCACTTAAGTAATGAAACTCTTAAAAAACGTAGTGTTGTTTTTCGTAAAGTACCTTAAAAGAATCATCGCGTTTTGTTGTTACCTATGACTGCAGCTGGTACGATTCGGGAATAAATACGGACCACTGACTCAGGATAAAAATTTTGAAGATCTTCACAAAGGGTTTCTTGAAAAATTTCCGCATTCAGAGCCATGATAACTTTCCTGAAACTGCGCACATGTAAACGCTCACAAAGCTCGGACGCATCGAAATTTCGATTGAGGATTTTCACTGTTGTTCAAGTCTCTCCATCGTAGGACAAAATTTCCCGTTGTTAAATCAAGTTTCTCTGATCATATCCTCGCAAGCCAGAAAGATTAGAGATGATGCTAAAACTAAGCCGGTTCTTTAGATAATGAGCTGAGTTTAATTGAACATGGGTAAAAGGCACAAAGGTCTTAAAAACAATGTTACGATGGATAATGAATGGAACATGCGAATAAGGATATAAATTGAATGATTTATGGTTCATAGCCTTTTCTTCTACTCTGTTCTGTTAACGGGGACTTTCTTTCTCGTTATCTCTTTTTGCGAATTACTGATCATCAATTTTCCCTATTCATCAGATAGTTTTAGCGCTATGGAAAGTCGTACTATGTTGTTTACAACTCTTTGGTTTTGCGTGGCTTTTCCCCAAAGTATTATTTTCCAAGTTATTATCTGGGAACTCGAGTTTATTAAAACATTTATGCAAATGTAATATTTGTTCCGAAAACATCTGTCATTGGGTTTAATGTGAGTTGGTATCCACTCACAAAACAACCAAACTAGTATTTGCCGGGCGTTAAATCTATGTCAAAAGAATGCTTGAAAGAAAAAAGCCTTCGCATGGCGCCGTTAACGCTAGCTTAGAAGAAAAGAGACAAACAAAGAGGTGTGAAGAAAGTGTTCGTTAGAAAATTAAGATTTCCTACTTTTTTCTATTCACGTGAATACGGCATTGTACGCGATCGGTAGGCAGCCTTCTTGAAGGCGTGTTTAACTCATTAATGGGCTACAGCTGTCTCCTTACAGGATAAACAGTCGTTAACTAAGATTTTCAGTAATTAAAGGTTCGATAAAAGCTCTCAATAACATTTTGGTAAAATACTTATCGCGGCCATGTGCGGCGAAACATCAAATAATTGCTTTGGTGATAAACCTTTCTTCCGTTAAGAAGAATGCCATTTTGAACACAATGATTTCAAAGAAAAGGATGAGTCCTAATGATTTCTTTGATGAAGAGAAAAACTGCCGAGTTAGTGACAGGTGAATGTTGTGCAAAGTTTACTCTTGGAATGCTTAAAGACATTTATAAAGTCAGTCCTCTTCGCTTCCCGTGAGTTTGGTCGTGTTCTACTTTTGCAAAAGCGTTAATTTATCTCTCGCTCCTGGGTAAAGTTGACAAACGCAGGATCATAAATAAACCAACACATCAAATTACATATATTTTGCTCGCTAAACTGATCTTAGCGGCAGCGACGACGTGTAAATTTCTATTGACCTCGTCGCTTAGCAAATCGAGATGGCTTCTAATGTAAGCTTACAACCTCGCCAGTAAATGTAAATTTCTGATAATTGGTTTTATAACCCTTTAAAAAATGTAGTGCGTAAGCGAAACGATCAAGGATAAAGTCTCCAACGTCGGTTAAAAACTTTTTTTTAACACAACAAACTACGCACTTTCTCCGGCTGTAAGTTCTGAGATTTCCTTCCAAGTCAGTGATGTTGTTAGAATGCCTTACGCTGCAAGAGTTTTTATCACGCTATTAGGCTGCTCACTAGCTCACTATTTTTATATATTGTTCGAAATAAAAAAGGAAATAGCGGAGGAAAGATCTGGACACAGAACAGTTTTGCCGATCGACTTTAAGTCTAACGAGAAGTGTTTGGGCTGGGAAGTTAAACTTAAATCTTCACAGCGTATCAAATTTTTGACAAACATCTTGTTATTCTACTACAATTTTTTATCTTCATCCAAACGCATCTGTTCGCTTTGACAAGCTGTTTGGTCGTGTGCTAAGTCGAAATCTAAGTTCCTCTATTTCATTCTTTTTTTCCTTACGTCCCAGGAATACCTTGAACTTTAGAATTTTCTCTGTATCTATGAAGCTTCGAGGGTAAACACGATTTAATCATTTATTGGATTATATTTTGAAAATCAGCTTTAGTCTTGGATAGAGGTCAGAGTCTTAGACAAACTCTCCGGCCCTCCCAACAATTCAGCGGCATTAAAAGGAAGTGACCCGAGTTTTAAACTTCACATTAGATAAAAAACTTATCAAAACAAAATTGTTCTCATTACAATTTTTTCGCTCGAATGTTTCCTAATCATAACGGATAACGGATTTACGTTCCCGCCTAAGGGCAGAACAAGGTAAGCCTCGTCCTCGTGTGGGTCGCAAAGCGTATCGGGAATCGCACCCAAACCGAGTAAACTGGGGTCCAGTAAGTTAGCTGCTATACTTCGGCTTCTTCCTCTTTCAGGCCGGTTATGTAGTTGGAAGCACCAATACTTAAATATTTTCTCAATCTGAACAACACAGACTACAAGGTGATATAAACTAGATAGATAAGAGCTGTAAACTGAAGGACTTCGGCAAAGAACAGGTAAGAGACATTGTAAGACAGGGTCTTACAATTTTCTGTTATTTTCCATATCATACTGGCATATCGTAAATTTCTCTACGAGTTCTTATTATAAGGAATTTACACGTAGGCAATAGGACATCGATATTGTTTCCTAGAAGGGATGAGAAGAATATTAGCACTTTTAAAAGGTACCATATGCGGTCCGTATTCCGTAAACTCTTATAACAATTTCACCAGTATGTCTACGTGTTTGATTTCGAAATTTCTCAAAGGAAATGATTTTAGCCAGAAAGTTAAAAGTGAGTCTCTTAATTGAAAATGCATCCCAAACAGATTTTTACATACTTGTATCATCCGCTACTGGCTTTTCATTTTGTCTGCCAGTCGGGACATAAGAAATTGAATTGTTATACAGAGTTAGTTTTGTGTTCCCAAGATTCTAATCGTTTCTGTCGAACGAAGGCAGTGCTAGAGTTTCACTTTTTTGATGCTGCTCCATTAAGTACAGTATAAAGTCAGGAAAATTTGTTATAAATTTAGATATGAAAATTAATGAGAGGGTTATGAAATAAGTAAACCCTTTCTGGCTTGCTGGTATGTCAGCTGATAATGTCCCTGGCTGAGAGATTGTCTGTAGAATTTCACATTTGCCCTAGAAGCTTTGCTTCTTGGCCAAATATCACGTTTTTTAATAATTTTTCCGCCACAGACATTATCAGGCAACATACCAGTTTATTTACTACAGAACAGCCTCCTTCTACCAAATGTCAGCCAATAAACAACCAATAAACTACTCACATACAACTCTTAGGCTGTTGACAGGTTATGGACAGGTTGGCAGTTGTTTGTTACAAAAATTGAAATTGTACTTTATAGCAATATACCCTAGAGTTAATGCCTACAACAAAACTTTGACCGTACACTATATTAGTTCTTAATAATTGGATTTACTCTGCATACATTGAATCACTGTTAAGTGAATTGAACAGCTTCATTCCTGCTAGGATCTCTTGAAAGACAAAGCATGTCAAATTGTCTTGCAATGCTTAGCAAACCTTTATTTATACATTTAAGTAGATAACTTTTCCAATATAGAGGACAGTTTGAAAAACTAAAATTTTGGTAACTTTTGAGAGCGCTGGTGCTAAATTTGGCTGGAACTTGAAAGAATACATCTTCCCTTCCTATGTGGCATGTATGTCTGCTTAAGTTTGGATGATTAATAAGGCAATTTGATCATACTGTTACCAACAATTCACTGACAGATCATCGGCAGATTACTGACTGACAGCCAACAAGTGTAATGAAAACTGTTGGTTGTCAGTTGGTAGACTGTTGACTGACTGTTGGCTGACTGCTGGTTGATTGTTGGCTAACAGTTGGCCATTAGTTCCCAAACAGGTTTTTACAGCAAGGTTTTCTTCACAATTACTCTCAGGTGATTGTTGGAAAAATTAAAAACAAACTCCCCAAAGTGATTGACATCAATCACTTACCTGGTTAAGTATTCAAAAGCACATGTTATGAAATATTTGTTTGTCTATGTTCACATTTCTCCCAACAGCTATAAGATAATCACTTATAGTAGTAGCTTTAACTTTGTGAGATTAACTTTGTGAATAATTTCCCTTCACTAAAGCATGGATTTCAAACAACTGATGAACTTGGCCTCTCAAAACAAAAGTCGTGCAGAAAAGCAGGTAGTACATAATATGAAATTTATTTTATGAGTAAAAATTAGTTTAGCTCTATCAGTAACTTACTCAAAGAGATACACTGTGGTAGTTCTTTCATAGTATGCACTATGAGAGAAAAAGGTGTATGAGCTAAATAGAACTGCAAAGCTCTTACCAGTTTTAGCATTTCAGACTTAATCATAGCAATAAATAATGTACAGTAAGGGCAGGGAAAATTACTCTCATTTGTTTGTTGCTGTCCTTGTCTTAAAACATGTCTGTGGTTGGTCACCCAAGTCAGAGATGACCTGTAGACTGGAGTTTAGAATATTCTTATCTCTAAGTCATCATTTCTGTGTTTATTTACTTTTTATGTATTCATTGGCAATATTTACACAGGCTGGCCTGTTCAGCTTAAAATTGGTTTAAATAGGGGCCTGTATAAACAATTTAGTCTAGACCACAGTGCACGGAAGCTGCATTCCTTACTCTTTGTAAGAAGTGGCTGGGTTTTTGAATGTCCCCTGCTAACCAGTACAGAAAAGATGTAGGAGACAATGCCAATGTTTTATCGTCCTTATCCAAGAATACTAAAATGTCTAACCAATTGCAGCCGTCATAGCAAAGGTAGCACATTCCCTGAGTGTTGGATGGTCTGGGGCTTGAACCTTCAACCTTTTACACTGCAATCTGGTGCTCTACAATATAAGCTTACCAAGTGGTGGCTAACCATTTCTGTTACTTTGTGAAACATCCATTCATTGAACGTTCATTGTTTAAAATTGTATTGAATAAATAGAAAGACACAAAAGAAGTGATACCCAGGCATTCTAATGGTGGATCAAAAGAAGGTGTCTCACAAGCTGCTGTTCAAACTTTTCTTGCAAAGAGAGAGATGGAGAAAAAAAAGAAGGCAGGTAGGAATGCTGATTGATACTGGCTTTTAAAAGTTCATCGAGTGACAGGGAACAAAACAATAAAATACCTTAGAGGTATTTGGGGTGTGAGGGTGAGGATAAACTATAAGGAGATCATGTTCCATCATTGGGGAGCAGGATACACTCAAAGTTACTTTTCGTGACATAGTCCAGAATAACAGTTAGCGGTAGACTTCCGTCTCCTACTTCATCTCTGTACTGGAAGGGGTTTACTCCACATTTAAGGTTTTAAACTGTGTGATTTCAGGGTTTATTGGGATAAGCATTCTTGGTTAATATTTTTGGTTGGTTGGGTGAAAGAAGTTGACTTCATCAACTGAGTTGATAGAATCAAATTATCTTGTTATACTCTCCCAGCAACACAGCACTACATTTTGTTTTAGAAACTTACCCCCTTAATTCATTTTTTTTTTTATTTAGCTGAGGAAGAGGCAGCAAGACGAGCAAGGATTGAGGAACGTTTAGCCCAGTCCCTAGGTGTTAAAAGAACAGAGTCTTCAAAAGTTACTAAGGGTGGCGTATCATCACAGGAAGGACAAAAAAAACCATCAAAGACAGATGTGATAAATGGAAAACAATCAACTAGAATATTGAATGAAAAACAAAAAAACTCAGATCAAAGAGCATCTAAAAAGCTCCAGGTTTCATCTTCAAAGAACACTGATCGCGACAGAACTAGACCATCTCGGGAAGCTGATGGCAAAAATGGTGTTACAAAGTCAAAGTCATCTTCTGCAAAGAAAGGTGCACCTCTTAGTTTTAAAGATTTATTGGCTGCTGCTGAGCGCAATAAGAATGGGAGTGCCCCTTTAAAATCATCAGTACAAAATGTTAGCAGTGCAAAGAAAAAGGAAAGTGACAAGGAAAGCAATCGTGTCAAAAAGGAAAGTTTGGAAGACAAATTTACCAATCCAGCACAGGATAAGAGAACAAAGCACCCAAAAACAGTTCAAACTAGGGATTCTAAGACATCATCAAAACTGGTTACAAATGATAGCAGGGTCAAAGCTAAACCATCATCTTCAACACAGAGTTTGAGAATGAAAGAAAAGCAGGACTCAAAGCAATCTTTAGGGTTATTGAGCAGAAGTAAAGAGCATCTGGTCAGTAAAAAAAACTCTACAATTGCACCAATACCAAGTAACTCAAAACATATTAGTCCAAGTGTGGAAAGACAGTTAGTGAAAGAAAGACAACTTTACCATCAAAAGGAAAGAATGCTGCTAAAAAGGAAAAGGAATCCTTATATGGATGAGATGGATGATTTCATTGATGATGAAGATGTCGATGACCCTGCTGATGTCTCTAAGTATATAAAGGAAATTTTTGGTTATGACAGATCAAGGTTTGTATCTCTTTTACAGACTGATTTACACCTTACCATCAGTATCTATATTCTCCACTCTCTTGCAGTTATATTTCCTTTAGTACTGACCAGGAGAATTTCTTTAACTATCAAGAGCTACTTAAATTAGTTGATGATCATTTCCTTTATTCTTGTGACCTTCATGTGTCATTCAGAGATGATAGAGTGAGGAGGAACTGGATGCTAGGGTTAAATTTCTTTTGATGTTTTAAAGAAAAAACAATTACAACAGACATTTGTATAGACTGACTAATGTTGTCAAGGTGGCAGCATCTAGGGCATTCATATCTATCACAAGTGATAGCTTTGCAACAGTGTCATATAGAACATTAGCAGTCATAAGCGTGGTGGATCTGTATGTGACATATATTTTAGAAACAGGCAACTGCGGACAATCTAGTTTGCAGAATACAACTTTATTTTTATGAAAACTAACCAACCACCCTAAGATTTTTTTCATGAAGCCTTTCAGTGAATGATTATAAGTTATTGTACCAGTGCTCAGACAGTCTAGTCAAAGACCCGCTATCCAAAAGTCTAGATATTCTAATTGTAACTTGCTTGAATGTAATCTTTCCCACAGATTCAATGACGAAGATGATGATTTGTCTTGTATGGAAAGCAGTTATTCACAAATAGAAAAGGAAGAACATAAGAGGTAAATGTAGGAGATTGTCACAATCATGAACTCTCATCGTGGGAGTTATTGTTAATGTGATATTCCCTGATTAAAGAAATTAAATTCTGGACACATTGTTAGGGGAAGGGCAGTATGGGAAAGAGTTGTTTCAGGAGGACAAGGGAACTGAGAGTTGTTGCTCCCACTGTATGCAGCTTTTGTTTTTTAGCTGCTGGTCTGTTTCTGGTTTAACCATCTTGTTACATCACTAGTTATATTTAGGACTGTAAGCAAACCATGACTGCTATGGTGGGGAATGCAGAAAAGCAAAAAATCTAAAGAGAAGAAGAATATCTCCTTTCTTGGACATCTCTAAGCCATCCTCTGCAAAACAACAATGTGAAATCACCAAAATTTGCGCAATTTCTTTAAGTTTCCATTTTGAACTCAATGCTGCTCATGTACCATTTGCAAAATTCTTACAGAAAATTTAAATTTTTTTTTTTATCAACATCCTCTTCTAGGTTGTTGTCCTGACTGTTTAAGGTCCCTTATGTGTCTAGCCTCCCAGCACCTTTAAAATTGCATCTCTTTTTTTTTGCATCCTTTTTTTTCCTGAAGGCCATTTGACCTTTATCTTTGTTTGGTTGAATGATGCATCTTTCATGGGTTGTTAAAAATCTTATGTAAATGTTTCTTTTTCTTGTTTCACCAGTGCCAAGATAGCTCGCCTGGAAGATGAAATTGAGCAGTTGAAGGAATTGGCAGAGCTAAAGGAAATGAGAGATAAACTCAAGAAGAAATCAAAGAAATAAAATTAGTTGAAGAGTGTGGAAACTAGTTTTTTTGTCATTTTATTAGGGCTAGGCAGATGAGAAGTCTAGTTACCAGGTAACTACAGAAAGACATAACTAAACTCTTCTGCAGACAAATTTTCTTTAGGAGGGATTGACAGCTTTCTTCCCTACTGGTGTGTGAGACAAAGATACATTACTAGTCATTCTTACATGGGGAATGGTCTTCTTGATATGTGGCAATGTGTTGTTAACTGCTTGAAAAGTCTTGTGTTGGATTTTCTGGAAGTTTTCTATCAAGTTTTCAAACAGCATGAAATAATCACTGTTAAGTACAAACATCTTTCGAGAAGAACATATTTTCCCAAAAGAATGAACTTTAATTTACATTAGAGCAAATTTTATTCAGAGAAATTGAAAAAGTTAACAAGTCAGAGAAGGCTTGTTGCTCTCTTCAGAAGTGGAGGATAAAGTTCAGAATTTAATGACAAGATATTTTATCTAATAGACTTTATTTAATTTTGCTTACCTATACAGAGGATATCTTGAAATCCAGGAGTTTAAGATAGGTTACAAATATTGTAATTCAGGCTACCCAAAATGATGCCCTTAGTTATCAACATGTGTAGTTAACCTACAGATGCATTATTAGATAATCCACTAGTTGTCAAATTTCAAACAGCCAAGGTTAAATTAAACTTGACTTTGGTATTGATATCAGTGTGGTGTTGTTTTGGTTGGGAAAGCATGCTATGGTATTTAAAGGCCTTTTCTCAAGAGAGGTACAAAAGTACATAAATCTGGCCCCAGTTATTCAAAGGTTGGATAACACTATCCACTGGATAAATCTCTATTGGGTGGATAACACTAAACGTTTTCCTCTCACTTGTCTGCTGGATAGTGATTTATCCGTTGGATAGCATTATCCGCCCTATATACAACTAGGCCCTGTGAATTTAGCTTCTTGGGCCTTTCTGTAGGAGGTTTAAAAGAAGACACTCACTTTATTTCTTCAAGAAAACCTGTTTTAGCCTGTACAAAGGAAAGTGGCTGACAATGCCTAGTCTTCCACATTACATACAAATTAAATATTCACTGGTGAAATGTTTTTCTTTTATTATAATTTAGTTTTTCTTTTAATATTAGTTTGAAGGTTAATTGGTTGAGGCCTTCATAGGTTACTTCATGGAGCAATTCCTAAGAGGTGTTTTATCAACCAAGTTGACAGTGCAAACTCACCACCATGAAGAGTTTGTAAAGCTGGTGTTCCAAGCATTAACTCTTTTTCTGAGCACTCAGATTTATGCTATTGGCTCCTAAGGGAGCTTGTGGACCCAGTTTTTGGTGTCACTCCTATTGTTGTTTCACTGCACACTCTGTGGCTTTAAATGTCACAGTTAACCTGGGAGGTCTAGAGTCTCTAAAATACTCTAACACTTATACAGTTACGAAAACAAAAACATGACCTTCAAAACATTTTATTTCATCATTTACTTGTGGTTGAGTTTTTGGCTGGAAAAGAACAACAGTGGTACCATGTTAGTATGGTCACAAGTAGGCCTAAATAAATAGGTTGTAAATGGCCATATCACTAGGGCAGGGTCAAATTTCATGAGCTTAGGGCCATATTGAAAAAGGCATGGCATTCACACGCTGAAAATCTGTTCTCTTAACTGAACAACCAGAATAATGTAGATATGCAAACAGTAATTTTAGAAAATACTTGAAACTTCAGAGAATAAGCGTAACACCTTTGAGAATCTGCCATTAACTGCCACAGATGCATTTCAAGTGTATGGTAGCCTTCTCATGTGACATTGAGAAAACTCTTTATTTGAGATATACAGGCCTCTTGGTTTCCTAGTGGTAGTGGCCATACTTACAGGGTGAAATGATAAAGGATGACAAAATGTGGCTGTTGGCTGTATGAAAGGGTGACCACATTAACAAGGAGTTATTAAACAAAAATTTATTGCTGTTTTTGCAGGGCCAGAGAAAAGTGGCTGTAATAACAAGGTGACTGTATTTAAACCAAAGTCACCATAAGGCAGGGTTCCACTGTAATATGGTTTTGAAGATGTTGGTATAAACAGAACCCATAAGCTCCTTGATTAGATCAATCCACCTTCCCAATATAACTTAAGTTCTTAAAGAAAACAGAGAAGAAGACACAAATTTCAAAAATTGACTATAAGTTTACTGATTTTGAATTACAAAGTTAGCAGTGTCCTTTGCCAACAATGCCTACAAAGTTGTTGATTACCATATAATTCAAACAAAAGCCAGCACTACATTTGCAAAATTTCTTGAGACATCCTGTTTTGAAGTACAAATAATTCCACTAAAATACTAGGAGGATAAAAAGAAATAAAAACCGACAAATAAACTGTCTCTTCACAATGACAAAAATGCTTTGTAAATGAAAATGCTGTTAAGAGTATTGGAGTACATGGCTGTCATGTATAATGCTGTCTGTTCCTCGAGTTGGTCAGACCAACTGTTGCTTCAAGGAATTTTTACATCTCCACCCTCACAAATCTGAAACAGAAAATGGCAAAGTATTAAAAAACAAAGGTGTTTTGACTTCATCTCATGGAGTTAATTTGTAAGAAAAAAGACAAAATATGACTGCAAGTTGTAAAGCACAACTCAGCAAGTGGAACACTTAGGTGTAAGTGGTTGCAAAGAACATGAAATTGACATAGCTGGAAAATCTGCCATTGTGAATTTAAAACAATACTTCATACATGAAACCTCCAAAAGATAGAAAGTAAATTTAGCACTGAACCATCCTTTGCATTCCCTAACATATTTTATGGGTTGCCATGACAATATGTCAGCCTATACCCATATCTCCTTTTACCTAAAGCTAGACAATGTGTGTGACGTGTTTTTTCAAAACTCCATGCAGGAGTGATAGTTCCTGAAATCATTTCAGCCAAACCTTTTCAGTTCTTGATAGACATCAAGGAATATTCAGTAAATTATTTTAAGAAGACCCAACTCATGAAGAAAAAAAGGAACCCATAATTTAAAACACACAAACATAGCAGTGCTCTTAGAAGAATTAATGGAAAACTGAGGGCTCTAGTCTCAGAAATATGAGGTACCCGGCTCTTAGCCCTTTAACTCTCATGATCTAATTGTTAATTCTCCCCACTAGCTGCTACACATTTCCTTGCTAATTGGTAACCAAAATTTTGTGAGATCACAAGTCCTACCTGAAAAGTTTGAGCATTCTCATTACCTTTTTGCTAGATAATGTATGAATATTATAGGGAGAAGTTGTATGTTGATCACTTCTGGGAATTAAGAGTTACAAGTGTTCATGAATGCAGAGTTAATAATTTTTAAGATTGCTTAGAGACAAAACTTAGTTTTAAGTAGCACAAAAGCCTGACCAAAACACAGTGTTTATAGACCTTTCAATTTTTAAAGACAGGTTTAAAATAAGGTGCATCATCTAATTTGATTACTAACCAGCGCCTACGAGACCCACGCTGTCTATCAAATTTGGCCTCCATTTCCTCCAGCACTGAAAAACCAAATTAATCACAAGAGTTTCACTTGAATACATTATTCACTAGCTTCAAAGATGAAATCACTCATACACATTTGAGGGGGAAACTTCAACACACTTAAAAAGTTACAACAGGGCTATACAATCATGTGTTTGTTGTCATCCTAGAAAGTATCATAGACTTGGAATCAATTTAGTTGACCTAGTGAGTTAGTTTCTGTTTAATTTTGCTCTTGGTTGTTGTCTTTGAAACCAGTTCTATTTCATAGTTGCTACATTCACAAATGAAGCAAAGACAACGAAAAAAAAATTTTTTCAAATCAAAATGATGACTGAAAAAAAACTCACGTTTTGGTGTATACTTCACAACTAGACGGACACTTCCTATGGAACAATGGAAAAAAAAATTTATTCACATAAAAAGAATGCTTTCATTTGCTTTCACTCTTCAAGTTTTTTGTGCCAGAGTTTTATTCAACCTACCTTCAGCTGCTTTCAAAAGGTCAACAGCTTTCTCATGATTTTCTCCTTCTACACTCTGAAAAATAATGAAGTTAAGTCAAGCTCATTAATCCAGTGCCAATATATAAATTCCATGTCAACTTTTGGCTAAAGATAGATTGTGATCTCTGATTCACGAATCATCTCATATACTAATGTTTTTGTGTAAGACTCACTGCAAAATATAACAGTGAATGGATTAACAAACCCCAATAAATCATCTCACTAACTTGCTTATTGAGTAAGGTTTTAAACAATAACAATGGTGAATGAAAAAAATGACAAGGACAGCAATAACTATCTATTTCATCCAAGAGAGGTACTAAATTTAACACTTTTACCCCTAAGATTGCATTAGAAATTCTCCTTACTGTCTGCCATTTAATTCATACCACATAAGTTCAGAGAATTGGGTATTGGATATAATCCCCTGATTGATAGTTTTCTTCTTCTCATCACTTGCCTGCTGGATATTGTATCAATTTTGTAACGAGAAATTCTTTCTAGGTCACTCATGCCAGTTAGAGGATTAAATATCAATACTGAATTTCCAATGACTCACTTTCACTCGACAGGTTATAAAAGAAAGACTTTTGGTAGAAACAAACAATCAAAAAATTTTCTCACCACTCCATTGACTGAGAGCAACTGATCCCCACGCTTCAAGCCACCACTCCTACAATGATAAAACAAGAATTATCTCACTTTAAATTCTATTATGTGTACCTTGTTTGGGATGGGAACATTGAGAATGGAGGGAAAACAGGTCACCAAACCAAGAGTATTTCAACAATTTAAAACAACCCAGTTTGAAAATTTCAACCCAATTTAAAAAATTTTAACCTAGTTTAGAAATTTTAAGCTAGTTTGAAAAAAATTAAACTGGTTCCAAGAAAATGAAACCAAAAAAATAATTTGAACCATAACAAATGCAAAGAGATGGAATTATTCGTACCAAACAACCCTCAATTTGTCTATCTATTCTGATAAAGGGCTGATGCTCAAAACATCAGTTAAGAAACTCTTTACTGTGCCTACTTCATATCAACTCAGTTGGTGACCAAATTATCTAGTAACACCCCCACAACCCAGCACAACAAGTTGACGAGTTGAACACTTCCCAATCAAGAGGGTTAAAAGAAATTATCAACACACCTGTCAGCCACACCACCTGGGATAATACGCGAGATATAAATGGGAGAATTCTGTTCTCTCCCACCCATCACATTAAAGCCAAGCCCTTCTTCATTCTGAAAGGAAACATGCAGCATCAACAGAACATTACTATAAAATATTATATAATAAGCTCAGTTATGCACGCATTCTGATGATGTCATTATTTAAACTTTTGTTAATTCTTTATTATATAAAACAAATAGATTCCAAGTTGCCATGCGTCTGTTCAGTAATAGATCACAGAGGACATCAAAATGTGGTAAGAACATCAGTGACACACTATGCTGCGCCTCGCGTGCCACTTTTTAGTTCTAACCACATTTTGACATCCTCTGTGATCTATTACTGAACAGATGCATGGCAACTTGGAATCTATTTGTTAATTGGAACACAAATAAACATGTCAGTTGGATATTGAAAAGGTGGAAATACTTCTGAATTCACCAAATTACAATCATGTCATTGAGCACAGGAAGATCTTGCTGATCCAAAACCACAGATGAAATATTTTCCTTGTAACCTTACAATTTAGGCTTCTTAACCCTTTACACCCTAACATCAGTCTGCAAGTTCTCCATTCTGTTCTCTATACATTTCCCATGATACTCAGAAGGAGAATTTGACTAACAATCAAGAGCTTTTTGGGTTTTAATCATTTCCTTTATTCTCATGACCTTAATGTTTGATTAAAGAGTAGTACTGTTGGGAGAAATTAGATGCTTATCACTCTCAGGGGTTAAAGGGTTAAATAATTTCTATTGTATTACTGTTACATTTATTGTAATGTTTCTGCTTACCTTGGGAAGTTCAACCACACGGGGATGTGCGTGACCTTCACTTGCAGCAAAAGCAGCAATCGTGGCCTACAAATAAACACCACTGCATTCAAAATTTGCTAAGAAGAAGTTTGATAAAGTTGACAACAGAAAATATGTTGACAAAATGTTGAAGTGAAGGATTTAATCATGTGATTGTATGAAAAAAAAAAAACTAATATATACTTCGCAATAATTCATAAGTTATTAATTATGTGAGTCTTCATGCTGACATGAACTTAAAATGCCAAAACAGCTAACATCCTGATGGTATTTTCAATTTTTTAGTAAAGTTGACCACAACAGTTTCACTTCTCCTGGAGAGATTGACTTTAACTCCTAGAAGTTATTAACTTGTAACTTTTCTGCGGGATTCTAACATGTTCTCTTACATACTTTATACATACATATACTTTATTTATGCTCAAAATTCACAGTGTAGCTGTAGAGCTAATTTCTTCGAGAAAATAAGCTAAAATAAAACAAAATATGCTATATTACAATTCCAATATTATTTATAAACCATATACAACATTATGCATGCAGAGGGACATATAACTTGTAGATCTACTGTGGAAAAGCTTCATATCTGAGGATCTCCTGCTTGAATTCTTGAAAATTTAATGTTTTGTAAGTGTCTGGGAGAGAGTTCCATATTTTGCTAGCTAAGTATGAAAAGAGTGCAGACCATAAGTCTTTGTTTTTGGGTTGCGAAGATTTCTGTGCAAATTGTAGGATGAAGAGCATATGGTGAACATATATTTTAAATAACCCGGGTAATTTGTAAAGAGCAGACTCTAATATAACGTGATCATGAAGTTCTGGAGGTGTCTGATGAACAGAGATTTTACGTTAACTTTGCTCGGTAAAATGTCATATGGAAAGCTGTAGTCCTGTAGTATAAACCTAAAAATGCACTTATTTAGATTATCTACTTTGTCGGCATTGCATGTACCACAGAAATGCCAAACAGAAGAACAGCAGTAAAATGCGGCAAAATAAAGGCTTTATAGCTTCAATAGCATCTCCTTATTAATAAGTTTCCGAAATCTAAGCATTACATTAAATTGATTATTTATTTTCTTACAGATAACTGATATGTGATTATCAAAAGAGAGCCTATTATCTACTGTCATCCCAAATATATCTATTGACTTATTTACTGGGAAACAAAAATTGTGCTCAGTTTCTCCCAGGATTAGAGCTTGGTGCTTTTTCTTGTTAACAATCATACCATTGTTTTTATACCACTGATCTGTGACATTAACTTCTTGACAAATGCATTCTTCCAGTGCAAGTGGTCTAGGTTAGATGAATAAACCTGATGGTTGTCTGCATATGCATTTAGTTTTGCAAACAGGTAAGAAGAAGAAGTTTTGCAAACAAGTAAGGTAAGAAGAAGAGAAAAGCTTATCAGCAAGAGGGTAATATGTTGCTCTATCACTTAATTCTCCTAACTAATTCACAAGGAACTGTATGGCAGTAAGAAGTGAGAAATATTCATTGGATTTTGGGACCTGAAAGGTTGAATAGCTAAGGTTGGGAAGAGAACTCAAGGAAATTTAAAAAAAAAGATGTAGCATGTTTAATCACCTTAGCTGTGGCCTGAGCTCTCACTTCAGGATTGCCTTGGATGTCAACAGTCTCATAAACATGTTCATAAACCTGAAAACACAATAAAGGAAGGTAAATTGTCATTGAAATAGTATATGTCTATACATGCTTATTGGAAACTGGCTTATCAGGAGTTGAATTTCAACATGACATGGCCTGCTGCTAAAACTTGCTAAATTCTTGGGAACAAAAGATTTTAGCACAATGGGAAGTAATGTTGCAATCTAACTGGCCAATTTGCCATTGCCAATTACAGTACAGAGCTGCTCACGTTTATGTGTTACACTATGGTTGTGCACTGAAAGAATCGTTTTATTTGACATCTATATTGCCGTAAAAAACAAATCAGCAGTGGTTTAGCATGGTCTGTACTCTTATCAACAACAACCTTCATTACCACAGTGGACAAAATTTTTTGTGGACTCACTTAGCTGAGCATAGTGAGTCCACAACATTTGGCTTACCTCACGGATGGCATTACAAAATTCACTCTGAAGAACTTTTTGCAAAGCTTCAAGTTTCTTTGGAGGAATATCACCACCTGGAAAACAATGATTTTAGTAACAGAGTAAATAGTATTACACACCATAACACATGTTTTACCACTATCAACAAAGCTGGTATTTACAAATAAAAATGTTACTTACTAGAGCGTAGCTTTTCAATCAGCTCAATGGCACGATTAACATCTACAGTTAGAGAAAAGAGTTCTTTAATTGGTTTTAAAACTTCTCTCAGCATAGATTTACACATGCTACATCATGGTTTTCCTTAAAATCATACAAGACCTGAAAAATTTACAGTTGACTAAATTGCGAATCTCTGCCCTGTAATATTTAGGCCTTAAAGAAAAACTAGTGCAATTACGACGAAATTGCCTCCCCATATAATCAATTCATAAGGACTTTTCTATCGTGGGAAATACGCTCCACACCCATTTTAATGAACGATAGGCCAGTATAGACACAACCTACCAAAATATCTCAACTATACAGGCGAGCTTGTGACGTAAGGGCATACTAAGGACGACAATCCAGAGATGTTTTCAACAATAACAACACAAAGATTTCGAATTTTAGTGCGTTTTTCTCCTCAACGAAGCATAGAGTGAACCGCATTGGGATACATCATGGAAAAAGTACATTTTCTACTTATTCAAGTAAATCTAATCCCTCCAAATATAGTCGAAACACAAACCTCACGACTGCTATTGAAGTTATGAGATCGAAGCTTATAACAAGGCGAGCAAAATAAATTAATCGAATGTGTATTAAGATGGCATTCGATCTCAGTGCATAATACAGTTGCTCAAGCAAGATTCTGTTAAGTCAATTCATCGTCTGAAATTGAAAATAGTTTTGCGTTAAGAAGTGTTCAAGAAATATTTACCTCGAGCTAAAGTTAGAGGTTCATGAGCAGCCATCTTGAACGCGTCCTAATCTCGCGGTCACATGACATTTAAGGAAAATGCTGAGTTTTAGTCTTCCTCGAGCAGTTGTCTCGTACAAAGAAAACTTCGATTTGAAAATAAGGGAACTGATATGGTTACTTTTACTTGGAAAACATTAAACAATACCTAAGTTCGAAATCTGTCTAAGGGTGGTACGAAACTACTAACTTCCTTGAGGAATGGGTAATTGAAAAAAATATAGCCGTAGAAAATCACGGTAATAGCTAAAAATTAAACTACTAAAACAGAAAATTGCTTTCATCGATTTAAGATGTATATGTTCGTACAGGAGGCTAAGAAAACATATCGTGCTGCTTAAATAAACGAACTTTTACTTAATAAGTGTCGTTTGGACGTTCGAATGATCTCGAAAATTTATTTGTATAACCGTATTCCGTAAAAAAAAAAATTCCAGGTGTTAGCTATTAGGTTTCTTAACACCGTAAATAAGAATCAACGTTTAGATTAGCTGAGGCTAAATTGGAAACGGTTCAGTATGCGTTTTGCTGGGTCCTAAGTTCGGTAAAAATTTATTTAAAATTTTTGGAAGAGAGAGATTTAACCCTTTAACTCCTAGGATCTCATTAATAATTCTCGTTACTGTCTACCATATAGTTCTTGTGATGCTAGTTTGGAGAATTTGGTATTGAATCAATAATTTTCTTTATTCTTATCACTTGTCTGCTTGATATTGTATTGGTGTAGTGAGAAGAAATTCTGTCGCGGTCACTCATGGGAGTTTAAGGGCTAACTAAGTCGTCTCAACATTGTGTGCGTGGTGATTGATAAGTTAGCTGTAGAAACGAAGAATTCAATACTATCAATACTGCGTTGGACTGCAAATGACTTTTTAAATCTCTCTATCACATGTGTTTAGTTTTCAATCTAATCTTTGGCTAGCAATCCATGTTTCCAGAAGTTATTCGGTGGAATCAACCTTAAATATACTCGTTCGAGAATTTTGCTATAGTTTTGATTAACAGCATTATTCGTTTTGCTACATATCTTACAGTGAGCTTTATTACTTTACCTGAATGAAAATCATGTATGTGAACTGCGGATCAATAAATGAATATGAGAGTCAGGTGATCTTTGTGGTAATGCACGCTGCTAACTTAGTAGTGAGAATAAGTCATGAACTTGAAAAATTCAGGCCTGTACGTGAGTTAAACCCATGATCTCTGCTATACCGATGCAGTTCTCTACCAACTGAGCTAACAAGCTAACTGGGGAGCTGGTCATTCTGTTAGTTCGCAGTAAACCGGTTAAGTGACGACAATTGAAAATTAGTCTGAACATATGAAAATAATACATGTGAAGTGCGGATTAATAAATGGATGTGTGTTGCTCAGCTCCTTTTGCTGAAAGGACCATGCAGATATATTCCCAAGAAAGATTACTAAAGATAAAGGAAACACGTCTTCTGAGAAGAAGGATATTTGGCTATCCAGAAAGCGAGATCTTAACTTAGACTAATGATGCACAATCGCATTCAAGCTGTGCATAATTTCCATAAAGCAGCAAGCCCAACTTGTGGAAACCTCTGATCCTGAGGCTGAAATGTCCCTGTAAAAATCTGTAGGACTCAACAAGTCATGTCAAAAACCACTCATTATAAACGAATATATTACTTGCGTTCACAATGTAAAGGCGACATTTGAGACAATGCATTTAAGTTTGGCCGACGAGACTGACCCCGCACCCACTTTCAATCGTACATGCTGAAGATGCACAACCATCTCGCTGACCAAGCAAACGTCTTTTTCTTAACTGGCTGTTGTATCGTTACCAGTCTTCGCCTCTTTAACAAAGGTACTAGGTGATTTTCCTCGTTTCCAAGCCGACGCTTTTCTCCGCTGGCGCCTGAAGTGATCGATTAATTGACGAAGGAAAGTTTATGCAGACTCAAGAGGGACGTAAAGATAGATTTCATTAATTATTTATGTATAGTGGATTGTTATCGAGGAGTTTTCAGCCTTAGTTCTTACCCAAAATCTAAAATGATTATTTTTTTTGCCTTATTGCTTCTCAATAAAATCACAATTGTTTCAAAAACCTTTTCCCGTGGTTACTTTTCGTGATATCCGCCTTATGTTAAGTTAAATTTCTATGAATTATGCAAAGCGATTTAACCTTGAGGCTGTAAACAGGCTTCGTTTATGACCTTGTTTTAACAATATCTCTGCCAAAACGATGATGAATTTTACAGTTCAATTTTCGATTTACAGCTTATAGATTGTTCTTTAATCGATATTAACCTAACAGTTTCTTTAGCCATGGAAAATTTCGCGAAGCATCTATTTTTTTGTTATAAAACCACTCCTTTATTTACACTGCACTAATGGCACTCCGTCGTGCAAATAAACATAAATTGCACACAATATACAATCCACTTGAAACTTTGTGGACTCTTGGTGAGCTGTGAATGTTTTTGTTACAAAGTCGAACACCATTTCATTTATCACTTTGTTCAAGCTGTCGTGAAGACATTGATCAGATAGCTCTACTTACTATAAACAACTTATGATAAGTTCTTAAACATTAGCCGCAAGATTTTAATTTCATCGTACTTGCACATGCGCTGCCTTATCAAAGGCATCTTGTAGCCGAAAGAATTGGATGTTTTCATAAGAAAGGGAAATGAAAGCGGTTCAGTAAACAAATTTGCAAAACTGCCAAGGTAATCAACGATCTGTAACTGTTTAGACACGCAATGTTTTCGGTGGTAGCTGTGGCATTTAGCAGCTTGGTTCTTACCTTCATAATGGCTGTCGGTGTGGCTGGAAATCTTCTCATTGTGTGGATTATCAAAAGTTCTTCAAGACTGAAAGCTAGAAGCCATATTTTGATAGCTAACCTCGCCGTCGCGGACACACTTCAGAGCTGCAACATATTCTTTATGCTTGTTACCGCTATAAATGGAGGGTACTGGATGTTTGGCGAAACTATTTGTCAAATCACAGCTTTCTTGACTGTGGAGTTTGTGCTCGCATCTATGCTCAGCTTAACAACCATCAGCATTAATCGATATTTCAAGGTTATGCATGAGGAAAAATACGACAAGATATTCACTGCCAAGTCTATTATGATTATTATTTCGTTCATTTGGACACTGCCTTTGATGTACGCTGTACCACCTTTGGTAGGCTGGTCGAGTTATGCTTTCGATCCTGGCAAATGCCTTTGCTTGTTTCGATTTCGCACGAAGAGTTCGTACGCATTTTTCCTAGTTGGTACAATGACCATTCCAGCTCTGGTAATTATCTGTTTCGCTTATTTCCGTGTTTTTCAAGTCGTGAAACTGCACAGAAACAGAGTTTGGAGTCTGCATTTTCATCAAGAACGAAATAAACTGAGTTCAGATGAATATAAGATAACTTCTGCTGTTATATTAGTGGTTGTATCGTATATAATTTGCTTTGTTCCTGCTTCTGTTGTCAACTTCATCGAGATTTTAAACTCCGATTTTGAATTTCCTTTGTGGCTAGACTTCTCATCTTTTGTATTGATTTTCGTAAGTCATGCAAGCAACCCTCTCATTTACGGCTTCATGAATAGGCAGTACAGAGTGTCTTTTTTGGAATTACTACAGAAAGGGTCTCAAACAAAGAGAACCCGGAAGAATAAGAGCAAGAGGGGAGATCTGCATTTACAAAAACACTCTCCAGACCCGATAATGACATCTCAAGCTTTGAGAGGACTAGATGAAAATAATGCAAGTTGCTCAAAGAACTGTTCGACCAGGTAGAATTAAGCTTCCAGTATTTATTAATACTGAAGGTTTTCTTTAAAAGTCTGACTATTTTGCCTGAATGCCGAATGACTTTGACACGGTATTCTTGGTTTTCACATGACGTCAGAGGCATTTTCAAACTAACTAACTCAAATAATAAAATTGTTCTTATTTCTACAGGACTCACTAGTTTCACGTTGCGTCGTATGTACAAGTACCTTGATTCAAAATAGCATTAAAAGCCACCAAGAACTGCAAAATGGATTTCTCTTAACTGACACTCCCCCGCACTCTTTATTAGTCTGCCAAATCGGGTTTGACACTGAAGCACGAAAGCTAGAGCTGAAATGTTAGCTTCCAACACTTTCCTTTTTTCGTTTGGCACGTATTCTATTCTTCAGTGCTATTTTTGGAGGTTTCTCCCCCTTTCATTTCGCCTAAATTACGACGAGTTTGTCTCATCCTTCACTGAGTTCGCTAGCGCCATCTTTATAAGTTCGACTCAAAATCTTCAACCCATGCCCTCACGGCAAAAAAATGTTTCCTTTCCGGAGAGATCATAATGAGTTTTGCCAAAATACAAACATATTGTTCCAACTGAAACGCTTTATTGTACAAGTATGTTACGGCCGCTTTGAGACCCCGGCCTCTGCGGGGTAATCGCGTATCCAGATCCTAACCGCTTGGCCGCGAAACGTCTGGGTACGAGACTAAGATGGGGGGAGTCAAGGAGTCAAGAAGCAAACAACTTACATTCCCATCACGAGATTTATCTCACCAGGAATCCCTGGAAACTTCTCTTTAATTAATCCATCTTTATCACATTTTGGATTAAAATTGTACCATTAGATCAGCCAGACTTTGTTATCTGTACTTTCCGGTCGTTTTAATTTGGTGTCCTGTATGTTCGGAGTCCTGTGCCGTATTGCAAACTGCCTTATGGGTATCTGCCCGTATAGCATATTGGGAACGCTTTAGAGAGAAAAATCACTTAGAATACACGGGATATCATTGATAGTAAAGCGGGCGAAAGAAATCAGCGATAATTTTCCCTTTTTTTCTTTTTTCTACGGTAAGATTTGGGCAAAAATTCGCCTTATGAACTAAGTTGAACAATTTGTACTTCTATTAAGTATCTAGAGATCTATATGCGCTGGAAAAAAAAAAGAATTCGCGAATTGGTATGATGGCGTGATCCTCGCCTTTGTTTAGAAATATTTCTTCTTTTGCAGGTTTTCCTTCAACGACGCGTTTTAGTAGACAAGTGAAAAGTTACAAAAGTGGACGGACGCGGGGCAAAATCTTCAGATTTTTCCGGAGTCAGGGAGGTTGTACCCGCATCGCTGCCGTTACAAGAGCAAAACCAAGTTCACTCGCAGCAAACTTTTCAACGATGGGTCCCTCCACAGATAAACCGGCTTCAATATCGTGACGATGAAGCGGTTTTTCGACGGGTCCGAGGGTAAAAATGTCGTTCTTTGCTTCTTATGCATTTATTAAGGTTTTTATGATAATTTTGGTCTCTTCAGTGGTTAAGAATATGTGATCTGTACGTAAATGTTGTAACCATTTTTGATGTAGCCTTACAATGGCTTGAAAACTCGACACTGTAAAGTCTAATTTGTGACTTCAACTGTCAGTTGAGCTTTCTTTCGTTGGAACCCATCGATGTTACGAACAGATGCAGTCTTTTCTTTCTTGTAAAAATGATCTTTCGTAGGCATACGTCAATGATGAGAATTTTTTTGTTGTTGTAAAATGATTGGGATGTTGTTGAATTTAATTAAGAAGCTTGAATTTTATTTTGTAGCCCGAGTGTTCTTAAGAGAACAACTTTGATATTGATCATTCCTTTGGGAAACAAGAAAATTTCTCTTGAGAGCACAAGTGTCTCTCTGGAGGAATGTCTTTGTCTGTCTTTTTTTTTCAGAGATTTTCTAAACACAAGTGGAACTGTGAAGAAAACTATATTGCAAGCCTCACGCTTACCACTTATTTATGCTTCCATTTAGTACACATTGAACTCATTTCCTCTGGGAAGGAACTCTGTAATTTAATTGCTGATGTTTACTCTGATTGCTAATGTTATTAAATTAGTGTTCTATCCTATTTTTGATCTTTTATTCCAAAGCATATGAAGATTTGTATGTGATAGAAAAGCCAGTAGGACTAAGATTCCAGCTTCTTGATATAAGATGTTCTTGCCTTTCTTCCCTCAGGATCCTTAATAAACTAACTCCGGATAAATTTGATAAACTATGTAATGAACTGCTTGGAGTGGGTATTGAGACCAAGTACATTCTCAAAGGTGTGATTCTGTTGGTAAGTGTATTTAAGGTAATTCAAGAAGTAAGAGCAAATTGCTTAGCTCAAATACTACTCCCTAATACCTAAGACCAATAAACTGTTTACATCACATGCATTCACTCTGCTCTTGAAATTCATATTTTATCTCTGAAAATCTAATACTGGGAGTAGATTTTGTCTCAAAGTTTTCTCTTCACATCTGTTAGTTGTTCATACATGCCTTACCTGTATGGGGCTTTTACAGAACTTCCTTAGAATTATGGTAAGATAATTATTTTGGATGGATGGTTGAGATGTTGTTTCTTGTTTATGCTCCCAGACTTGTTTATCCAGACCTACCCAAGACCCATGCTTTTATGATTCTTGACAGCTTGTATACTATTTTTTTTTCTAAAAATTACATGTATTTCTCAACTATGTTTTCTCTATGTTAAGGTTTTTGAAAAAGCTCTTGATGAACCAAAATACAGTTCTATGTACGCCCAGCTGTGTCTGCGGCTTAGTGAAGAGGCACCAAACTTTGATGATCCTGGAAAAACTGGAAACTCGGTAAGTACAACTTTGAAAGTTATCACCAAAAAAATTGTTATCTCTGTTTTTACTGGAAGATTTTTAGCTAACATTTTTTAAAGAAACATAAACCTTGCACTATTACCATGGCTGGTTTTATCACCTGTAATTGTTGCTTAGCTTTTAAAGGGAAGTCTGTTGCTTAACCACTTTAAGTTTACAAGTAAATTTAATTGCTAACTATAAATTGTGTTCTAGGAGGTCTTATTTTCTAAGACTAAAACAAGTCCATATCATTGGTTTCCTATTAAAGATTTGAATATCATAGCCTCAAATTTGAAAGAAGCTAATTGTTCCCTTGATTTCAATGGTAAAGTTTAGTCGAATATTACTAGCTCTATGGATTTTACTGTCATGAATTCAGTCACCTGCCTTACATGACATGTAGGTCTGAATTTTGTGGCATATATTTGTCTGAAAGAATTAGTGTCTAGCCTCCTGTTCAAGGTTTTCTCTTAAAAAAGGCTCTTCTTAGATCTGATAGTTAATTCTCTCCTCAAACTGTTACACATTTTCTTGTCAATAAGTGACAAGAATTTGGTTTTAGGTCAAGATAACCACTTTAACTGGTCAAGTTTGAGTATTCTCATTTACCTGTTTACTTGATAATGTTTGGATGTTATAGGGAGGAGTTGCTTGTTAATCACCTTGGTGTTTTTCAGACATTCCGACGTTTGCTTCTCAAACAGTGTGAGGATGAATTCAACAACAGAACCAAAGCTAGTCAAGGTAATCTAATAATACCTTCTGCATGCTGACATTTTTTAATTTGACATGAAGCAAATGCATTTTTAATGTATTTGTATTATTTTTTGACGGTTTTTTGCTGTTTAGCTGTTAGAACCTTGAAAGTGCTTTTAACTAGGCTGATGCTGTATGTCTGAAGCTTTTATTTTTAAAGGTAGATTTATGAGAGACTGTCAAGTCCAACACCACACATTATATTTCTCCAATTTTGTTGTATCAATCAATCCATACATTTGGCTTTTTCCCATTTCTAGCATTCCCCTTTAGTTGTGTGGTAGGTGTTCCACTTTTCTTTTTCTCCATGGTGTGTTAGTAAATCCACTTTTCTTTCTCTCCATGGTGTGATAATAAATCCTATAAAACAGGACATAATACAAGCAAACTTTTCACCTCATCGCCCCATGAAGACTTACATTAGAGGAGTTGAAACATCAGTATCAATACATTTGATAGTCTGACTCTACATTGTGCGACAAATGATGAAACGTTCATTTACCTACATTTTTCTGTTAAACAGGATGCTTTTAGCTGATGTCAGTGGGTTTCTTGTTTTGTGTAGTTGGCAAAGTCCTTAGCTTTTGATTGACAATATTAATATTGCATCTTAATGCCTTTTGTATGGTAGCTTTTGATAAAAAAGATGGTCCACTTACACCGGAAGAGGAGGAACAACGGTCTACTATTAAGCGTAAAGTGTTGGGAAACATACGTTTCATTGGTAGGTTGAGAGCAGAGCTTTCTAGACAAGTGTCATGGAAATAACTAGTAGTTCATAAAGTAAACTTCAACAGCACCCAACCTTGTTTTACTTTGAGAGGTGATAAAAAAATAAATAAAATGTTCACTACAAGTTCAAAAAGTTTGTCCTTCAAGTTTATCTTTTCTCAATTGGTGTTTAAAACTTTGTTTCTTGTGCATACCATTTACTTCTATTGAAGGATTTATTGTTCAGAAGAATCTACAGAAATTTATTTTCCTGTAAGTATTACACCAGAATCTGTAAGCAGGGCAAAAGAAGTCAACAGAAAGATTGCATTTTGTAGAAGAATTTGTATAAGATAATAGTTATTTGTTGACACTAAGTTGATTTTCTGCAAATAGGTGAACTCTATAAGTATGACATGTTGCACGAGGCCATTGTACACAGATGCATTAAGCAGGTAAAGAATATTTTAGTGATAAGACTAAGTATGTTATTTCAAGACAGTGAATCACATCCCCAGAAACACCTTTTCATAACTTTTGCCATCTTTTAGTAAAAAATTAATTTTGTCTAGGAATCCATATGTTTGGGTTGTGGGAGAACCCTGAGAGTGACTAGCATTTAATATCTCCCCATAATATCACCACTGAATTACACATTAAGGTCATGAGAATAATGATCACCAATTACAGGAACTCTTGATTGTTAAACAAATTCTCCTTGTCAGTACCTTAGGAAGTATACAGATAACAGTATGGAGAATTTGCATTCTGATGTTAGGGTGTAAAAGGTTAGCTTGTTTATGGTTCCTCTTTCCTTAGCTGTTGGACAAGAAGAAGCGTGCTTCAGTGGCAGACTTGTCGGAGTCCATGGAGTGTCTCTGTTACTTGATGAGAACTGTGGGACCTAGACTGGACATTCCCAAAGCTAAGGTACAAATCAGTTTGGATAGCTTAAGGATTAACAATTGCTCAGAGTAGATCCTTGGAGTTAGTAACTTGAGAGTGAATTTCTTCGTCACTGCTTTTTTTCAACGAGGTTCCTCTTATATATGCAAGATTTGAAAGTAGATTCTTCTCATTAATGACCACACATTTATCTCTTGGCCAGCTCTTAGAACTGAGTGTTTTTATCAAACAATGTCCACAGTTGATAATTTCTTAGTTTTTAACACTTGTCTCCTTGAAGATAGGAGAATATTCAGACTGGTCAGGATGTCTTGTCAGCTTTGTAGGAATTGCACTTGTCTTTGAGTCATTTAAGTTTATTTTATTTTTTATTGTTGGCTTTTTCTTTCAGTCTTTGATGGATCAGTACTTTGAGCGCACCCAGCAGCTTTTATGCCGTGGGGACTTTCCAGTTCGCATAAGGTTCATGATTGAAGATGTCATAGAACTACGCAATACTAAGGTAAAAACCACATTATATTGTAGCCTGCCTCTATGACTCAACTTGATAAGAGAATAGTTGCATGATGTGTTACCAGGAGTGTAATCATGACATTTCATGGTTACCCTCTAACTCCTTGAAGTGATTAACATGTAACTTCTCTTTACAATTGGAATTCCTTACATTATCCAGCAAACAGGTAATGAGAATACTCCAACTTATTGGATACAAGTTGCTTGATCTGACACCAAACTCTGGCAACTAATTTATAAGGAAATGCATAGAAGCTAGAAGGGAGAATGAACACTCAGGTCTTGGGAATTACAGTTTAATGCAATATATTTGTTATTACTTGTGTTTGACAGTGGATTCCACGGAAGGCTGTACATGAGACAGGGCCTAAAATGATTCAGCAGATTCGCCAAGAGGCCTGGCAGGTAACTTGGTGCAGTCCTTGTACAGCCCATGCATGTACCTTGTATGAATGTGTAGTGCCCCTGATTATCCCGGGTGATTTTGTATTCAAGTTCTTTAAATTGACTTTCCAGATTACCTTGAAAACCTGGGTCATCATACTTGTTGGCTGTTGGGGCTTTGGAATATCTTAAGTTATAAGGAGGAGCACAGAATGGTTTTAAAATTTGAAAATATTCCTAGACACAGTTTTTTTTCTTTATGGTGCATCAAGGCTATGAAACTGTCTACCTATTATGTGGAAGTGCAGCACCCCATTTAGCTTGTTTATCTAAAAACTTAGAAAATAAAGTCTGTTACAGTAAAACTGTTTTTATTTTTAAAACAGTGACATAGCAATATTTTTTGGGGGCCACATGTAGATTATTGTAAGTTACCCTCAATAAGGAAGTCCTTTTACTTTCATAATGATGATGGTTATTATTGTTATTATTATTATTATTATTATTATTATTATTATAATTATTCTGTCATTATTAACCTAAAATTGTTCTCTCACTAGAATCAAGGTGGTAGACCTGGTTTCCCTGTTCCAGTTCATGGCCATGCACCTCGTAACATCCCACCACATGCTCCTGGTAACTGGATGAACCATGGAATGGGTAGAGGAGCTGGGAGAGGATCAGAGCACCAACAGATGAGCAGAGGCATGAATGATGTGTTTGTCACAGACAATGGATTTCGTCCCTCTGGTCCACGCTTTGATGAATTTGGACCTAGTGGAGTACCCCCGGACAGGTCTGGGTTTGGTTTAAGGTATTGTCACTCAGATTCTTTGGACACCTTTTTTCACCCTCTAATTCACATGAGAGACCAAGACAAGATTTCTCCTTACAATATCAATGCAATATCAAGCAGACAAGTGATGAGAGTGAAGAAAAAAATAAATTGAAGGATTATAAGTTGATCCAGCGCCAAATTCTCTGAACTGACATCAAAAGAATTGAAAGGCAGACAGTAAGAATTACTTATGTGATCTTGGAAGTGAAAGGGTTAAGTCTTTAGTTCCTGTTGTTGAAATTACAAGTCACCTTTGCATATGTTTTCTTTTGAGGTAGACCACTTTATTTTAGACACCTGATCTCAGTTTGGAAGTGGTCCCAGTAAGAGTTTATTTATTGTAATTAAGAAAAAGAAAATGAGCCATTCATTTATTTACACAAATCAGCATTCAGAATTTTTTTCATGGGTTTCAAAATACTTGCTCTTTCTTTAAATTGTATTTGATCTGCAATCTGCAATGTTGCCATGACAGCACATATGTCCATTGAAGATTGATAGTTATATCAGTAAGTAAAGTTATTAATTTGATCTTTATACATTCCTTTTTTTGTTTGCATTTACATGTGATTTTTTGGCACATTTTATTTCCATTTTTGGTTACCATTTATGTGAGTGGTACTGTATGTACCAAATGATCAGAATTATCCTGAAAGAAAAGGCTTAGGAACCTACTGATAAGATGTTTATTTTATATACAGGTATCATGATGATGATTATGACCAATTTGCACCTCGGGACCCATGGGCTGATTTGTCATCAGCCAAACAAACAACCATGTCCTCCAATTCTGCAGCAAACAACTCAAAACCAACAGGAGGTATGGAACTCAGTTAAAGGTCCCTTTATGTTAATTTGTCTTTTAATGGTGGCTATGCAACCTCTGCACACAAACCTAGAAGTATCAAATTTGACATTACAAACTCCTTCCTTACTAAGACTGGAACCTAACCAACAATACTTGTCATTGTAGAAATAATTAGCTGCCTGATATATCCTTTTCTAAAAGGTATGAAATGTCCCTTAAATGTAGAGTGACCAGCTAACTAACCAATTGCCTGGTGAGCTGATTGAAAAACTTTTTTGAACCATTGTTTACAGGGGGATGGAGGCCAGCAACACGGCAAAATCATATGAGTTCAGATGGAGAGGTATGTTACTCTTGAGTTCTACAGTGGTTGCATTTTTGTTGGAAAAAGATTCTATAATGATCAACACTCTTCCACTTAAATTGTTGCTTAAGAAAAATGAAGACAGACAATGCTAGTAAAGGCCTGACCTGGAAAATAGACCTTCTTTACAGCACTTGTGTTGTCAAAGCTGTATGTCTTAAAATAACATGTTTAAAATTCAGGTCCCAGTTGATATAAGGGTGGATTAATCTCTATCTCTATCAAGTGGATAGCTTAATGCATTTTGATTGCGCCCTTCCACTGGGCCCAGTTGTTGAAAGAGTGAATAACACCTTCCAACGGATAAAGTGCTATCCAAAACGTACTGTGCTATCCACTGGATAGAGATTTTTCCAGTAGATAATGTTGTCCACCCTTCAAACAACTGAGACTTGTTGAAAAGCATTATCTGCCCTGTGGTCATCTGTGCCCCGTTGTAAAGTTAAGAGCTTTTGTCAATTTTCCACACTTTAAATATTGAAATTATCTGGTTTTTTTTTCCTTCCAGATAAGTTTGCGGCCAGCAAGGGATTCAATTGCTGCGTCTCAGAGGCCTAGTGTACATGTAAGTGGCAGATCTCAAACCCCACCAACTCAAAAGCAACTGGTAAGTATCAATTTAGAATCAATCAATCAATTTTTTCATGATTCATCTCTCGAGAACAGTGAGATTAAAATTATTGTTTACAGTAAATAGCAAAGGGAATGGGTGGTAGGGCTGTAAGAAGCTGATAAGTAAGAAGAATGAGAGAAAAAAAATTGGTAAGGTGTAAATATTCCCTTAACCTTTTTTAACCCATGAGTGACTTACAATATCACCCCTGAATCTTACATTAAGGTCATAAGGACTGAGCCTGGTCTTCAGTAGTGACACAAGCATGAGGGCAAGCATAAAAGCAAGCATAACAGTTCTTATTTCACTATGAAAATGGCCTTGACCCAAGCATAAACACTAGCACATGGATAAAAAATTTTCCTTTTTTTATGTTTGTGTTTGTGCCTAGGCTTGTGCTTGTGTTGCTATTGAAAACCAGACTTTAAGGAAATGATCACCAACTAAAGTAGTTCTTGATTGATCAACAAAATTCTCCCCGTCAGCAACCTAGGAAGAGTATGGAGTAAATTATGGAGAATTTTCATACTGATGTTGGGGTGTAAAGGGTAGACTGAGTGATGTTACATAAAACAAATACTTTCTTGTCCCACTCTCACTTTCAGTCAATAAGTACATAATATTTTATGAAAGCAATTTCTGAAAATTTATGGATTTTACTTTATGTAATTACTTTAGAAAAATCAATTCAATTTGTATTTAATATTTTAGGATCCCTTAAACAGAACTACTGCTCCACCCATAATAGAGAAAGCAAAGAAACAAAACAAACCACAAGCTCCTTCTACAGCTGATCTCCACAAGCAAATTGTGAGTGGCCTGCTCCACTTTTTTATTTAGATAACCTCTTATTTATTATATCTGGCATATTTTACTTGGAACATTCTCACAAATTGAGCATGTTACTGTGGAAGTGAAGAATGTTTTATTTTACTCTACTTGTATGAAAAAGCTTAATTTTCAATTTTTGTAATTGACTGAACTTTCAAAAATTCTGTAATGTGGTTTATATAGAATAAGGAATGTTATGTTATCTTCACAGGAGAACATTGTCACTGACTTTTTGGAGTCCAAAGATGTAGAAACTGCAACAAGAGCTATAAAGGATATCAAAGGAGCAAGGTATGCAGTTGTAGACAATTGTTTGCTAGACATACTGTTCTTTTTTTATAGTAAATAAGGCGAGTTTTGAAAGAAACTGATTACCAAGTACTTACTTCAAGTTAGTATTGAAAATAATGTGAGCATTGCAAGTTCCTTACTATAAACAGTACTGCTAGTATTGTAAATTGCTTACTAAATTGATTTTAAAAAATTTTGAGTAAAGAAAAGTGTTTTTTGCTTCCTTACACCCTGAAGGAACTTGGTCATTATATACAAAATGATAAAAAGTTTTTGGTGAAATATCTTGAGTTTGTTACTTTGTTTTGCTAATGCTTTAAATCCTCATGTATTCTTTTCTCTGTTTTATGATAGGGGAAATTACTATCTTATGCAACTTCATACATTCTCTAATAAATTGCTTGTTAGAGTTTGAAAAATGTCAAACCCAATCAATTTTTTTCCTTTTCATACTAAGGTATTTTACAAGCCTCATAAGTCAACTGTTTGCTAGAAGTCTCGGTACAGAAGATCAGGAATGTTTCAGTCAGCTCTTTGTTTCCTTGCACAAGTCACAGCTGTTAACAGCAGACATGTTTATCAAGGTAGGCTTTATGTTCATTTACATGTTCTGCTTCATGTCTGAGTGACCTAACCCTCTGACCCCCAAGAATGACTAACATCTAATTTCTCATTACAATATCACCCTCAAGTCACATATTAAGGTCATGAGAACAAAGGAAATGATTACCAACTAAAGAAGCTCGTGATTAGTAAACAAATTCTCCTTTCCAGCTCCTTAAGAAATGTATAGAGAACAATGAAGAGAATATGCATGCTGACATTAGGGTGTAATGGGTTAACAGTAATGGTTGTTAAATGGCTGTCTAGTGACCCACTTACATAATCTCAGTACAACTTTCTTCGTAAATCAAGTTTATATGCAAGCTTGCTGCACTCCCTTATGCAAGGTTTGAAATGAAGCAAACAAATTTCATGATCTGAAATGATTTCTAAATCTCTGAAGACTTTGCAAGCTCAGAAGCCTACAATTTATAAATTGTGAAAACCTTGGCTAAAGTTTTTTCATGATCTAGCACTTTCGTGCAAACTGGGCACCAAAGCATGGATGTTGTGGAATCTTTATGGTCAACAGATCAATTAATTTCCCCTCAAACATTTCTTGAGAGTGTGAAAAATTGGATTTATATAGTCAGATACAAGTTATGTACATTGTTGCTTAGTGTTACATCAGATACTTCCTTGTAGAACTTTGGTGTCAAAACAATTTCAAAATAGCTCTTTCTCATTGTGCAGGGAGTTTCAGGTGTGCTGGAACAGCACCAAGACCCACAGGAAGAGGGCCTGAAAATCAAGAAACATATGGCACAGTTCATGGCTAAAGCTGTAACACAGGTAACAATTAAGTTGCATATGGCTAAAAAGGTTGGCTTGAGCTATTTATAAAGCAAGTGAAGATGGCAAAGCATTTTAATGTATGACAAAATTACCCCTAACCCCCTCCCCCTCCTATCCAAGTCCCAGGTCAGATTGAAGAATCTGACATAGGCCAAATGAAATGAAACCACTGCCCCCCTGGAGGGAAAGTATTTAGATTAAGCTGTCCTGGCCATGCTTCCACTAACATCATTTTTTTAGAGCAGAAATCAGTTATTCAACAGCTTTGGTCAACTCTTAATCAACTTCAGTAATCTTTTTTTAACCACAGCCTCTTTTCAGGAGTAGGGAACATACTGAAGAGGTAAAACTCTTCCACTCTATCACTCCTCATGTGACAGATCACTGACTAAAAATCCTTTTAGCTGCTCAGCATCTCTCTAGGACAGTGCATAAAACATTTTAAAACTTTGACTTGATTTCCGACAGGGGATTTTGAATTTAATCGAGGTGAGCTCCCTGACAGAAAATGGGAATTTCCACCCAACTCTCCTGTTGTGTCTAAAGGAACTAGAGGCCTTGAAAGGACCGGTATGTTATAACTATCCTTTTCTAAAGGAAATTTTCTTGGCCAATTTCTGTGTGCTTCTCCCTTTGCATGGTCCTTCTGCTTTCTTTATTCTAAGTAAATCTTTACATTATTCTTCAGGAGTGGCTAGTAAATGAATTCACTGACAGCAAATTAGATCTGTTGCCTTCATTACCAGGTTTGTCAACAACAGAAAATTTTTATTGCCTTTTAGATAACATTTATTATTTGAATTGAATGTAGCCAAGAAACAAGTGGCTTGGTTATGGACACAAGTTATCAGTTTAATCCATAAAGGAACGACAACAATTTTTAATCAATGAAATGTTTAAAACTCTGTCAAAACATTTGTCCTATTTTCTCAATTTTGTTTTCATTTGGAAAATGAGGTGAAGCCACATACAGAAAAACTTTGCATGCCCAAAGACTCTTGTTACTTTATCAGTGGATCCAAATGGAACACATGGAGATTATGGCTGTATAACCTACCTTTTTGGAATTTTCTTTGTTTGCAGAGGGAGAAAGAGCAAGTGAGAATTTCATGTCCATTCTGGAAAAACAGGTTTGTGAATGGGGGTAATGGTAAAAAATTATGTTGGGAGAATGAGCAATTGAACACCAAGTGACTTTACATACTGACTCCAGCAGATTCTGGGCACAACTGGGATCCCTGTGTTACTTATTTGGGGTGAATTCCCTTGCCTTCACACTGCCTTTCTTCTCAGTGTTAGGTAAATTAAGTCCAGTTATGGTTGATAAACAAGCATTCATGTTTTATTCTAAGTTATTGATTGTCTGTCAGTTTGCTTATAATTTGTTAGCTTCAGTTTTGCCTTCCATTAGGCAACACGCGACAAAACCTTCATCTTAAACCCTTAAATTCCCAATATCTCAGTGTTATTGTTCTTCTCTAGCTACTTCTCAATTTCCTTGTATCGTAGTTAGGAGTGTTTGGTGTTAGATCTCGACAAAAACTCCTTCCTGATTAGTTTGAGTATTCTCATTACCTGTTTGCTGGATAATGTATGGATATTATAGGGAGAAGTCACATGTTAATCACTTCGGGGGGGTGGTTAGACGGAAAAAAATCCAAATCAAGTTTAGCTTTCCATCCTCTTATAGCGCTTACCAGCATTTAATGGGTATCTGACAAATCAATGATGATTGTTCTTTCTCCGCAGAGTCTGGTATTCCTTTTCCCTCTCCTTCACATCCAAGCTGATCTTTATTCTAAAATCGAAGAAGATCCCACCGTCACCGCTATCTACAAATGGGTCAAGGTATACTTACAAAAGAGAAGCCAACATACAAATTATCCTTTCTGGCTGAAGAAATTTTTGCTCAGATGATAGAGGGAATCTGCTTTTTAATCTGCAACTTTTTTTGCAGGATAACGTCGAGTCGTCGTGGCACACCAATCCGGAATTTATTAATGTGCTTGCCACTTGGTAAGTGAAAATCCTTTCAAGACGAATTCTTGTTTTATGAAAACCTTCAGATAGTCTTGCCTAACCCTGATTCTTTGTAAACTTTTTTGAAATTTGGCTTCGTTAGTGCTTACAAGTGTACTGGACTAATGGTAAAAAGAGTGATGTATAAATTATTTTCATGTGATATACAATTTAAACTGTATAATCTGTTCATAGCTTGTTAAAATACGCCACCAAGGACAGTACCCTAAGTGAGGGCCTGGACCCTACACAGGCCCCAGAAAAGGACTGGATGGAGAAAGAGAAGGCGGCCATGAAGAAATTACTTCCTTTGGTGGAGAAGTTTGTTCACGAGAAAAGCGAATTGCAAGTGAGTTTGTAAAACTTGTTTGTTCAATCTCTTCAAACTTTTCACTGATTTCCCCCATATCTACCTTTCAACCCAGATCATTTTGGGGAAATGAATATACATTTTTCGTTTTATCCTAGGATTCTTTGAGCTCCTCTCAAGAGAAGAGAATTTTATGGATCTTTCTTTTATGGTTCATTATTTTTTGCCTTCCTGTGTTTCAGAACCAGTTCCAGATGCACTTGTAAATATATCCGAAAACATAGAAAATTTAATTTTGTACCGATTTGTATTCAAATTAGTCTGCCGCACGTACATTTATTAAACGAATTTTTAGGGTTTATTTTTTTCTTTTTTTTTTAAGTCTCCTATCTTTTTCTCTTCCAGGTCAGCGTATTGTATGCACTGCAAGTATTTTGTCACAACCACAGTTTTCCAAAAGGTATGGTCAATAATGAAATTTTCCAAGCTAGAGTGTCTCTTTTGTACGTCTTAAAACTCTCTTACCATTAGAGAAAATTTCGGAATACTCTAGTAAATTCAAAACCAAAGTATTTACGACTGTCTATTGGAGTAGAGGTAGATCTTACTAGAAGCCATGAAAAACTCAAGGTTTAATGGTTTTATGTTAATATCTTATTGGCAGAGAAGGAAGCGAGAATTTTTAGCACAATCACACTACTTGATGGAGTAGATTCTATCAGGGTACTTTAGTATTATCAATTGAGTTGACAACGTAAATTGGCCACCTTAAAGAGTTTAAAAGCTAAACTCTATGCGGTGGCCAATTTACACTATCAACTCAGTTGATAATACTAAATTACTCTGTTGCACTGTCCCACCGACGCAGCACCACAGTTTCTTTAGAAACTTACCTTCTTTATTCATGGCAATTCTAAGGTTGGAATTCTGTAGATTTTGTAGATTTATCTTGATTGGTCCGGAGGTGAATGTGTCGGTAATGCCTAGGATTTCAGTGTTTGGTTCGTAAAAATTGGAGTTCCTTTAGGTATTTTCACGGCACTGTGTGAGTGGCTCTCACTGATCAGCTATTTCCGATTCAGTGAAATTTTCATAACCCTATTTGTAATCGAAAAGATATAGCAATGATTTCGGAAAGAAAGTTCGTGGTTGGAAATACCTCGGAGGCTGTATCAGTAACTTGACAAGGAATTTGAAGCCCACATATCCTTTCTTACTGACAGCCATACTTGTTTTGTAGGTATGTTGCTGCGCATGTTTGTGTTGTTGTACGATACAGAAGTTGTGGAGGAGGACGCGTTTTTGAGGTGGAAAGAAGATGTGAGTGAGAAGCATCCCGGCAAAGGAAAAGCTCTCTTTCAGGTAACGATCAGTGCTGTTAATTACTTGTCATGGTGCGTTTGGTTCAGGCTGACAAAAATGTGTTTTCATTTCAGGTTAACTCGTGGCTGACTTGGCTGGAAACCGCTGACGAAGAAGGAACAGACTCAGAACCCGAGTAACCAGGCTACATCCATGTTTTGATGGAAGCCTAAGTTGTGCAGAGAAGTGCATTCAGAGTGAATCTCTCCCGAAAATAAGACGCTAGCAAGAAAAATTGAAGTATAAAAAATAGAAAAAAATTGAAAAATTGAAAGAAATGCGTGAAGAATGCACTGAATAGAACTTTAAACTCATCGCTTTGTGTTCCAAACTGAGGTAATTCTCAGCGTAGCATGTAATAGTCTTGTAACCGCGCGCAGTTCTTCTCTGGTTTTATTTAGTTTGGTCTCTTAGTGTTAATTACCCGGACTAAGATATTTTGTACAAATGTGTCGCCAGTAAACGCTGTATGATTTGGTAAAAGCTGAAAAGTGTGACAAGGGAAACTCTAATGCGAATAGCTGAAGTAATATTTCCCTGGAAATCAGGAGCTTAAAATTGTTCGCTTAATGTAATGATTTTCAGATTGCTCATCAATCAGCAATGGTTAGAGTAACTAATTTTTTTTCTGTATAATTTGTGTAGATTTTTAAAATTTGTTTGCGTATTTGTTTGGTTCTTTTTTTTTTTGCGGAAATATAAATCTTAGGTAGTATTGTGTTTACACTGCTTGAATCCCCTTGCATCTTTCACAGTGAACACCGACAAGACATTTGCAGAGTGCTGGTAATTCTGACTTAATAGTATGTTAAAAGAAATATCCTTTACCCGGCATGAGCCATGCAACAAGGAATCTATTTGCTCTCGAATTTGATGACCATTTTTCCTTCAATGACCTTGTCGTTCTCTCTTTTGTTTTTGTTTGTTTGTTTGTTTTTTTTTTTTATTAATGAAAAGAAAGGAAATCTTTTGAAAATCCCTGGCTCTTAAAACACGTCTCTTAGCCTGCCGGTACGCCCTCATTATCAGGGCTGCTAGACGCACGGTTATCCGCCCGCGGGATCGTTTGAGACGCGCTAGGGAGATGTTTGACGGGGTCTGGCACTAATTATTATCAGTGATAGACCTCTGCAGACGTCTCGTGGGCAGGCGTTGTTCAAGGCGTCATATTTTTCTGCGGGCGAAGGAACACTCGCGCTGAAGCGCTGGTAATGAGGGCCAGCTCACAGACTGCACCCTTCTAGCGAACAACCACTCAACTCAATCTAACCCCGCTGCCTGATATTAGTAGCATAGAATTCCTTTTCGGCCTTTTAATGTAATAAGTGAGGAAATAAAATATTGTCTAGTGTAAATGTTTGACGCGTCGTTATAGCCAGTTAAAATTTACCCTTCATTATTATTCTCAGAAATGTCAAAGAATAGTGAAATGATGTACAGAGCATTCAACATTGCACAGCCTTGCCGGTAGCGCCCGTTTTAAAACTCTCACGAACACCTCTTCCTTATCACGGCCTGAGGGAGGTAAATAGGAGACTGCATAAAGAGATTCGGGAACCACCGAGGAGACTGCACTATTGCTAGGAACATTAAAACAGACAATATGTCTTGACCCTTTTACTCCTGAGAGTGACTGGCATTGAATTTCTCCACACTGTTTCCCTACTTAATCAAACATTGTGGTCACGAGAATATAGGATGTGATCGCCAGCTGAAGGAACCCTTGATCGATGCTCAAATTCTCCTTTCATTACTACTGGATATCTAAAGAGTACAGTATGGAGAAAATTAAAGAAGGTTAAAAAAAAAAATTAAACTCTGGTGTCGTAAAGCGAGACAAGTTTTGAGATTATGTACAGAAAAATAGCAGAAATCTCCTCCGTTCTTATATCGGAAGTTACTTTTCTTTCTTCATGAGTTAAGAACAGAGCAATATCCTCAAAGAAAACTAAGAATCACGAATCCTTCGAGCCAAAGAAACACTTGTTGATCACACTTTATTTTTCGTGATGTCAGTTAAGCTAATCACACGATTTTAAGCGCAATTTTGAATAAAAAAGCGTTTGTAATGAACTAACATGAATGCACATGAGAAATATTTGGGATAGCATTTTAAGATTTTGCAGAAGCAAAGCGCACGAATTTTGCGCCAACATATTTTATTCAAATGTAACTATTCGTTCGTTTATAACAACAGCCTTCGTTAAAAAAGTTTTAAAGCCGCAAAACTATTCTAACAGTATGCTGCCTTGTTTTGCCATGATTTCACTCTCTTCTGCCCTCCATTACCTCTTTTCCTTATCGTGTTACCTGAAAACTGCATTTCTTTCAGCCATTCAGCGTGGAGACCACTATTAATACACTCTGTGACGATATTGATTTGCTATTTTAAATAGGATTTGTCACAACATTTTAATTGTATTTTAGTTCTGTTGTGGAAAAAACTTAACTTTCCTTCTTACTTAAATAGTCTGTTTTTTATTTATTTGAGAAATAAGAAAAAACAAATGAATCACCCTGATTCAGATGCACCAAAAATCACCTGAGACGTTTCACGAAAACTGATGATATTATCCAACACAGAGAACATATCGAAACATATTTGCCAATATTTTAGCAATAGTTCTCAAGTAAACCAAGTCAAAAAATTTCAAACACATTTACACTGTAAAAATTTCAAGTTTACCATCTGCGAACAAATGAATTAGTTTAACACAACACACAGTTTTTTTTTAAAGAAAACTTGATTCTTTCTCAGTTTGTTACGATTTGCGGAGTCTGTATTCTGATCTAGAACTTTCTCCTTCATCATCTGTCATCGAAGCACGCTGTCTTCAGATGAACATCAGTGCATTTTATGTGATTGGTTGGTCAGGCTACGACATCTGTTTTCCCATCTCTGCGTGTTTCACCCTCCACACTGTGGCGGATTCCATAGAACAGATAGATGCTCATTCCTTGGATAATAACAGAACACATTCACTTTGTAAGAGTACTTTTCAACTGAGAGTTAAAAGTAATCTGAGACTGCAATGGTTTTGCTTTGCATGGCCCTGTGATTGGTCCAGGAAACTCGTGCCATTCTCTCAGCCAATCAGATGCAAGTGTGAGAAGCATTTTGAAAATCTCACCAAGTAATGTAATTGAAAACACCACTAAAACGCATTTGAAAAAATGTTTGCAATCGAATTGAAAACGTATTTTGCGATGCAGTTCGTTGAGTTGAAATCGCTCAGAATAAAAGTTGACCATGTTCTTCGTCTAGTTTGAGAGGGCAGTGGCTAAAAGATACTCTCTGGGGTGTTGAGCATGCGCTCACTAAAGGCTCAAATACTTTCTCCCCCTCCCCAACTGCTATTACGTTTAAACTGGTTTGCTCAGTAACTTACCAATTACCATCCAAACAGCGAATCTGAGCCATGTTAGGTAAGAGAGCTTCAAAATGAGAAACAAGTTGATGAAAACGGACAATTGAGGTAACATAGGAACACAGGGGACCTTGAATGCCAGGGACACCTTATTCTGGGGCAGCCACAGGAGTAGGATAGTAGATCCAACCATTAGCAGGCCCATTAATACAATAATAATGATTGCCCACCATTTGGCTTGTAACAAGGCGTGTGAGCCATAGATTATCACAGCACTGAGGCCCACGGAAGCGAGGGTACCAGCACTGATACCATAGAGGGCTAATTGAGCAGTCCTTGGCGTTGGTTGTTGGACTCCTCTGTTACCCAGTAGCGGAGAACTTTCGCTGGGGCCGTGAGGAGGTGTGGCCAAGCTACCATCTTGCTTGCTCGATTCTTTGATCAGTCCAATATTTTCTGGCTGGTATCTCAAGATTAAAACACACAGAGCCACTATGGAATAAGCTAAGAGTGTGCCGATAGACATCATTTCTACCAGCGAGTCCAGGTCAAAGATTAGAGCCAAAAATGCAGAAAACACCCCGGATATTATTGTTGCAATTACTGGTATCTCTGTCCTTGGGTTCACTTTAGCCAAAAATCTAAAAACAAACCAATCAATATTGATTTAGAAAGTCGTATTAGTATTGCAATTACAGGAGCTTCTATATTATATCAGTTTTCAATTAAGTGTCGAAATCAAAACCAAAGTAATCCCAGTGACCAATCAGAACAGGGGTATACATTATCATTAGCCAATGAGAACTCAAAGTGCAAACACGCAAACTGCCTGAAGCGCGGGAAAACGCGAATGACCAAGTCACGATTGTTTTTAGCTATGCATCTAATTGGTGGGGAGGATGGCGCGAGATTTCTGAACCAATCACAGATCAAAGTTAAGTAAAATTAAATTGAGCAGTCCCGAAATGCTTTCTATACCCATTCTAAATTTGATATAATAAAGCAAAACGGAATTGTAATGTAAGTACCGAATTCTTCAGTAGTTCTTGTTAGGTAGTAAGTGAGTGGTAAGTAATTTTGGTAACTGTTGCGCTGCATACGCATTGTAAGCGATTAATAATGAGAATAATAATAATAATAATAACGATAATTATAATGATGATGATAATAAAAATAAAAAAAGATGTCATGGTAAGGTCAGTTATATGCAACCTAGCTTGCGTTGCTAGCGGTCTGCGGTTTTGGGGGCGGAGAGAAAAAAAATAAAAGACCCCAAGACCCCCCACCCCCCACCCCCCCAAAACAACCGTTACAGCGAAGTACTCATATTTTGAAAATCAAAGAGTTTAGCCAAACTGATTCGAGGAAAAAAATCAAATCATGTACAGACACGGAGCATAATGCTTGACCTTGGCTTGAGATATCCAGAGCAAAGTCAATTGTTACTTAAATTCCATATCTTACTTGAAAATTACGCCGTCGCTCGCCATAGAATACAGCATTCTAGGTATTGGCACCAGAGCCCCAAGTAGAGATGACGTCAGTCCACAGAGGGCGCCGATAGCAATCACATATTTGGCCCAGGGTGCGCCTCTCAATTCGAACACCTTAGGTAATGTTCCTCCGTCGGGAAGATCTTTGTAGGGCCACATTAGGGTTAGTACGGCAGACACACCGAAATACGCCAGAAAACAAAACGCTGTGAGAAAGAAAGTGAAATTTATTTGAATAATACCGGTGATAGAATTTTTAAGCCGAGAGTGATGGACGCTAAAATTTAGGATAGCCTTGAAAGGACCTTTGTCGGTGAAAGTGACTTGCGATGAGTCAATTACAGTCTCAGGAGGCTTTGACAAAAAGAGGAAAAAAAGTCATGACAGTGGCAACGACATAGTGGTGAAACAAAAGATTAATTAAAGGAACAATTGCTTTGCACATTCGTTATTTGCATGTACATTTTCAACCTTTTACATTTCTCAGTTGTTTTATGAAATTCAACATGTTCACCGATGCAATTTTTGCGTCATTTGTGGGATAATTGCGCCATATTTGGAAGAATTTACAAAACATTTTTTAATTGAAATTTTTCTCACGAGTTTGCATCATGATTACAAAATGATCCTACTGACTCTGTACTTTGTTCGAATTGTAACAACGTCAATCAACGTCAGGATTATTCCAACCAGAGGTCGTTGTTTTGATGAGAAGTGAATTCCCTGATAAATGACCCATGTGAGGCTTTTGTTGTAGAAATAAAGAAAAGTAATCTAAAACGTAAGGGCACTCATCCACCCATCCCCATACCCAACCCTTCCCTTCTCGAAGCCAACTCCGTTGAGTTTCCCCAGGTAATGGTGAGGTTAACAGAATTTTGTTAAGTGTCACTAAATAGGAGATGACGTCTTCAAGTCGAGAGGGTCAATAACGAAGCAATATGCCGAAGCGGCTGAACCTCTTCTATCTTTTCCAAAAAAGAAAAAAAAATGATCCTAATTTGCTTAGGAAGATCCAAACACTTCGGTTCACAAAGTGAGGTAACTTACCCAGGGCTAAGACGATAGAAATTGGTATTCCTCTGCTAGGATTCCTTGCTTCCTCTCCGGCAGTTGCGATAATATCAAAACCAACGAAGGCATAGAAGCAGGTGGCAGCTCCCGCGAGGATCCCGGACCCTCCATAAGGAACAAAGTCATCTGTCCAGTTCTTCATCTCTGCATAATACACACCAACGCACACGATGAATATAATGATGAATAAATTGATTCCAGTGAACAAGGTATTGAACCAGGAGGTTTTCTTTATACCGACGAGTAATACTCCGGTTAATATTAGAATTATCAGTACAGATAATAAGTCCGGGTATTCTGCAAGGCCTGTGACGTGTATTTTTCCGATGTTTGAAAGGGTAAAGTTCTGAATCCTGTCGTCAAAAATTGAATCAAAATATGCGCTCCACGCTCGGGCGACCGATGATGTTCCAATGACATACTCTAAGAGTAAGTTCCATCCTATTACAAAGGCACACAACTCGCCTATCGTCACGTAACTGTAGACGTACGCCGAGCCAGCTTTAGGAACCCGAGCTCCAAACTCGCCATAGCACAGGCCAGAAAGAATGGACGCAACGGCAGCGATTGAAAATGAAATAACGATGCTGGGCCCGGCGTCTTTACGTGCGACATCACCGGCGAGCACGTATATACCGGCTCCCAAGGTACTTCCTATACCCAAAAGTGTCAGGTCAAAAATCGACAGACAACGGTTGAGTTGAGTCGATATTAAAGTCTTTGGATCGACGAATTTCTTCCGAGTAAAAGCGCTAAAACAGGAGGCCATCGAGAAGCAGTGTTTTGTGCCTTAATAACAAAAATGTTAATTTTTTCAGGGCTGGCTTGATCCGGAATTGAACTAAAACTCACGCAACATCTTAGCCTTAACCCTATCAAAGAAATTTGATAGTCACGAGATAGTCTTGCGGCTATCTTTCATGAATTTTCACGAGGCATGTGGGTGGAGAAGTATATTTTTCGGTTTCTTCAAGGTTATGATTTTTCAGTTGTTCACGGTTAGATTAGCTGAGTGTATTTGAAATATTTTCGGGGTTTTCTTTGTAGATTCGACAACCAGCCGCTCTACAGGAAATGAACCCGCGCATCTTTCCTCGTAGATGGATTTACTCACACAACGCTATCGATAGTCACGAGATTTTCTTGCGGCTACCGTTCTTGAATTTTCACGCAGCATGTGGGTGAGAAGTATTTTTTTAATTTTCTCTAAGGTTAGGACTTGTCATTTGTCAGATTAGGTGTGAGTAATTGAAAAATTTTGGGGGCTCTCCATGTAGATTCGATAAAAAGCCGCTGTAGGGGAAATAAACCAGCGCTCCTTTCCTCGTGGTAGACCAATTTACTCACACAACACTTTCGTTATTGTTAGTCCTAGTAATACACAGAAGGAGTATAAAATGATTATGAACCTAGCGAATGAGCCTGTCCACCAAAGATCAGGGTCTCTGTATCGGAGCGGTAGAGCATCAGGGCGCGAAATTTGAGATTTCTCCTCAGGGACTTCTATCTTTACTTTTCATAACGAAATAAATAACATCTTTTTTTTTTGTGAGAAAGTTTTTTTTTTTCGTCTTGTCACGAGCGTGGGTCAAAGAAAAAATTCTGATTCCCCACGAGAAATCGAAGCTCAGATCTTCGAATTTCATTCAACACGCGTCCTGCATACTTCTAAGATTAGTAATGTCGATAATGTCATGTTTGTACATAGGATAAGAGAGATGGTTAGTTTTTGAGCTCGGTAAAGAAAGAGAGAAAGATGAAAGAGTTCCCTCCTTTTGTAATTTCTGGCTTATAGCCACTAGCGCGTCGGTTATGTTCTTAGTTCTTGCCGTGAAAATACAGAAGACAGTAACAGAAGACAATAAACACCAAGCAATCATTTAGGATTGCACGTGATTAGAAACAAAACGGAGCTCTTACTGCGACATCTCAGATTTTTCGTCTGCACAAGACTCGGGGAATTTATTGTCGTAGTAATCAACTACCATCTGATTGAGATCGTAGTCCGTATTGATGTGAAAACTGGATGAGCGCATCCCGCGGTGACATCTCCCGTCCTCTTCCCAAAGGACCATGAATGACCCATCCTGCTCTTGTTCTTCACGAGTATGGCCCACTTTCTTCAGAGTGCCTTGCTTCTAACGGATGTAGGATTTCCGGAAGATTACTGGCTATAAGGAGACCAAGTTCTGCATCAATCTGATGGTTACACACCATTCAAAAATGGTCACTTATCAACATCATTTTGATTTGGGTTATCCTTTTGTCAATACGAGGAATTTCAGAATTTTATAGAGTGGCGGTAAAAAGATGAAAACGTTCTCATCACTTCAGAGATAACCATTCCCAACTTTTCTGTCAGATACGGTTGTTATGGCTATTGTAGTTATTTGAAATCGAACTCCCAACCATCTTATAAAGGCCTCAGTACAAAACGTGGAGGAATTACAAGATCTAGGAAGGCGTAAATAATGGCAGGCGTTTTGCTTCCATTCCACCAATTTAAAGTTTAACCAGCACGATGGCCATTGCCGTCCTGGAGGACTCGCTCTTCCTCTCTTGGTTGACCATTTTACTTTGAATACGCGTGGCCTCCTTACGAGGCGTGGAACTCTCGCGAAACATGGAACTCAAAGTGGTCTCGTTAGAAGACCAAGGATAAGAAGTCATGGTCGCGGGCGAAGTGGGGGAGAAGGATCACAGCCAGAAGATGGAGCGCAACACGCGGCCACAGAGAAAGTTGCATCGGCATCAGCGACGAGTTGCACCTTCTACGGAGGCCACGGCGGGGATGAACAGAGACCTCCTGTGTAGAGTGGCGGAGAACAAAAACCACCACGTCCATCAAGGCAACCGAAACAAAGATGTTTTGTCTTCAGGAAATACATGTAGATTCATTCTGCGTTAGGACGTTTCTTTGTTTTCTTATATTTATGCTAAACGCACAAGTTTTATTGAGAAAGATTCGGTATGAAAATGTCTGGCCTGACAAGAAGCTAACACACCCTGACATTTGAAGCAGACACCGGCTTAACATCAAATTGAGAAGAGTTGAACGGGAAAGAGCAGAAAGAGCCTTTTAACTAGAACCTGAGACTGATGAATTGAATCACTGAATCAGCCATTTATTGCAAAGCGAGCAAGCTAATACCTTTAGTTATTCAACAGAATGATGGAATGGGAAAAGGATCGGTGGAACGGCGGAATGGCGGAATATCTTAGGACACAGAATGATGGAATATTCCAAAACGCGAAATGCCTTTTGGTATGACACAAAAGTCCCAAAAAGTGGAGTTGCAATAAAATAAGAGACCTATTCATAATACTAACAGGCGAAATTAAAAGAAGTATTGGTGGTAATCATTATTGAAGCCCAGATAGTAGGGGAACCATGAGGCTTTTAAGCTAGCCCCTATAAATTATTATTATTATATTACTGTCGTTATCATTATCATTGTTTGTTCATATTATTATTTGTTGCCGTTTAATTATTGGTTGAATGTCAATTAGACAACATATTCTTGAATCATGTTTCTCTTATGGAACAGGGTACTCATAAATATGTGCAGCTGGTTTTCTGTTTAGCATGCGAGACAAATATTGTACAAAACTACCTTCTGTAGCATCATTATACAACCTCTAGTTCTTTTCAGTGCTATAAAATTGTGCAATACCATTTGCCACATGCAGTCTTTGACAGTCTAATTTTGTAAAAGAGATGCCATTGACAGAATTATTATGCAGCAGTTAGAAAGATTTTATTTACAAGTGACTACTGGATTTTAGGATTTCAAGATTCACCTTAAATACCTGTAGTTGACAAATATATGTCTAATTTGAGGAAACTTTCTTTACATTTAACCTTTTAATTCCCATGAGTGACCAAGACAGAGTGTCTCCTTACAATATCAATACAATATCAAGCAGACAAGTGATGAGAATATAGAAAAATATCAGTTTAAAGGAATTATAAGTTAATCCAATACCAAATTCTCTAAACTAACATCACAAGAACTGTATGGGAGAAGCAAAGAGAATTACTTATAGGATCTTGGGGGTTGAAGGATTAATTTGTAATGTCAATTTATAATGTCTTAAAAAATGATCAATACTTAATAAAGGTGTTAATCTACCCTGAATAGTATTTGAGTGTACCAAAAGTTCACTTTAGGTTATAGATAATCATGTCGTTAAGGTCTGTACCTGCAGTGTACATGGCTGCAAAGTGAGTCAGGTATTTCTCGTGCACAGGAACATTTTGATTTGATTTATTTGATTGACATTCAATACAAGTATACTGTTAAAAGTATGGTGAAGTTCTATCCCTAACCCAGCTGTTGCATATCTACTTAGGATCTAGCATTTGCAACAAATTCTGAAAGAAAGTACGTAATAGAAATATGTAGTCAGTGATAATGTAATTTATATTGTATTCAATGTCATGGAAATGATTGAGGAGATTAAAGAAAAGTATCAATGAAAGGATTAGTTGATCAAATACAACATTATCCAAACTAACATTATAAGTTGCTGGCCCAAAGCTGCCCAAGGGGGGAGGGATAAAGTTACAGTGTTGAATTAATCAGCACATTGCCTCTGTTGTTTCCCTGGTTCATTTCAAGTTGTCTAAAACTGGCAACATACTCTGTAAGTACAAAAAATCGAAATATGTTTCATTAATAATGTAACTGACAACCATATTTGTGTCATGTTACATAGTGCATTTAATTCTCATGAAGACAATTTCCAGCGTATTTGGAAAATTTCTCCTTTTCTACTGAGTTGCCCCAGGCTGTAAGGGGCAACACTTTTGTTATTACCTTTCAGTTACCACCCATATTTACTTGGGATGTGGCATTTGAAAAAAATTATGTGAGTAAGTAATAGACATGTGTAGTCAGTAATAATGTAATTGATATCAATTCAATGTCAAGAAGATAATTGAAAAATGTGAAAAAAGTCAGTTACTGGATAATTAGTCAATTGATTAAAAAATTATCCTAAAAAACTTTGTAAGTTACTGGCCCTAAGTTGTCTGGGGGGGGGGGGAAGTGATGAAGTAAACGTGTTGAACTGATTGGCACAAAACCTCTGTTGTTTCCCTGGTTCATTTCAAGTTGTGTATAACTTGCAACATATTCTGTAAGAAAGTAATTGAAATCTATAGTCAGATGTATTTATATTGACAACCATATTTGTGGCATATTACATGGGGAATTAAATTAATAAAAATAATTTGCAATGTATTTAAAAAATTTCTCCTTTTCTTCTAAGTTGCCTTAGGGTGAAAGGAGGATTTTAAAGTTTTTTTTACATTTATTGGCGTATTACTTCTGTTGCTATCTTCCAGTTGTCACACATATTTACTTGGGATGTAGCATTTGCAACAAATTCTGTATGAAAGAAACAGAAATATGTAGTCAGTAATTATGCAATTCAAATCAATTCAATGTCAATTATAACATTGCGCGTAAATTTGTCTAATCAAATTCAATTGCGTGAGCGTACTTCATATTCCTATTGTGCACGCTCATGACGTTAGCAAACAAATCCCTCGAGAATTTTGTACTCAATCAGAAAATAAAGTTCATTTACACGCATGAATTCACCTGTCAGTTTTTTGACCAATCTAAGACAAGATCGTTTACAGCGTAGCGAAATGTTTTCCTGAAACAAAATTATCAACGCGCTGAAGCGTAGCAGAGGGAATATTAACCCTTTTACAACATTGAAACCATCGGATTGAAAATGTTATAAAACAATTGATTCATGCGTCAGCTGTTCTCAAGAAGCTAGAGTTGCTCTCGGCTACGCCTCGAGCAACTCTTACGCATCTTTCGTGCTTTCCAAACTTACCACGTGCTTCATATCTCGATGAACGCACGCTGACGTCTGAACCAATTGTTAAAGAGATGATTGAGGAGATAAAAAAGAAGTCAATCTCAGAATAATTATATATAATAATAATTATATAAAATAGTAGAATCATATAGTCAGTAATATATGTAATTGACAATAATATTTGAGGCATATTACATAATGCATTTCATTTTCATAAAGATAATTTACAACAAATTTGGATAATTTCTCCTTTTCTTCTCAGTTGCCCTTTAAGGGTAAAGGTGGATTTGAAGTTTTGAATTTATTGGCTCATTCCCTCTGTTGTTATCTTCCAGTTGTTGCATGTTTACTTGGGACGTAGCCATTGCAGCAAACTCTGTAAGAAAGTAATAGAAATACGTAGTTGGTGATAATGTAATCAACAACCATATTTGTGGGATATTACATAGTTCAATATTATTACAAGGATAATTTCCAAAGTAAAAAAATTTTATGTAAATTATAATCTTTTAAGTGAATCAATATCAGTATCTGGGCCAAAGGCGCTATGTAACAGAGCCATTTAATTTTACGATAAAACAGCTACCAGTAAACAACCCTTATTAATTAACGTCATATATGCACAAGTTCTGTCTTTCGAATAGGAACAAAGTTAGTAATTTGTAATGTAAATTCGTCTACTTACATGAAACTTCAGCAGGGTGGCACTTGGGCTAAAGCCGTGACATCCACTGAAAAAAAAAATACAATTAAGTTGTCGGTGAAATTATCTGCAAACACCTTTTCGCAAATCTTGTTACTTAATACTGATGGGCTGATTAGTACAGACTATATGTTTAAACATAATTTGTACTGACGAAAAATGCTTTAATTTGTTACTAATTAAAATGCCAGCAATTACATTGTTTATTGCAATGTTTGGAGTTTTGTTTTTTTTTCTGTGCCCATGTATAATGGCTGCATCAAGTTTTCTAGTATTTTGACTTGCATTTACACTGAAAATTAACAGCGACTATTTTGAAAATAGTCACTGTTAATTTTTTTTAACTCCCATGAGTGACCAACACAGAATTCCTCCTTCAAATATCAAAGTCAAGGAGACATGATTAAGGAGATTAGAGAAAACCAATTACAGGATTAACTGGTTGATCGAATACGAAATGAACGCACTCAGTAAATGGTGACCGCAACCTCCTAATAGAGGTGATAAGGACAATAATTCAAATTTCGGAACTTTGACAACCGACCGATTATACAGGGTGACCGCTTAATACAGTGTTGCTAAATGCAGGTTCGACTGTACCACGGAATGTACTATTTGTAGGTTTTCGAGTAACTAAAAATGTACACACATGCGTCAGTCAATTTCACAAATATGAAACGCACTCCATTTTTCTCCTTCGTGAAAGTGTTCCAGTCACCGGTGGATCCAGCTACAAATGTTGAGGAGGAACAATCGAATCAAATCAATCAGTCAATGCACTTTGATTAATGTAAATCCCGAAGTGTTTCGGTCTCACTTCGTGACATCGCTCCGAAAGGTTCCGATAAGTTACTCACGAAGTATAGTGGCAGGGAGAGGTTGGTGTTTGAGTATCCCGTATCCCCTTCACTAAAGGCGTAACCGTCCCGTATTCCATTCATTGCTGTGGTTTGTAGCTCTATAATTCCAATTAGTTTCAATATTTCCTACCCCGTTGAATTTTCCTTCAATTATCTTGTATCTTCATAACTTTTCCCTATATATTCTGTATTTCGATAACTCCCTGCAGAGGTCTCTCCATAGCATGGTGCGTTACTGCTTTTTAAATGGAGAATAATCCATAAAACGAATTCAATGAATTCATTACTATGGAAGACAGCTAGAAAGAGTTGTTTAATCATTAAAAGTGACTTCGAAAGTACTCGAATCGTTTCGGTATACCGTCTGCGTTCGCGTTTTGGATGAAGACCCTTGTCTCCTAACTGTATAACACCGTATGATAACGTAGTGCGTTACCGCCTACAAACCGGTAATCACAAAACACAAGATAATTCCATCATAAAAGGAAGCCCAAGTGAGGGGTAATGTAGCTTCCTGTTTATCCTATGACTCGCGCAGTGTTCTGAAATTTCCTCCCCATCCGTTAATTGGTCTCGTCACACGAGCTGGTGGGGAAGAGAGAGTGCATTATGTGACTGACTTGTGCAGTACCGAAATTCCTCTGTAAATATTTATTAAGTCACTTGTAGACGATTGAGATTACACTCGTTACATTGTCAAAACTTATCATTACAATAGGTTAACCATCTTTTTACTGACTTTTCATTACCATCAAAATCCCTACCTATCCTCACAGTAGAAAAACAACAACAATTTGGTTGTAACTTTAAATTACCTTTAAACAGATCATAGATCTTAAAATCGCTATCAAATTGTTCCCTGTTAAGTATAATCGTAAATCAAAGACACAGGTAACCTAACCCGTGCGAATTCAATAATTGTGCACCAACAAACTTAACGAGTTCAGCAAGGACAGGAAATCATAAAATTTCAACAATCGCTGCTTTATCTTACTAAGCCTGTTAAACTCTGGATGAAGATCATTAATGGCATACTAATGCTTAAGCTGCCACAAAAACCTCTCTTCATTCAATAAGGAAAACGTATTGTTCAAAAGTGCGTTGCTACAGAGTAATTTTTCCAACAAAAGGGTTAACCAACTAAGCTTAACTGGTCAGTGAAAAGGGATCGCGGATAAAATCAAATAACTCAATTGAAAGCCACATTTAAAACAAAAACATGGCATTTTAAAATGGTGGAAAATGTATTATTCTTTCTAGCCATGTTAAGTGGCAGAGAACTTAACATAAGTAGCAAAGAGTAATTCAAATTTCGCCATTTTGAAACGTTTATAATGACCTCGTGAAAAAGATCATGTCAATTTACAAATTTCCTATCTATGGATTTCTCCCTTCTATTTCAACATTTATAATAAATTTAAGTTACACCACCCTATGATAACATAGCCTTCAAGTCTCTATACCATCTATAACCAGGGCGTTGCGTTTAAGCACCAGTATACATAACTTGACCATGATATAAATAATAATAGAAAGAGAAAATTAAAGCTAAAATATTCACAATGTTGCCAGCTTAATGACAAGTATTTAAATATTTTGAAAAACAGTTACATTCAGCGTTCTGTAACCATCTCACTATTTGTTGTTATGAGGCCGCTTTAATGTTTTTTTCTTTTTACCGTTGTTTTCTCCTTTTTTTAAATTTTTTTATTTAATCGTTTTAGTTTTTTTTTTTTTTTTTTTTAACTACAAGAGCTTTTAGGCACTTTGCAAGTAAAACTCAACAAAGAGGTAATAGTTTGTATCTTGGTTCCTACGGACCCCAACCAACATTTCCTGACCTTCTGTTAACCCTTTGTTGGAAGAAATTTTCACAAATTTCAAGAAACTATTTATCTAAGTAAACATTACTGCTTTTATGAACTCCACTACTTTTATCACTCTCCCATTTTGCCCCTGATTGTTTAACAAGCTGATGCGTCACCAACGCATCTCTAACCCTCCTTTAATATCAAAGATAAATTGGGATCCAGTTAATGCTTTACCGTCAAAAATCTAAAACTGATATTATAAGCATGTTTAAATCTCTAGCGAGAAATTTGATGGTTTTACTCTGTAGCAACTATTATCAGGACATTCTGATAGAAACCGAGAAAATTATGGTGATGCGAAATAAGGCAGCTGGCTTGTGGATCTTTCTAACGAACTATTCTCTCAAGTACACTACACAAAATTGCCAAAAAAAGGAAATAAAAAATTTCATGAAAAAAGGACAGCTAATTAACACACCCTAAGAACTTATAATGCTTACATTAGGCACACTACACACAAGTAAAGTCAGATAAAGTTTACAGTTCACTGTCGTTATCTAACCTTAAAGTAATACTTTATCTTGATTTCATCGCAGAATATCCGAATGCAAACGAATTCCAATGAATGAAGCTTCTCAGCTTCGCTGTAAATACGTATTATGTTCTACTCCAGAGTTGATGTCGAGAAATTAGACCTGTCATAAAGCTCCTTTACAAGACTAACTTCTGACGCAGCTCTGTTTGGTTTAAGTTAGCTGGTGCCAATCTTGAGTGGGTGGGGTCGAAAGCCCCACACAGAACCCTTGTCTACAAGGAATAAAGGAGCTGTTTTGTCTCACCCTTCCCCGAAGACCAATCCAGAATGGTTATACCTAATAGGAGCACATGGCTCCTTCTGGCACAGCTCTGCGGATCACTAGAGTACACATGCTTCCTCATCTCGTCACGGTACAGCACCAAGAGGAAGATGAAAATGTAACTCTTATGTTCCGAGTCTAATAAAACTGGAGATATCTTTAAATGTTCCACGTACACTTGAGTGAGAAAAGAATGAAATTTATTGGAATTCCCTTGCATCACTTTTAAACAATACTGCTCAGTTAATGAAAAACCTGAATTCGTACGAGCATGGTATTATTCCTGACATATTGCGGCTCGCGGATCGTCTCAATTGGTGCAAACTCAACATATCCGTACCCCTTGTAGTTGCGCGGTGCTGTGGGTCTTTGGAAAGCCAACAGGTTAGGCTTGAGCCACCAGGGTCTCACTGATGTGGTGACGGTATTCAGCGCCATCAGACTGATCCAAAATGGACAGCGCAATTCTTCCCGTAAAGGGCCATTCCAGAATGCTGTCATAATCTCCCTGCATCATATGAACAAACAGCGCCACGTGTTTTCCAACACCGCTATCCACACCGTTTAAGTTGATCCTCATACACAATTTATAGCCGTAAAGACTGGTGTGGAAGGACGGGCTGTGAATTGCTGTCATCACCCCACTAAGAGCATCTTGGCGGCACTGTCGGTAGTTATCGATCTTCCAAATATATGATCCGTTACACAAACGCCCCTCAACTTCTGACAATTTTGTTTCATATCGGTTGAATCTGATGAAATAACAAGAATTCTATATTAGGCACTAGTATGTCAAAATCTCAAAAGAGTCATATTTTGGGGATAATGGGTGGGTGGGGTTGTGGGGACCTTGCAGCACTAAGTAGGCTTTGCCTTGACACGAGCGACAAGAATTTTCCCTTTCTTGAGAAAATCTCCAAATGAGGTCTGCCGTATTTACCTTAGGTTAGCCCTATATTAAAAATCCTAATAACCGCGATCGTCTAGTTACTTAGTGAATGTGGCAAGTCCTGAGTTTGATATTTTCCCGTAACAACCTCACACTTGGTTATCGAGTGGTTACCAACACTTACTGTGCTCAAGCTCTTAGCCAACCAGAGCACGCGATATCAAACATACTTAACCATATTATAATTTCCCGCGATGGCTCACTTAGATAATGGTGGGAAACGTAGACAGCTTCTAAATTAGTAAAAATGTAACCCTCGACGAGTGAACGTGTAAGTAATATGACCACGTTTCAACATGATTTCTATCACTGAATATAAATGGTAGAAGTTTAGGATTTACTGGCTGACATTCTTAGCCGCTCGAGAAATTTTTCTAAGGAGACTAGAAGGTTCAGCTCAGGGGCGGCGAGAACGACCTCATACCCTTTCGAGATTCAAGTGAGAAGTCACCACTCGAAATTCTTTGAAAAGGGCTTTTTGAAGATTTTTCATGCAGTCGAATTGCTAGATGCCCACACACCAAAGTAAACGGGTTTAAAATCACGACGTTAACAACTGCATCGCTAAGTGGAGGTTGGATGCCTGAAACATCCAGGAGCTTCCACTATTGGCAGCCAGCTCCTAGATGGAGACTTCTCCAATGGCTGGCAAATCCTCGCAACCCAGCCATGAGCCCCCACTCAGGTAAGGGAAACAGGCACCCGTCAGTAGAAAGCAGTGGACAGAGGGAGGGAAGGGGTGGGAAAAACTAACTGAATGATGAGTTGGCATTCCTCACAACGCCGCAAGTTCACGCTCAAAGCACACAAACGAACGCCTCAAACAAAGAGCACACGGAATTCAGACACATAGGCATATGCAAAACCGCTGACTACTAAAGAACGCTAATGCTCTTTGTTGTTAACTACCTTAAATTGCATTTAACTCCAATCAAAAAGATAAGCTGTCAAGAATCCTCGACAGATTAAGTTTTCGCTGTTGTCCGATTGTAACATTAGTATCTCGCACACTTAAAGTTTTCGCTGTTTTCCGATTGTTACATTAGTATCTCGCGCACTTATAGTTTTCTCTGTTGTCCGATTGTTACATTAGTATCTCGCGCACTTAAAGTTTTCTCTGTTGTCCGATTGTTACATTAGTATCTCGCGCACTTAAAGTTTTCTCTGTTGTCCGATTGTTACATTAGTATCTCGCGCACTTATAGTTTTCTCTGTTGTCCAATTGTTACATTAGTATCTCGCGCACTTATAGTTTTCTCTGTTGTCCGATTGTTACATTAGTATCTCGCGCACTTATAGTTTTCTCTGTTGTCCGATTGTTACATTAGTATCTCGCGCACTTAAAGTTTTCTCTGTTGTCCGATTGTTACATTAGTACCTCGCGCACTTATAGTTTTCTCTGTTGTCCAATTGTTACATTAGTATCTCGCGCACTTATAGTTTTCTCTGTTGTCCGATTGTTACATTAGTATCTCGCGCACTTATAGTTTTCTCTGTTGTCCGATTGTTACATTAGTATCTCGCGCACTTATAGTTTTCTCTGTTGTCCAATTGTTACATTAGTATCTCGCGCACTTATAGTTTTCGCTGTTCTCCAATTGTTACATTAATATCTCGCGCATTTAAAGTTTTCTCTGTTGTCCAATTGTTACATTAGTATCTCACGCACTTAAAGTTTTCTCTGTTGTCCAATTGTTACATTAGTACCTCGCGCACTTATAGTTTTCTCTGTTGTCCAATTGTTACATTAGTATCTCGCGCACTTATAGTTTTCTCTGTTGTCCGATTGCTACATTAGTACCTCGCGCACTTATAGTTTTCTCTGTTGTCCGATTGTTACATTAGTATCTCGCGCACTTAAAGTTTTCTCTGTTGTCCAATTGTTACATTAGTATCTCGCGCACTAAAAGTTTTCTCTGTTGTCCAATTGTTACATTAGTATCTCGCGCACTTATAGTTTTCGTTGTTGTCCGATTGTTACATTAGTATCTCGCGCACTTAAAGTTTTCTCTGTTGTCCAATTGTTACATTAGTATCTCGCGCACTTATAGTTTTCTCTGTTGTCCAATTGTTACATTAGTATCTCGCGCACTTATAGTTTTCTCTGTTGTCCGATTGTTACATTAGTATCTCGCGCACTTAAAGTTTTCTCTGTTGTCCAATTGTTACATTAGTATCTCGCGCACTTAAAGTTTTCTCTGTTGTCCAATTGTTACATTAGTATCTCGCGCACTTATAGTTTTCTCTGTTGTCCGATTGTTACATTAGTATCTCGCGCACTTATAGTTTTCTCTGTTGTCCAATTGTTACATTAGTATCTCGCGCACTTAAAGTTTTCTCTGTTGTCCAATTGTTACATTAGTATCTCGCGCACTTATAGTTTTCTCTGTTGTCCGATTGTTACATTAGTATCTCGCGCACTTAAAGTTTTCTCTGTTATCCGATTGTTACATTAGTACCTCGCGCACTTATAGTTTTCTCTGTTGTCCGATTGTTACATAAGCACCTCGCGCACTTAAAGTTTTCTCTGTTGTCCAATTGTTACATTAGTACCTCGCACACTTATAGTTTTCTCTGTTGTCCGATTGTTACATTAGTATCTCGCGCACTTATAGTTTTCTCTGTTGTCCAATTGTTACATTAGTATCTCGCGCACTTATAGTTTTCTCTGTTGTCCGATTGTTACATTAGTATCTCGCGCACTTATAGTTTTCTCTGTTGTCCAATTGTTACATTAGTATCTCGCGCACTTATAGTTTTCGCTGTTGTCCGATTGTTACATTAGTATCTCGCGCACTTAAAGTTTTCTCTGTTGTCCAATTGTTACATTAGTATCTCGCGCACTTAAAGTTTTCTCTGTTGTCCAATTGTTACATTAGTATCTCGCGCACTTATAGTTTTCGCTGTTGTCCAATTGTTACCTTAGTATCTCGCGCACTTAAAGTTTTCGCTGTTGTCCAATTGTTACATAAGTATCTCGCGCACTTAAAGTTTTCGCTGTTGTCCGATTGTTACATTAGTATCTCGCGCACTTAAAGTTTTCGCTGTTGTCCGATTGTTACATTAGTATCTCGCACACTTAAAGTTTTCGCTGTTATCCAATTGTTACATTAGTATCTCGTGCACTTAGAAATTTCGCTGCTGTCCAATTGTTACCTTAGTATCTCGCGCACTTAAAGTTTTCACTGTTGTCCAATTGTTACATTAGTATCTCGCGCACTTATAGTTTTCTCTGTTGTCCGATTGTTACATTAGTATCTCGCACACTTATAGTTTTCTCTGTTGTCCAATTGTTACATTAGTATCTCGCGCACTTAAAGTTTTCTCTGTTGTCCAATTGTTACATTAGTATCTCGCGCACTTATAGTTTTCTCTGTTGTCCAATTGTTACATTAGTATCTCGCGCACTTATAGTTTTCTCTGTTGTCCAATTGTTACATTAGTACCTCGCGCACTTATAGTTTTCTCTGTTGTCCGATTGTTACATTAGTATCTCGCGCACTTATAGTTTTCTCTGTTGTCCGATTGTTACATTAGTATCTCGCGCACTTATAGTTTTCTCTGTTCTCCGATTGTTACATTAGTACCTCGCGTACTTATAGTTTTCTCTGTTGTCCGATTGTTACATTAGTATCTCGCGAACTTAAAGTTTTCTCTGTTGTCCAATTGTTACATTAGTATCTCGCGCACTTATAGTTTTCTCTGTTGTCCGATTGTTACATTAGTATCTCGCGCACTTATAGTTTTCTCTGTTGTCCGATTGTTACATTAGTATCTCGCGCACTTATAGTTTTCTCTGTTGTCCGATTGTTACATTAGTACCTCGCGCACTTATAGTTTTCTCTGTTGTCCAATTGTTACATTAGTATCTCGCGCACTTATAGTTTTCTCTGTTGTCCGATTGTTACATTAGTATCTCGCGCACTTAAAGTTTTCTCTGTTGTCCGATTGTTACATTAGTATCTCGCGCACTTATAGTTTTCTCTGTTGTCCGATTGTTACATTAGTACCTCGCGCACTTATAGTTTTCTCTGTTGTCCGATTGTTACATTAGTACCTCGTGCACTTATAGTTTTCTCTGTTGTCCGATTCCAATTGTTACATTAGTATCTCGCGCACTTATAGTTTTCTCTGTTGTCCGATTGTTACATTAGTATCTCGCGCACTTATAGTTTTCTCTGTTGTCCGATTGTTGTCATTAGTATCTCGCGCACTTAAAGTTTTCTCTGTTGTCCAATTGTTACATTAGTATCTCGCGCACTTATAGTTTTCTCTGTTGTCCGATTGTTACATTAGTATCTCGCGCACTTAAAGTTTTCTCTGTTGTCCAATTGTTACACTAGTATCTCGCGCACTTAAAGTTTTCTCTGTTGTCCAATTGTTACATTAGTACCTCGCGCACTTATAGTTTTCTCTGTTGTCCGATTGTTACATTAGTACCTCGCGCACTTATAGTTTTCTCTGTTGTCCGATTGTTACATAAGCACCTCGCGCACTTAAAGTTTTCTCTGTTGTCCAATTGTTACATTAGTATCTCGCGCACTTAAAGTTTTCGCTGCTGTCTGATTGCTACATAATATCTCGGACACAGCGAAAAATTTTTTATGCACTTAAAGTTTTCGCTGTTGTCCAATTGTTACATTAGTATTTCTTAAAGTTTTCACTGTTGTCCGATTGTTACATAAGTATTAAATGCGCAAGAAGTTTTTCGCTGGTGTCCGATTGATAACATTAAAAAGTCGCGCACGTAAAGTTTTCGCTGTTGTTCGATTGTTTCACTGGCATCTCGCGCACTTAAAGTTTTCGCTGTTATCCGATTGTTTCCTTAGTACCTTGCACACTTATAGTTTTCTCTGTTGTCCGATTGTTACATTAGTATCTCGCGCGCTTAAAGTTTTCGCCGCTGTCCAGTTGTTACATAAGTATCTCGCGGACTTATAGTTTTCTCTGTTGTCTGATTGTTACATTAGTATCTCGCGCACTTAAAGTTTTCGCTGTTGTCCAATTGTTACATAAGTATCTCGCGCACTTAAAGTTTTCGCTGCTGTCCGATTGTTACATTAGTATCTCGCGCACTTAAAGTTTTCGCTGTTGTCCAATTGTTTCATAAGTATCTCGCGCACTTAAAGTTTTCACTGTTGTCCAATTGTTTCATAAGTATCTCGTGCACTTAAAGTTTTCGCTGTTGTCCGATTGTTACATTAGTATCTCGCGCACTTAAAGTTTTCGCTGTTGTCCGATTGTTACATTAGTATCTCGCGCACTTATAGTTTTCTCTGTTGTCCGATTGTTACATTAGTATCTCGCGCACTTATAGTTTTCTCTGTTGTCCAATTGTTACATTAGTATCTCGCGCACTTATAGTTTTCTCTGTTGTCCGATTGTTACATTAGTATCTCGCGCACTTATAGTTTTCTCTGTTGTCCAATTGTTACATTAGTATCTCGCGCACTTATAGTTTTCTCTGTTGTCCAATTGTTACATTAGTACCTCGCGCACTTATAGTTTTCTCTGTTGTCCGATTGTTACATTAGTATCTCGCGCACTTATAGTTTTCTCTGTTGTCCGATTGTTACATTAGTATCTCGCGCACTTATAGTTTTCTCTGTTGTCCAATTGTTACATTAGTACCTCGCGCACTTATAGTTTTCTCTGTTGTCCGATTGTTACATTAGTACCTCGCGCACTTATAGTTTTCTCTGTTGTCCGATTGTTACATTAGTATCTCGCGCACTTATAGTTTTCTCTGTTGTCCAATTGTTACATTAGTATCTCGCGCACTTATAGTTTTCTCTGTTCTCCGATTGTTAATTCCTCCCAGACTTCCTTCAGGAACACATCTGACAGACTTGAACTGCTCAATAATCGCACCTGCGCCTTTGTCTCACGAAGCCTTCCGGTTCGTTGTTACATTGGTATCGCACACATTGTATGTTGTCCTTATTTTTCGATCATTTAGTTATCTCCCATTGTCATTTGACGCATACCTTAGGGTCAACTCTTGGATCGGCCTTTCCTGTCTCATACGAGTCTCCTCCAGCTGCCTCTCCATATGATGTATTATATTGTTTAACTCAGCTACCTTGCTCCTCAATTCGTCCAGCTCCTCGCGCTGAGTTTGAGTCCTGCTAGACAAATCATGCAGATATCCTTCTTGACTCGCCTGTTCTCGAGGAAAAGCCTGCGCCCCACCTCTGGATCGCCTTGCACCACCTCCATTCCCCTGTTCCCCCATGTTATTACTGCCAGACCCAGTAGCCATCAGCTCACCAAATTTCTTGGCCATATCCATTGTGTGGGTTGCTATCTCCTTGGTAACATGTGCAACGACTGCTAACCGCTTACCCTAACAAATTCGAAAATTTCCCTTGGTCAGTACTGGAAGACAGGAAATCAGGAGTCAAGAAGTTCAAGAGCACAAGACAGCGTGAGGTTTCGGTTAATGAGAAGTGACTTATCAATCATAAATAATCCACCATACTTCAGCTACATGTCAGAATATCAAATGCAATCGATTAATCACTCGATTAATGGATGAAGGACATACAATTTGGTAGACTAAGTTACCAGCTAACTGATTGGCTGACTGGTTGACTGACTATATGAATAACTGACAAACTGACAAACTGACCGACTGACTAACTGACTGACTGGTAGACTGACTGACTAACTGATTGACAGGCTGAATGGCTAGCTGACCAGCTGAATAGTTGACTGACTGAGCCACAGACTGACTCATTATTTCATTAAGATAAAAAAAAAAATTATATATATATATATATATATATGAACAGGTGAAACAAGACGACGACTTGGTGAACAATTCCAACACCTTCGCAACATAGAAAGGAATGAAAAGAACGCATCCAAACCAGTCACTGGTCAATTTAATCTCTCTAATCATCCTAAGCAGCATATAGCAATTCGCGGCCTTTCCATACATCTAGGCATTTCGGAAAGTCGCAAAACTCTAGAAAAAAATAATTTATCTTTCAAATAGGCACTCTTAATCCCAACGATATCAACAAGCAGTTTTAATTCAACTAATTCATTCGTGCTTTCCTTAATGACATGTTCTTACCAATAGCGTAGCTCCATTTTCTGCATATAATCACACACTACCCACAATTCTTCCATTCGCTCTAAAGAAGGGCTAACGTTCGAAACGTCAGCCTTGAAACCATTTACGGGGGCAAATTTGCATCATCAACTCACTTGATAAAACCACATTATATACCGGGTATAAGTTATTCGCCAGCCAGAAGGTCCATTTTGTACTCAAGACAGAGGGCACATTTTTTCCCAATACGGACCGACCTGGGCTAGTGAATAAGATATATATCTATTTTATCTAAAACCTAACGAAATACTTGCCAAAGGAACCCAAATTATTGAGGGCTGTAATTACGGCAAGATCCTCCATAGACTTAGCAATTTTTTTGACAAATAGATGGTAGAGAGAACAGTTTTGATGCAAATTATAGAGAAAGCCTTCACCGAATCATTGTTATTTGCGAAATTGTAAAGGTGATTTAAAAGGTTTCCAAACAAATTTTGAAACATTTTTTTCAGAAGTATTTGTTGCAATCCGACACTTGTCAATTATAGAGTGTAAACAAAAGCGCATGTACACTTCTGAATGGACAAACAGTACAAACTCGAGTTAAATTATTATGACGACGATCTTTTTTTAAAGAGTCAGCAATCTTACGGAAAGTATTTATCATTTTCAATGAGGACGATTTATCTTCGAAAATTTACCTCTTTTCAGTTCTACCTCTTTAAAATTTAACCTCTTTTCAGCTTCAATAGCCTCTGTTGTCTAAATCCACATTTGTGAGTCACTTCTTGCAATATTTACATCTTTCAGCCTCTCTCGGGTAAAGATTAAAAGTTAAGATTGCAAAACTCGGAGCGGTCCGTGCCCAAGTTTCGGATAGGAAAATCCTCACCGCTGAGTGCGCGGAATTAGCCAATCAGATTCGAGGATTTAGGATTTGGGACCGCAGAGATGCTTACGATAAAAAGGTAACTTGTTAAATTCCCCAACCGACGCTCCACCACAGTTCCTTTAGAGACTTGCCCCTTTATTCATGACTCATTAACTAACTTACTGACTTAATGACTGATTGACGGTGTGTGGGAGAAATTTTTGTGGGAGACAGACAAAATGGTCTGTTGGTAGATGTCCTTGTCTTGTACGGTTGACAGCAAAAATTGTATTTAACTGACACCCTACGGACCCCTGCAAAGTGTCAAAATCTACGAATAAACCCATTCATGTGTCTGTGTATAATAAAAAAGATGGTGCTAAATACAGTTTCATTTCACTTTCTTCGTTTTAAAAGAGAAGAAAATATTTGGACTTAAGTTCACGTCCCCTTAATATGGGGTCTACTTGATACAGGTTTCAATGTACTTTTGTTTTTAAAGAGACAGTGACCTTGAAATCATCACAGTTACAGTTTCGCTCCACGTACCTCAAATGAACATCCCACGAAGTAGAAAGGACATTTCATTTCCACTGCAGTGCATTCCTTGTCCAAATGTTCTTGAAACTAAAGAACACATACTTATGACATATATGTAGTTCTGCACGGATTTACAAAAACATGCCCGCTGCTCACGTCCTGTCACAGCTTAGGTAGTCGGTGAACACTTTGTTGTTCGAGAGAGTCAAATGCAGCGGGCTTGGGAGGGGTTGCAAACATCTGCCTACCTCATTTTCACACGAAGGTGGGGTTCGTCCACAGGGAACATGGAGGGAGCTTAGGGAGTTCAGGGTTACTTTCAACAAATTAAGGTGCCTTCCGGAAAAATCTTCCTACGCCTGCTACTTTTAAAGAAACCATGGAAAAGTATTTATCACTGTAAAGCTAACAAAGTATAAATTATGAAATAACAAAAGTTTTTCAGTTTTTGTTTTGGCAGGCATGCGCGAGCCTTTTAAACACAAAACCGACGGTGTTTACTTAATTACTAGCCAATGCGTTACCGCGGACCTCCAAACAAACTTTACAGTGTCACTAGGTGCGTAATAGGCTAATAAAATGTGCTAGGCTTTTTCGATATTTCTGTTGGTTCTTGAGAATATATTTTTTGAAGTTTGACGATAGAAAATATTTCGGTTGTTGTCACGCTCTGGGACATCACGAGAGAAATATTTCGAATTTCACGGATCTCACGCACATCAATTTTCATGAAAATCCAACAAATCTACATACCCTATCAATTCATTGAAGTAGAGATAAAGCAAATAAAAGCATACCTCAAGTTTTCGGCCACCTAAGAAATTCACAGTTTTCGCATTTAAGCCCGCGTCAATGCAGTAAAGACGCTGACCAAAGAAACGCGACATCGAACCCCCCAGTATGTTTCGTGGATTTACAATGGATTAAACGAAGTCCAAAAATTCATCCACAAAAACTGAAGGAAAAAGTGGGCAAAAGAAGCTGGGGGAAAAAGAAAACCCTGACTTCTATTTCTTCGGCCCAGGCTCTCTCACGACTATTCTCTTTTTGGCTGTTTAATAAAGAATCTTATTTCTTGACATTTTTCGACATGTGACGGAAATTTCCCTTTCTCGTGTGGTGCAAGATGCGATGTAAACAGCATATGCAAAGCGAGAGCAGGACAAAAGCCCACGAAAAACGTCAACACTTTGCTGGAGGCCTTTCGCTATTCAGTATAGGTTTCCCAAAAACATTCTTTCGGCCGTATCTCGCGTTCTTTTAAAGATTTTGAAAAGTTTTCGACAAATTATACTTAATTGCTTTCCCTTACTGAAGAGCGAAAAGACGAAATTTTAAAAAGGTTGACCAGATTTTGATGAAAGTAACCTTAAAGTCAAGGATGGCACCCAATATCTGCCCAATTAGAAGGTGGGTTGCTTACAGCTGTGTTTTAAAAGCTCAGGGATGAAAATTGCAGAAGGAATAGACATTAGCAATGTTTTTGAGTGAAAAGGGTCACCATTCTAACAACTGAAAAATCAAGACAAAGAAATACTGATAATAAAATGTAGCGAATGAGTGAAAGTTAGAAGATTTGAGTTGAAGAAAAACACTGGTTGCTACAAAATGAACTTAGATGAATTTAGTAGAGCGTTAATCATCTTCACGTTTTTACTCACCTCTCCTCTTGGTATGTTTTCTTTCTTGCAGCTATCACATTTCACAGGGAATTTAGGACACTCCCCATAATGGTCCTAAAAACGAAGGAGAATATTTTTGAGAATGACTCAAGAAATTGCATTAATTAAGTTATAATCACATGTCAACTGAAACAAGTAACAGTCTGAAAATTTCAACCTTGTAAGTCAATTTACAAGTTGTCTTTTTCCAAACATTTCCCTGCTGAAATTTTTGGGGCACTATTAAAACTATTGTAATAGGGATCCCTAATAAACTTAAAACATCTTTTTAGCTGGTATATCAACACTAGTCAAACTCAGACTGTCATCATTACCATAATAGTTGCGAGTTTTGGACCTTTCAGGATACTGCAAAGGCTGCATGGTTGAACAATGGCTGAGCTGGGTGTTCAGTTTGCAATCTAGCAGTCCTGAGGTTTACATTCTTCTCCCCACTACTCTATGGACTTGTTCTTGGTTGCCCCTAGTTCAACTCCTTGCTTGCCCAATATATTAAATAGCCAGTTGGTTTGCCCAATGTGGCTGGGATTTTTAACTATTCTGTGATCTGAGAATCAACACCTTCCCCTCAAAATAATGAAAGCAATTAAATCAATCTCAATTTTCTCTCTGCACTCAGTTGATTGATGTAATCTTCACTGACAAAACATTTTAGAAGGCAACTTCTCTATCAGTGCTAAGGCTAAGGCTAAAGCAGGTCTCAGTCTAGCTCCCAGAATATCAGGGGTCAGGCCCCTTTGTCCTGCCATTGCAAGTGAGACAAACCTCTAGTTCATTCCACTTTATGTCTTTTTTGCAGTGTTTACAAGGTATTGTCCTGTTTGGACAGTCTTTCTCCAGATGTTCTTTGAGATCCTTCCTCTGCATTTCTTTTCCACACCCTTTGGGGCACTTCACATCAACAAAGTCACAATTGTTCAAATGCTCCTACCCATCAAAATGAGAATCAGTATATGTGGTTCCTAAAGAAACTATTATGCTGTGTAAGTGGGCAACAACAACAACCAAAAAAAAAAACAAAAAAAAAAGACAAAAAGTAGATGTAACTGTGTCTTGCTACTGGCATACACTGGTTATTGATTCTAACATACTGTACTTCACAAAAAGGTTTAACAATTCTCCTCCACCTTGTTAAAACAGTCTCCTGAATTAAATTACAACTTCTATCTCTGGCAAACACAAGTTTTTGAAAATAGGGTTACTTCCTTGATCTTGAAAATAAACCCCTTCCAATGATAACTAACAATGACATTCATTATTAAAATAACTTATGCTCATACAATTCTAATACCTCCAACTTTCCAAGCTTTCCCTTCCAAGTACAGCCTTGTTGCTTTTTCATGCGACAGAATACACCTTGATCCATCATTTCCCGCTTTGCAAAGTTGTCTGGATAAAGCTAAACAGAAAGTCAAATTAAAAGTGATCCAATGAAGGTAGCATGCCATTTAAAATCATTATGTATCCCCCTGTGGACACAGACTACAATAGCCTTACCCACTGACAACTAATTTTAGGGACCTTAACCCTTTAACTTCCAGAAGTGATCAACATGTAATTTCTTCCTGTAACAACAAACTAGCAATGAGAATATTCAAACTTATCAAGTTGAATTTGTTCTTTTGATCTCACATCAAATTCTCATAACCAATTTACAAGGAAATGTGAAGCAGCTAGAGGAGAGAATTAACATCCAGATCTTGGGAGTTAAAGGGTTAAGCGTAGACTAAAGAGATGATAAAGAAGATGGCAATGTATGGTGTTGTGAGGTTGATGCTTGCATTTGCTGTGGACTTCAGACACCCCATGTGATAAAAACAAATGTAAAACTGAAATGAAGGGTAAAACAATGGCTTTTTGCAATTTTCACTAAAGCTACTGCTTCTTGGCCATGATAAGGTTTAATAAAATGTATCCTTTACAGGAAAGTCTCTGAAAAACATGAGGGGATTTGAACATTTGGCCAGGTCAAGAAAAAAGACCTACCACTTCTTGCTGGAGTACTCCAAATATCAGGTCCGCAAATACCACATGCTATCAAAAAAAGGGTTGTGACAGCATGGAAGGCCTTTGTAACCTGCTCAGAAGACTAGCCTACCCTTGTACATACTGTGATATTGTACTGAGATCTGGTTTGCCTGTTTCTGCATGGTTTTCAAACACCCAGTTGACTTTTTCTAATGATACACATGGTCATAGCTTCACTCCTTAGCATCCAACTGTTGTAAGACCTTTTGATCTACAGGCTTACAGCTACAAAGGGGGGCAGCTTTACAAAACCATTTTGGTTTCATAGATGGCAATGTTTGCCCCATATGCAGGCCAGGAGACAACAGAAGATACTTTTAAATGGACATAATGTAATGCAGAAAGGTAACATATCCTCTATTTTCCTTTTCCTTGTCTGCTGTAAACATTTCATGGGTCTTTTTCTGTGTTCCTCTGCAGCTGTTTTTCTTCCTTTTTTTTCCCTTGGCCTCAGAGCTTTTGTGGTCAGACACCTTCCCTTTACCAATCATCTCCTCAAGAGCTTGATTTTCTTTGGTTTCTTCACAAGAGATCCCAGACACATTTTCCTCTTGGCACATTTTTGCACTGACTTCACACCCTGCTAAGTCAGGTTAATTGCTGTCTTGTTTTATACATCCCCTCTTTCTTTGCTTCCAAGATGATGATAACAATATGGCTCCATAACAAGGACTTCTCCATAAAGCTGTATGTGGTGTAAGATATTTTTTGTCTCGTCATGAGTGTGGGACAAAGAAAAAAATTCTGAGTCCCCATGAGGAGCTGTAAATGGTGTTTTTCAATCCACTCCATATCGTTTAGAAATGAACAAATAATAGTACAACTGAGCACTTACTGTAATACTGATCACAGGTTATGATATTGCATATAGGTAATAAAATGATTTTGTGTGCAATTTGATGTTGATAAGCACATGTAAAATTTTCAAAGACAAAAATAGGCACAAGCTTGTTGTGAGTGCAATTTGTAATCTTAACCAAATTTGCAGGTGCTTGTTACACCAAATTGCAAGAAAAACCATGTCATGACTTGTTAATAATTTGTATGGAAAAAAAAATTACAAAGGCAAGACAGACAAAATTTTGCATGCTATTTGTAATTTTCATTTGTTACAACTTTGCACATGTGTTACATGAGAATGCACTTGTTTTCAGCCAATCAGAAATGCGTAATTTTTTAATGTACATTACTTTTAGTTTTAACCCAGTTCATTTCCTTAGCAAAAGGCTGGAGTACACAAACGAGCCATGTTTTAGAAGGTGATCAAATTTTTTTAAGGCAACCATTTCACAATTAAAGGTCGCTTTCTGTAAAATTAAACTTGGAGTTCCCTGAGCATGCACCACTGACCAAGGATTGTCATTCAAGCACCTCATTGTTGCCATTGTTGATGCTTAAGGTCCCAAACAGCTCCTTATTGTGTGACCAAGGATTAACTGATTACTCACACAATTTATTCTTTGACTCACTTCAGGTACCCCAGTGTTAAGACTTTCAAGTTATGTTCAGTCAGGTGTAACAATTGGCAAATTAAACCACCATTCATGTATTAAGTGTTTGATAATCTTGACTGCAAACTCAGGAAGAAAATATGAGCATAGATATTGAAACATGCATTTCGAGTTACTGGAATTAGCAGTATAGCCTACTTTACCTTAGTGTTGCAGTGACATCAAATAATTTTTCTTTGTCCTGTTGCACATACTAATGCAATGCTGAGTGTCATGTATGCATGACCTTGCAGTTATATTTTCATAGAAAAGTATGAAATAGGAAAGGTAAACAGCATATTTTACAACTTTTAAAACTTCTGGTAACAAATTTTGGATCAAGAGCGTTACAAACAGCTTCAGCAGATACAATGGTTAAATATCCATAGTAGCTTATTAATGTGTTTGTTGAAGGTCAATTAGAAGTCAGACAATAGTGAGCCCCTTTAGGCTGCTGCTAATTAAACAACAGAAAGCCAGAAAAAATATTTTTTTTGAAAAACCTCTTATTAACATTTAGCAATAAGAATTGACTTAAACTTTCTCTTAAAGCGTTTGAAAGAGAGAAACTTTATGTCATCACTTATATCATTCCAGACCTTAGCACCCTGGAACATTATGTTGAAAATTCTATACTTTGTTGTGGCTTTTGGAATAGCACAAGTCATCCTGGAGGACAACCTAGTGTTATATCTTAGTATGTTCCTATCAAGATTAAAAAGGTATTAAAGACTGAAAGTAAAAGTTGGTAATGGAACCTATACATAAACACAGCAAGTTAAAGGGTTATAGTACCACACAGCTTGATAACATTCAAGTGTTTTAATAAAGGACTTGAGTGTTCAGTGAAATGGTAATTATTCCTATATAGTTTTCTTCTGTAATGTAAATAAAGACCTGTTGCATAGTTGTCTGATATGCATTACCCCAAGTAATTACACAGTAACTTAAGAATGGCTCTATTAAGATGCAATACAGGCTTTACAATTTTTTTGTGTTCAAGAAATAGAAAAGATTAGAGAGAATACCTATACTTCTTTTTATTTTTCAGCAATAAAGTTAATGTGGCTCTTCCAACTAATACTTGAATCTATATAAACTCCAAGGTATCAAATGGAAGTTTCTTCAGTCAATGATTGATTATTTATAGATAGCATAACCTTTTTGGGAATTTGATTTTGTACTGGATGAAAAATAACAAAATTTGACTTTTAAATATTTATTGAAAGCTTACCGGTATTTGCAGATAGCCAAATATGTACTTTTCCAAGTTCACTGTTAATTTCACTTTCAAGTATGTTGAGGTCCTCATGCTTGATAAAAAATTTTCATACTCTGCAGAAAGGTGAAAGTCCAATAGTTTTAAGCAATTTCTGAAAGTCATTTCTATAAATAAGGAAAAGAAGTGGCTCTAGTATTGATCCTTGAGGCACCCCACAAAATACTGTTTTCGTGTCAGAAATAATGGAACCAAGTGATACCATCTGTGTTCTGTTACTCAGATATGAGCTAAACTAGTCTTAAACAACCCCTCTGATAACATTCAAGCTTTGTGACCAGAATTTTGTGGATAACAACATCAAATGCTTTGCTGAAGTCTAGGAATATTCTGCAAGAGTAACACGATCCTCAAAAGCTTTTTGCACCTTAGCCCAGTTGTTCAAAGTATGGGTAATGCTATCCAACAGACAAATCACTAGCGGATAACTGTCAGGAAAATATACTGCAGTATCCACCGGGTAGCAATTTATCCAGTGGATAGCGTTACCCAACCTTTGAACAACTGTGGCCTGGTCAATAATACTTAGTACTGCATGATCAGTTGAATGATGTGAGCGAAATCCAAATTGCTTGTTATAAATTAGGTGCTGTTAGTCTAAGAAGTCAACTAACCAATTGAACATAAGTTTTTCTCACAACTTATCAAATATTGATAAAAGAGAAATAGGCCCATGATTACTTAGGTTTGTCTGAGAAAAACCTGAATTCCATGAATTTTCAATTCATGAAAATAATGGCAAACGAGTCTAGTGAGGAATTAAACAAATTGTTTATATTAACCCACAGGTGATTCAATTTGTCAGCTAAATAGTTTTGGAAAATTGAGAAATAACTGATCCTAAATCAATACTAATACTAATACTAATTTCTCTTACTTAATTTAATTAGATGACTCAGTTTGTTCCTGTAATTTTTAAATTTTGCATGGTTGTAGGTAGACTTTGTTTTAAGGAATTTCTTAAATAGACCATTCTTTATTCTAATAGAGGTCCTGATTTCAGAGGTTAACCATGGTTTGGATCTACTTTTAATTCTTGTTTAGATAATTGCTTGATGGATTTATGTATATCAATAACCTCAGATATCTTATTGTAGAAACTATCAAACATACTGCTTGGTTCAAAACCACCTCAATTAAATCATCCCAGTTTATTGATTGAATGTCAGTAATCAGGGCTTGCTTATCAAAATTTGAATAATCTTGTCAAAAACCATAATGTTCACTGGTGGAGAGGATAGTCTATTTACAATGAGAAAATTTGGTAGATGGTCAGATGAATCATAACAAAAATTTTCACCGATGGAAAAGTGCTCAAGGGAATTAAATAAAATATTGTCAAAGAGAGTTGCTGAGTGATCTGTTACTGTAGTTGGCTACAAGATTTGAGATTGAAAATAAAATATGCCCAAAGTATTTAGGACATTCTCTGCACTAGGATGTGATTCAAACTTGAGGAGATCTAAGTTAAAATCTCCTAATTATATACAATATTTGTTTTCACAACGAATCATTTTAAATATCATGTTAATATGATTTTGGAAGTTATGTAAATTGCCATAGGGGTCTCTATAAAAAACCTCATGAATGGTACTGTGCCCTGTATCATCTTGAATTTTGACCCATACTGATTCATAGTCATTTTGGGCTTGTGCTAAGAGATCTGAACAATTAATGTATCCAAGATTATTCTTTACGTAAAAGCCAACTCCTCCTGTATTGGTACAACTTGGTTGTGACAAAAAGCTGTAACCTGTGATATTAATAGAGTAAAACTTCTTGGTCATTCTTTAACTTTGTCACAGTTACCCGTTATAGATATAGGACAACTTAACTCAGATAGCATATTAACCAGGTTATCAAAATTGCCCTGCAAGCTTCTAATATTGCAGTTTAAGAAGGAGAGATAATTACCAGACAGACAATTCAAAATATCTTGATTCAAATGAAAGTCGTTCATAGTAAAATAATCAAAATTTAGGTCAGAGGGCATATGGAGGTCAGCATCTGAATTAGAAAGATAATCTACATTGCTAATGGAAGAAGTTACATCTAGTCCAGTTAATGAGGCATAGCAGGATGGATAACTGGGGCTATCAGAGGAAGAGACTCCACCAGGACACCTTCTACAATTCAAACAGGTTTCATTTGCACTTATCTCTTGAGAACATGGAATATCAGCTGAAGAGTTGACAGGTATCACCTAGGAGTCAGCATTTCTTTTCAAGAAAATCTTTCCAGCATTGGTCCAGAGGAACTTGTTGCTGTGATGTTTCTTGGATTTCAAGCAGTCTTTAAACAGTTCCTTGTTCTTCTGCTTTAGACTTTCGTTAATGTAGATCCTCTTAGCCTCAGAGAAACCAAGACCAGTCGTAGAGACAGATTTCAGCCTTTTTTCCTTGCATAATATAAATTTTCTCTTACCTCACACCTCACAAACTTGACAATAACAGCAGGATCTACGGAGCCTCTTGCACTTGGTATTTGATGGCTAACTGAGATATCATTCCTTTCCACTGGAACACCAATTTTCTTGCTTAACTGAATTATGATGTCATTAGTGTCTTCCTTGGAGGGTTTCTCAGAAAGAGGGATGCCATAAATTTCTGCACACTATCTCCTGATATACTGCTCTGAGTCATTAAGAGACTTTTTAACTTGCTTTAAATCATTGGCAGTACTCGATGATTGAGCTTCAAGGCTTGCATTTTCTTCCAACAGGGCCATTTTATCTTTCTCAAGCTTTGTCAGAGTCTCTTGGATGTTTTTTATATTTTTATTAAGCAAAAAGATTGACTCCAATCCTTGTTTAAACTGCTCACTAAGTAGACACAGTTTATCATCAAGACTCTTTTCAGGATTTTCTGTTGTCAGGTTTGGCATTGCATATGGCACAAAGAGAAATGGACTAACACATAAGATTCAACAAAATTTTGAGAAAAATTCCACAAAATTCAGAGACATCAATTAACACATCTGCCATCTTGCCTGACTGCTGACCACCAACAGTCCATTGTTGGTATACTTATTAACAAGTATTTGTTGAGGCTGTGCTGAATATTAGGTGATAAATAACCAACAAGGCACAGAGTGCAAAGTTGGTTACAATAATTTCAAATTCAGCAAGTCTGAGTGAAATAATAGTTTTTGTTTTTCAGGGAGTTGCCCTGCACAATTACCCCAGTTTTAATAATAGGCAATTGACATTCAACCAATCATCCTTAGTATCTTGGTTGAGATCTAAGCAGACCATAAGGATGTTAATCAAGCACTGTTAGAGCATTGATAAAATCATCAGCCAACTATGGGATCCCCTTCTGACCAACCATCAATTAATGCATCAATCAACTTCTGACCAATATTTCAACTGCTAAAGCAACCTTGGCTAACCATAGTATGCATGGTCCAAACTTTTGAACAGGATAACCATTTACTGCACTTATATCATGGCAACAATAATTCAAAATACTTATACAAACCTGTGATTCCCTTAGAGGCTCATTATCTACAGGACATTTGGGACCAGCATCCCTAATAATGGTAATGAAAAACAACGTCATTAAAGAGAATACCAAATTAATTATTGAACAACAATATCTTAACTCGATGTCTGTATGTACTAAAAATAAAAAAAATCAAAATGTATCTACTTTATAACAAACTAGATACAATAATCAAAAGTAACTGAATTGCTAAAAATCTGATCTTACTTTTACCTGGCTTGTAGTTGTCAGTGATTTTCAAAACAAATGAAAACTATTTCTCTTCTAAGTACAACATTGCACTGAAGTTTGCTTCATTACTCTGTGCAGCAGTGTCTCATTACTGTATATTTATTAATTCAGAAGTAAGATAAATATTACCTCTTCAGCACTCTTCTTAACTATTCAATGGTTGTGTCAAAATAATGTGGTACTACTTTCATTCTATGGGACAATTTTCAGGAACCCCCTACCAAATTGTCTCCTGGTTAATTCCCTTAGTAAATATTTCATCATGATGAACAATATTGAGACTTAGCAGGAAGTGTATTTATCATACAAACAAAATAGAACAAATTTTTTCCCTGATACCACTGAAAATGAAAACAAAATATCAGCTCTTTCATTTTCTAGGGAAATTTCCCAACCTAAATTTAAAAAAGAAAAAAAATACATCAAAACTTTTCCAATTGCTTCAAATATTCTTGTCTGTCTTTATTCATTTCTGTATAACTGAATTTCCTAGTTACAGTTGCTCAATCAGACCTGGTTAACACCACTTAATGTCGTCACTGTTGTGAGATACATAACTGGCATCCCTTATTAATAGACTGGTGGATTAATATGCAACAACAGCCACATTGCTCCTCCAGGTTCATGTACTTATTACATTCAAACCTTCCACACCAATTCCATACATCAGAACAAATAAGACACACATACGCATGCGTTAGAAAGACACCTTTTTAAGTTGAACCACTATGATGAGAATATTATTAAGAGAACCTATAAATTTGAGTCGAATGATACGCCCTGAGCGGAACTGCAAGCAACTCTTGCAGTTCATGGTTGGAGAAAGGCGTTTATTTGAAAGTTTTCAAAATGGATTAGGTGCTTATGGAGGTGCCACAAGGTACAAGACAAGTTTGCTGAATTGACCGCGACTTAAAGCAAGAAACGGCATCATTGCTGAAATTGTTGGGTATCGGATCCAACAAAGCTCGACCTCGTGTTAGTCATAGAGGAGGGCTCAATAATTTCAACTTAAGGCGTCCAGGATATATTTGTCAAACTCTGATAGACCTTACCGTATGGACCGTACAATACAGCCTCTACAGAACCTGTGACCACAGCTTGTCTGCACTGGCTCTCGCAACCCCAGAAGACAGATAGGGCATTCATACTTCCCTTCCAACGGTGGATCGAAGTATTCATCATATCCTTCAGACCTTGGTTCAACTTCGCCTGATGGATACCTAAATTCGGTTGCTGCTGTTTCAAAGCTTGGCCCCAAAGAGTTATCACGAAGAAAGAGAGAGGACTGCTCCTCCAAACGAAAGCTACGACTCATAGTTCACTCATGCTTGCCTGTAGACATTTATAAGACCAGACATTTTTAAGACAAGACCAACGCATTATTGAAAGTGAAAATTTTTTTGAAGGGGCAGTCCCCTATCCCATGATGCACTCCTTCGGATTTCGAGAAGGTCAAATTTGACGTAAGTACTAAAACAGGGAACGACCTAAAACCACCTAAAACCACCTCAAAAATTTCAACAACCACCTACAACCACCTCAAAAACATCTACAACCACTCGCAAACTATCTAAAACCATCTAAAACAAGGCATAAATGTCTAAAATAAGGCGAAACGACAACATGTCACGTACACGAAATACGAGAATCGAACGAAACCTCTACCTCCCCCTGAAATCTTACTCTCCCTGGTCCCATGTATAATCAACCATCTCACGACAGAAATGCGATAGCATGCTAATTATTTTATATTCCCTCAGCAAAAGACTTAAAGAACTTTACAAAATGAAGTAACATGTTACAAAAAATAATACATTGGGAATCATACATAGGCGCGCGTATATATGGAAGTTTTTGTAATCATGATTCAAAGCGCCAACGCACTCTACGATTGTTATTCGAGGATTGTCGATTCATTTATTTGCATTCATTAATGAGGTCGGATTTTTTTTTACACGTAAAATCAATAAAACTTACTCACATCCTGTGTGTCCGTTGTAGTTTCTGGTGATTTCTGCTGCTTTAAGCTTGTTTTACCATCACCGTTATTCCGGAATAACGGTGATGGTAAAATGATCGATCATATTTCGTTCCCCAAACCATTCAAATTTTCAACGGTTCCTCTCGTAACTTAACACCGAGTCACAAAACGCGTGACACGTTCATGAATTAATCGTCGGCTTTTTCTCGAGACGTGGGCTTGGGCCGCCTGTGATGTGACTAACACAGTCCATAGACTATAAGATTTTATATATATTCCCCCGCAAACAATTTTTAACTTTCGAAGGAACGGCAACAGACAGTGAATTCCCATTACATTCCACGTTTATTCACCCTATGTTGCTGCCATTAGATATGTTAACTCGACCGCGACAGGATGCAAATGATTCACTTTTCGTTTTACGACCTTAATGTAACGCAATCAAAGAGCGCACACCGCCGAGCGCTCCGATGTGATCATAGGGGGAGTTCTATGAAAATATCGGGGTTTTTTTGCATGGTTTTAAGTTGGAAGATATCCCTGATACTTCTCATTTTTTGTAAGATCTGATCCTTTGAATGGGGTTTTTGATACTAAACAGCGGTACAGGGGAGACTTTTTGTTTGGAGTTGTCGGTGTGCAGTTTGTTGACTTGAGCTGACCGTCATTACGGTTCTTCAGTCGCTCTCGCCCTCAGAAGTGTTAAAAACAGCGATGGTTATCCAGGTAAGGCACAATATATAAAAGAGCATCAGAAATATCCAAAAGATGAGCCGAGTTTCAACGTTTACAGTACACTGTCCTAGTAGTGCTCAATTCAGGCTGTTGATAACTATATCACGCTCGAGAAATATGTAAAAGTTTTGATTACCATCGCAAAACACTTTAATAACTTTGATCGCGTGAAGGAATTTTGGATATTTAACCCGCCTAGGCAAATTCTATTACAAGGAAGGAAGTTACAACACCTCTAAACCAAAACACGTGAGAGACTGAAGTCCGAGCTATTCTTACTTGACCTCAAAAATTGCAACGCTTCAAATAACTTTCAAGTGTTGTTAAAATTAAAACATCAAACAACATGATGGCAAACGAAAATGTAGATGAGATATAATGAAAGGTGAAAGAGTTGTAAGCTAAGCGCGAGACACTGATATTTTGGTTTATTCTCAGCTGTCCATTCTCATCAAAACCGGAAGAAAAATAATAGTTTCATTCTTCTATAAACTAGACCCTGTGAGCAGGGTAACTGGGATACCTGGATGGTATTGGATCCGTGGAATCAAGTGTAGTGATACTATGCGTGTCGGACTAGTATACTGAAATAGTGAGCTCAAGTCTGGCCAAGGGCATACACCTGTCTCAAAACATAGGCATGCTATCCATGCAAGAGTTATTTTTTCTAGGGTGGGTGGATTACTTGAAACATTGTAAGTGGTCTACATTCTTACAAAAGGAAAGAAGATTATTAACGCGGGAAAGAATGAAAATGTCGAATTACCTCACACACAGGTATTTTGTGGTAGATTATGTGAGTTGTGCGAATAAATGTAACCAAAAATAAACTGTATTTGTGCCACGGATACCTGTTAGTACAAAATGTAGACAGCAGACTGCAGACCGGATACAAAATATAGACTGCAGAGTGGGTAAAAAATGCAGACTGAGAATCTGAAGAGTTTTTACGTCAGGTATATACTAACATGTCATCTTACAGCTTACCGAGCGTCACGCAATCGCCTTTCCGCGATCAGCCTTCACGATTATTTGCACTATTGTGGAAAATTCCTGGCCCATTTCTTGATGAAAATCGATCGTAATATAATTTCAAGCCTTCAACATAGTCTTCTTACCTTGCGCGCGAGTTGGTTGGTGTGATGTCTGTACAGATTTTACCAATGTAATAAAAGTAGATGACGTGAATAATAGTGATGGTAAAGCAAGCTTAAAACGGCAACAATCGCCAGAAACTACAACGGATACACAGGGTATGAGTAAGTTTTATTAATTTTTCGAGAAAAATCTTCATATTTCGAAATATTTATCGTTGTAAATCGACCATATTTCGTTCCCTATACTATTCCTTATAACGTGTTCAAATTTTCAACGGTTCCTATAATAACTTACTCTGAGTCACACAACGCGTGACGCGTTCGTGAATTAATCGTTGGCTCTTTCTCGAAACGTGACCTTGGGTCGCCTGTGACAAGACAATTGCGTAAACAATACTTGACATAATAACATTATACACAAAAAACACGGGATTTTGGATCATGTATTTATTAAAAAAGAATATCCATACAACTAAAATGAATACAAACATAAGATTCACCTTTCTGATCGTGAAATTAATACCATTTGCACTGTTATCGTAGCTACGTTCCCTGGCATCAAGTTAATCCAACATGGCGTCTTTCTTCACTAGCAGTTTGCATCCATTTGAATTTTGTTCTTCAGTCTCACGGTAGTAGTGTTGTTCAATAGATTGCATAGAGTATATGCAGTTTGGTTTCAGATTTCAGATTTTGCTTTTTACAACGAGTTTACGTTTTCAACTAAGACATTGGCATACTTGGCATACAAGACATACAAGGCATTCAATGCTTTCATGGCTTTCAAGCGTTCGCGATTCTGTCCGATCCAAAATTACCGCTCAATAACATCTTTTTGTGTGGATTGGCCGCGAACAATACGACTTGTGTATGCGTCTATAAGTATTTTGAGCGCTTGCCCCATAATGCTCCAGATGATCGTAATCCAATTACGTTGAAATACAAAACGACTGACAAAATAGTCTTATGGGCAAAAATCTCGTGTTCGTCATGTGACCCGGCCCTGTCCGTGCATGACAACGTCAATCATCATCAAGATAGCACGCGTGATCAGCATGTGAACACCTCATTGGATCACAGTTAGTTGTCATGGTGTTGAGGGATAACACGCGTGATCAGTATGTGAACACCTCATTGGATCACAGTTAGTTGTCATGGTGTTGAGGGCCCAATGACCTCTGGGTACTATTGCGCAATTTTTCCATTTTGTGGACGGAGGAAAAAAAAAAGAATGAACGAAAAAACAAAAAAAAACTAGACCCTGTGAGCAGGGTAACTGGGATACCTGGATGGCACTGGATCCTTGGAATCAAGTGTAGTGAAACTACGGGTGTCGGACTAGTATACTGAAATAGTGCGCTCAAGTCTGGCCAAGGGCATACACCTATTTCAAAACATAGGCATGCTATGCATGCAAGAGTTACTTTTTGTAGGGTGGGTGGATTACTTGAAACATTGTGAGTGATGTCTACATTCTTACAAAAGGAGAGAAGAATATTAATGTGGAAAAGAACGAAAATGTCGAATTACCTCACTCACAGGTATTTTGTGGTAGATTATGTGTGTTTTGCGAATAAATGTATCCAAAAATAAAACTGTATTGGTGCCATGGATACCTGTTAGTACAAAATGCAGACAGCAGACTGCAGACCGGATACAAAATATAGACTGCAGACTGCAGAGTGGGTACAAAATGCAGACTAAGACTCTGAAGAGTTTTTACGTCTGGTATATAATAACATGTCATCTTACAGCTTACCGAGCGTCACGCAATCGCTTTTCTGCGATTCGCCTTTACGATTATTTGCACTATTGTGGAATATTCCTGGCCCATTTCTTGATGAAAATCGATCGCAATATTATTTCAAGCCTTCAATATAGTCTTCTTCCTTTGTGCGCGAGTTGGTTGGTGTGATGTCTGTACAGATTTTACCAACGTAATAAAAGTAGATGACGTGAATAACAGTGATGGTAAAGCAAGCTTAAAACGGCAGAAATCGCCAGAAAATACAACGGATACACAGGTTATGAGTAAGTTTTATTGATTTTGCTAGAAAAATGTTCATATTTCGAAATATGTATCGTTGTAAATCGACCATACTTCGTTCCCTGTACTATTCCTTATAAAGTGCAGTTCCTCTCGTAACTTAACACCGAGTCACACAACGCGTGACGCGTTCATGAATTAATCGTTGGCTTTTTCTCGAGACGTGAGCTTGGGCCGCTTGTGACAAGACAATTGCGTAAACAATATTTAACATAATAACATTATACACAAAAAACACAGGGTTTTGGATCACGTATTTATTAAAAAAGAATATCCATACAACTACAATGAAAACAAACATAATATTCACCTTTCTGATCGTGAAATTAATACCATTCGTACTGTTATCGTAGCTACGTTCCTTGCCATCAAGTGAATCCAACATGTCGTCTTTCTTCACAAGCAGTTTGCATCCCTTATAGCTATGTTCTTCAGTCTCACGGTAGTAGCGTTGT